GGTAACATCAACTTTATCGAATACGGATGTCTGGATAGCTAGTCCTTGCATCCGTTCGCTCAATTGTTCGAGCTGAGCGCTCTCGTTCGGAGTCGTAGCTCGGTCGGTCGGGGTCATCGTTGATCAAGTGAATGAGACGATGGAGTCGTATCTGGCTGTCGAAATACGTCTTTGTCGGGTCTAGTAACAACTGTTGATCGATGCCTTGCAGCCGATAATAGAAGTCGCTAGGCGATGTGGTCGCACTACTAATCGATGCCTTGCAGCCGATTAATAGCTTGGTAGGTTCTCCCAGATGCCTGGCAGCCTGAGATAGCCACTTAGCACAAATAACCTTCCTCAACCGATGCCTTGCAGCCGATCTTGAAGGTTAGCGATTTGTCTCTTCTTCCTAGCTGTCTGTGATCGACCAAGTCGACCACTGATCAGTGTCGGTAGTCTCTACACAGGCCTGCGTGCAAATCGCAATGGTATGTGTAATCGTTGATGTCTGTTCTAGAAAGGGGGAAGAGGGGGCAAAGGGCACGGAGCTAGCTATGTGTCCTCCGCTATCCTCAACTGCACACGTGAGAGCGCACGTGACCTATCTAGATGGGTACAATGGATTACTACAATTCCCACACTAGGCTAGATATCTTATATTCTATAATTTCCTATACTAGATTCGCGGCTAAGCCCGACTAAACGTATTTTAAGGCTTTAAATATAATTTAGAAATATTTAAATAAATTCCCTAGCCTAAAGATTAAATATAGTTATAATATCCCTTTTACCTATCTATATATAAAGTGTTTTACCGACTCTAGCTAGGCGTTGGATTTAATAGACGGAAATTCCTTTTCCGGTTACTATTTTTATATATATAATAATATAATAAGCTAGGCTTACTCTAAGTAGAAAGCTATTGCCCTTTCTACTTATATAGTAGAGTATATTAGCCTTATAGAGGTAAATAAAGAAGCTATTTATTTAAATATACTTTTTAAAAATATTACTAAGGATCTATCTATTAAGATTCCTAATACTATACCTCCTATTTTAATAGATAATACTACTACTATTAAATTAGTAGAAAATCCGGAATTTTATAAAAGGTCTAAGTATATAAGATTAGCCTATTACTATACTAGAACTAGTATAAGAGAAAGGGAAATTAGAGTTTTTTATATTAAATTAAAAGATAATATAGCTAATATTTTTATAAAGGAATTAAGACCTAGATTACTCTATAAATTTAAAGACGGTCTATCCTTAATATAAGTTCCTAAGCAATTAAAAGGGGTTTTTAGATATTTCTTATACTTTCTATATTTTTCCCTTACTAGGTTTTTCCTTTTTAGGTTTCCTAGAAAAATATTTACTAGGTTTTTATCTATTAAGATTTTCCTAGTAATAATAGGTTTTACCTTATATAAGGTTATCCTATAAATAATTATTATAACTATAGATTTTTCCTACTATAGGTTTTTTCTATTAGTATATACCTAAGAATTTTTTTCCCTAAGAAAGAATAGGTTTTTATATATCCTATTAAGGTATAAAAATAGTTTTCCTAAATTAAGTTTTTACCCTATATATATACTACTATAAATAAATTAGTAAAGAGTATATAAATCTACTTTTTAAGGGAGGCTATAAGGAATAGTATTCCTACTATAAATAAAGCAGCTATAACGTACTCTCCTAATTATATAAGCTAATAAGTAGTATATTAATTATAGATAAAATCCTATATTATAGAGTAAGAATCGCTTATTATTTTATATGTTATTATATATTAAACGGGTTGCTAGTTATTATATAATCGGGAATTAAAGAAATAGAGCTAGCTTAGAATACTAGCTAAGACCTCTTAAGAATACCGGTATAACTAACCTCCTTTAAACACGAATATTAGTAGAACTAAGACACTTCCTAAATATACTTAAGGTATTACTAAATTCCTTAGTCTTAGGGCTATACGGCAGCCTAAATCTAGTCTTAAAAGGTTCTTCCGTTTAGCTATAATTATCTATATAAGATAGTATATCCGCTAATAGATAAAGAGAGGATTATTAACTTTAATACCTCTTTTATATACTAATATATTACTAATAAATTCTATTAAAAATCCTACCTTATACTCCTTCTTCCCCTCTATTACGTAGTCTTACGTAATTCCTTAATTTCCTAAAATTCTACTTTTACTTATATACCTTAAGAATTATTAAGCCTTAATAACTTAAGGTATAATAGCGCTACTTATAGTAATCCCTACTATCGGGTAAAGTATATATTTATAAGGTTAACGGTACTATAAGTGTCTAAGTATATAGGGACTTTAATAGGGTTTCGCCTTAATATTATTATAGGAGTTTTAAGTAACTATCCTATAAGTATTAAGTTTATTAAGAGAGAGGCGTTTACCTAGATATCTTACCTTTTCCCTATTTTACGGTATTAAGTCTAAGAGTCTTTACTAGGGTTTCTACTTTTATAAAATTAGTATATTTTATAGATAGGTATCCTAGCTTATTATATTAAAAATATATAATTCCCGATTAAGTAAAAGATCCTTTTCCTCGATAACGTCCCTTAGTTTAGCCCTTAGTAGGTTTATCGCTAGCTTACTAGTTATTAGTCGAATCGGTAGTATTTCCTTAACGATTCGGCCTAGCTTATCGGCCTCTTTAATTCCTTCCCTTATATATACTACCTTAGGGTATAGTACTATTTCTATTCTTAGTTCCTTTAAGGGTAAAAGTAATATTAGTACGTTGCCTCTTATTAATAGTAATATCCTAATATTATTAAGCGACTTATATAAGCTCTTCCTATTAATAGGTATAAATAAGTATTAAGTAGAGGTTAATTTAGTCTTAAAGTTATAGCTTTAACTTAATAAAAAATATAAGAATACGTGCCTTTTCCGATAGGCGTTTAAAATACCTCTCTAAGGAGTTAAGGTATAAGCTAAACTCTAAGGGGGACTAGCCTTCTCGTTAGCGAGCCTCCTTTAATTACGTCGCTAATAGTATCTTTTTATTTATAGTATCCTTAATTAAGATAAGTATCTATTCTTTAAAGTATACCTAATCTATACTATATTTAGTCTAGTCAATTAGCGTTTATTCTTTAAGGTATTAGCGCTATCTCGCTTTATAGTCGCTATATATATAATCTACCGCGTAGAGGATCTTTATTTCGTTGCGACGAAAATATCTAAGCGCTGCCTTAAAGGCGTCCTTTAGATCGTAAGTTTAGTTTAGACGTTTCTATATATTAGTAGGTTAAGATAATTAAGCGATATTTTTAATCTTAACCTTACCCGCGCGACTACTATCCGATTTAAGAGAGTAAGACTATTAACGCTTCCCTAAACGGATAGCGATAGTACCGGCGCGTTTAGCAATTCCCTCCTCTAATTATATAACGCGATCTTATAGGCGTTTCGTCTCCTCTAGCTCCTTAACCCGCGCTTATAGAGCCGTAAGCTTTTCCTTATAAGATAGTTATCTTATACCTATAAGTAGCGATATCTTCGATATAGTTATAACGCTATCTATAGTAGGGGTCTATTCTAAGGATATATCTTCCTATTCTTTATCTCCTAAGTAGATACTTAATATACGTAACGAAGAGGCCTCGACTAGGTAACTAAAAAAGGAAGCTTTAGAAATTATAAGGGAATACGTATTACGGTACGATTAGTTAGGTAGTAGAGATAGCTAGAGGTACTGCGCTATATATATTGTGTTCTCCTCGTCGTAAGACTAAAGCTTATAAGAAGAGGGATTTTTCCTCTTCCGTCGGAATAGCGAGTGGTCTATAATATGCGAGCGGGGTAGGCACGATTCCCTGCCGATACCCTGCCGACACATTAGTACTACGTACCCGAGTGCTTTATCAGCCCGTACCTCCTAGTAGCGCTCTCACACTATTATACTAGTGGTTATGTTGGATCCACCTGTGCACTAGGCACCGATCGCGCACGTATAACTAATCGACCGCGCTAGTCACGTGCGAGTAAGAGGTGAGACACAGGGAGGAAGGTCTTTGCACACAGTTTGTATGGGACACGTTTCCCTAGTTACACAAGATATAACCAATTGAACCAGTTCGAATAACCTCACTGCAGTGAAGAGCCTGTCCACAGGTTAGATATAAAGGTTATAAAAGGGATGATTCGTATTGAGGAGGACTACCGTAGGCGCTGCTCTTATATATAGCGCCTCGGGGGTCCGGACTATCTATTCTCCTTTGTCCTCGGCGGGGGCCATAGCGTGTTCCCTGCTATAGCTGATGCGGGTGGCGCAGGGCTAGTCCCTGTGGCGCCCTTCTCGCATTAGTACACTAGCTAGAGACTCTGCTAAGGATCCTGCCAAAGACTCTGCTACGCGGGCTGTGTGTTCCTTAGGGTATAGATGCCTGTAAGAGTCCAGGCGTTGCCTAGACTGTTGATAAGTGTGGTTAATTGACAAGCCGGGCAGCTTAGTCAATTCGTTACCTTTTGTCGCGTGGCAGAGGGGGGTAGTCGCGCGACCACAGCCTGTGCCCTGTCGGGTCTACTCCATGACCATGCCCCCGTCGAAGCACCTAGTATTGCTAGTTATTAGGTCTTTGCATTGAAGAAAGAGGGTGTAGATTGCGCTCTCCTGCCTAAAAGAGGGAGTCCGCTGGTGTGACTATATATATATACACGAAGTGCGGGGGAGAATAGGTTTCCCTACTAATCCGGCAGCTTACGGTTACCCGGATCCGTTAAGTGACTTCCTTAGCATCCCTTAGGTCGACTATCGCATTTGGTGCCTCCGGATGCGGCGATGGTATCGTCTCCGCTTATAGGGATGAGGGGCGCGCCTGTTGGTGCGTGTGGGCGTGAGCTCAACCCTCAATAGCTACACATTGGTCTATGGCCCACTGGGACCCTTGTTAGGTCTTTGAGACCCTCGTTGGGTCGTGACACCTAGGCCCTTGGTCCCGTCTGCATTCTCAAATGATTTGCTAGCCTAATGCTACTTCTATTGTCTTGCCTGAAGGAAATCAAGGTACTTCTTCATTAATGAGACCCCCAACACGGGGAACTTTAGCCCCCCCGGGTAACTCTCCAGCGCCTCGTCAGTGTTCGTCGTCTCGTACACAGGCATATTCTCGTATAATTCCCACCGCGTCCGCCCATCTTGGACCTTTTCCGCCAACATGGGCTGCAGCGGGAGAAGGCGTTGCGGCGGGCAGGCCGCCAGCCGGTCTATCCATTCGGTATAGGACACTCCATACATCGGCGAGCTGCCGGCTTTGCCGACAAGGTCCATCGACTCGTCCATGTCAACCGAGACAGCCCGAGACGGCGGCACAAGGTGATAGGCGCGGCCGAGACACGTCGGTGATGCGGCAATGTGTAATATAGCCGAGCTGACATAGTCCACAGGCACAAACTCCTTGCGCTGATTAGGGAGCTTGGGGTAGCATCCCATTTCGCAACAGGCATGGATCAAGCGACAGAAAAAATCATCTGGGTTACAGGCCCCTGTCTGACTATGGCCAGTAATGAAGCCCGGCCTATAGACAGCAATCGGAAAGCCTCGGTCCATCAGGCGTCGTAGCAACTGTTCGGCCACCCACTGGCTCTGGGCATAGCCATGGTCGTAAGGGAGGGCGGCGAGATGCGGCAGCAGGGGCTCATCCTCCCTCACGGTAGACGCCCCCGTAACAAACCCAGTAGGCCCAAAGCAAGAAATGCTGGACACATAGTGGATTGGCTTCACTCGGCCGGCACAGGCAAAGCGTATAACGTTCAGCGTGCCTAGCGTATTGGCAGGCCGATGCAGTGAGTACGGCTGCGTATAGTTGACCCGAGCTCCAAGGTGAAAGACGGCGCTGGCCCAAAGGGCAATTTCATTGAACCTCTTATGGCCCATTCCCAAGTATTCATCTTCAAGCAGGCCAGGAATAGCCAGCAACTTGTCAGCAAAGCACTCCTCCCAGAGGTTATACTTAGCCATAGCAGCTCTTAACCGCTCTAGACCAGCGGTACTGTCGCTCGCACGGACCAGACAGCCGATCTGATGAACCTGCGGCATGCGCAACAGATCGGCAAGCATAAACGCGCCTACAAATCCAGTCGCCCCCGTAATGAAGATGCGTCCTTCTGTGTCCCGGCGCCAGTCAACAACTGGGCCTGACGGGCAAGGCATGCTGTCGGCGATCATGCTGTCGGCGAGCCAGGTGCTCCTCTCGTCGCGGAGAGTCTCCTGTCGGCCATTCATAGTCTTTGAAATGACTGATGTTAGACCTCCAAGGGAAGAATTGTCGTATAGTGTGAGAAGGGACACGTGGACGCCAAAGATGCGCCGGATTTGACTGATAAGCAGGGACGCCTGAAGAGAGGTGCCGCCAAGGCTGACAAAGTCATCATGGTCCTCGTATGTGGTGACTGGCGATGCTAGGGTGCTTGTCCAGAGACCTGCCAGCGTGGAACGGATATCTTGAGATATATTCCGCAGTTCCGGCTGGTGGACATCCTTCCATCGTTGGCCAAAGATCTCCTTTAGCTGTATGCGATCTACCTTGGCGTGGCTGTTTAGAGGCATCTGGGAGATAAGCTCTAGCTGAGGAACCATATAATCCGGAAGGTTGGCCTTAACCAGTTCCAACGCTTCATTGATGGCAGGTGGGTTGGCTATGTCGGCGGGCACTGCATATGCCACTAGAATGGAGCCAGCTCCTTTCTGTAGCATCTCAACTTTCATGGCTACCGCCTCCGCAAAGTGACCAGTCCCAAGGAGGGCCGTCTCGACCGCTCCAAGCTCAATGCGAAACCCCCGGATCTTAACTTGGTGATCCCGGCGACCGATGTAATCAATCTGTCCATCCGGCCGGCGCCGTACAATATCGCCAGTCCGATAGAGCCGCGTCACATCGGCCGCGTCAGCTGACGGGACGAGGGTGTTTATGAATGCAGCGGCGTTCTTCCCCGGTTGGTTGGCATAGCCTGGGGATAGGCCCGGACCGCCGATCAAGAGCTCCCCCTCGTCACTAGGGGTGCCCGCATCGTTAGCTATACACGCAATAGTGCGACCGATAGGCATGCCGATGCTTATGGAGCCGTCGCGGATGTCCTTGGGGGTAACGCGATGAGCCAAGCAGAAGATGCAGCACTCCGTCGGCCCGTAAGCATTGATAAGTATCTCTGGGGGACCCTCGTCGAAGATGATTTTTAAGGCGGCGAGGTTGGCCACCTCACCCCCAATAAAACAGATGCGTAAATTGGCAAAGGCCTGAGGATATGTAAAGGCCGCGAGGTTAAGTAAGGCAGTGGTGGTAGCCATAACGGTGATGCCTAGACGATTGATTTCGCTCGCCATAACGGGTATGTCGAGCAATACAGCCTTACTCAAGATAGCAATCTGCGCACCGCGAAGCAAGGGCGCCCAAATATCGAAAAGAGACACATCGAAGCTGCTGTTGTTAACATGGGCCACCACATCGGATGTGTATACAGGCTCAAACGGGGCATGAAACACCACGTGTAAGATAGACCGGGCCGCAACCCGGACTGCTTTGGCTTCGCCTGTGGTCCCTGAGGTGTGGATAAGGTGCGTGCAATGCTCGAGGCCGGTGGCAATTGGGTATGCTTCGTTTGCAGGAGTCGACGTTATCGCATCGTCGATGCAGACAACGACAAGAGGCAGGTCGCGGTGGCGATTAGCCCGGTCAGTTAGGACACAACGAGCATTCAACCGCGCTAGCCGGCCTTGAATCTGATGATCGGCAAGTGTTGGGTCCATGGGAGTACAGCTGCCGCCGGCGTAGATGACCGCCAGTTGGGCCACGACGTCGGCCACGCCATGCTGCACCACAATTCCCACCGGCTCTTGGTTGCCAGATGTGCATTGTGAGATCTGCAGTGCCAGATTTGAGGCTTGATAGTGCAACTGTGCATACGTATAGGTGGATTTTCCATCGACGACGGCAATAGCCTTGGGGGATTTCTGAGCCTGGCTGTAGAAGAGCTGGCCGAGACCGAGGCCGCGAGCAACCGTTAGATCATACTCGTCGCCGGGAATCGAGACACGTGACGGCATCTCTGACGTCGACAGGCAAGTTGGGAAAATGCGTTAGAATTGAATCAAGAAGGCAATGGGCAGTTTTCTTGTCAGTTGAAACGGACTCGTCATGGTGAACGAAAGGACGGTTGATTGCTCTAAAGGAGTGGCAGTTTGCCTCTTTAATACGCACGTGAGATGAGAGCCCCCCCAGCCCTCCTGCCTCCTCAGAGCATAACAAACAGCCACGTATATTTTGTCCAACGGTTTCAACCATGGGGGATGCACGCAGCATCATGGATGAATGGCTGAACAAGATCGGGATAATGCTGCTCACGCTGCGCAGTCAGCGTCAGGGGGTTAGACGTCCAGTGGGGAACAAGTCGAGAATTGAGGCCCGGCAGCTTCGGGGACCGGGATGGGCTAGGTGAGAGAGGGGCATCCTTGTCAGCCCCAGCCGGCATTCGGCCCAAACGGCAAGGGAATATCCGTGCCGTGCCGCGCCGACAATGTGTGCCGCGCCCCACTTACCTTATTTGGAAGATATAACTATTACTCCGTGGGGCAGTTACGCGACGCTGAAGTTGGTGTCTGTTTGTATGGCATGAGGCAGAAATTTTGTAACCCCGCTGTATGTAAACGGTAGTCCTCTGGCGAGTGAGCAGCAAGTCGGCGAACCTCTCTTCTAGCAGCATTATTTTGTTCTTTATCCCAACACTGCCCATATCCCTATACATATAAACAAGCCAGCATTCCTATGGAACTTTGTCCGAGCCAACTCCGGCGGGACCGAAATCTCCATGCAGGGCGAAAGTCACGCAAGAAGCCTTGTCGATCATCAGATCCAAGCTCTGGGTATCCAACCGCATTAATCTGAGACTACGCCGGGAACTTTTAATATTACGGTCTCGGCGCAGCGTCGTATCAGCCTGGCTGCACCAGCAGCGCCCTGACGACGGTGCAGCTGACATGCTCTCGCCACGGTACAGCTGGCCGTGTGCCCTTGCTGCCCGTGCCGGATAGCCGTCCGATAAGGGAACGATGCTAATCACTTCATCGTGGTGGCATTGCAGATCAAACCTCCACTGGTGCTACCGCGCAGTCCGAAGGCCCGCAGTGTGCATCTGCCGTCAGCACTGCTAATAATATAAATGATCCGTATTTATATGTCAGCAATATAAAATTCTCTCAATACTCTCGTGTTGGCAAGCGGTGTATATTGTGGTGTTGCGTAATATGCTGTTGGTCTTGTACTATACTGTATCTCCATAAGCTCAATATGCTGCTAGTGCGGAAATGCATCCAACATATTTCCACGTGACTCGTATTGTCGCAATGTCACAGTCTTATAACTGTGGAAGTCTCATATCTCGGACTGTGACATTATGTTAGCCCTGAGACATTTTTAAAAGACTTTGGTACTTTATACCCCATGCTTCGATATCATGAATTTGAATATAAAGTACCAAAGTCTTTCGAAAATGTCCCAGAGCTAAAGAGGATCGTTGAGATATAAGTTAAGATTAATAGCCAATACCGACCATAGAGTGGAAGGATAGTAAGGACAGTCGATGTCGCATTCGTCTACTAATAAAACTCCCTAATAATAAGTCGAATACCCTCTTCGCCTATAAGCGGGAACATTGCCGGAAACAGGCTGGTCTCATGTTCAAGGGGTTAACAATGTAGGTCCGAAGGTGTTAGACAAAAAGGGTACTTGAGTCATTGCAGAGGAGAAGCCATCATATCAGAAGCCAGGGCGCGTTAATATATAACAGAGTCATATTTATTCAAGCTAGAAAGCAAGGAACGGTGGGATAAATAGATTAGTTACTGCCCTATCACCCTTTAACTTTCATGCTTGATTATATGCTCTCTTCGCAAGATGTTCCTGATATAGTTCTTGGGGCTGGTTTTGGCCTCTGAGTGCTGCATTCTCTTGGATCATTATAGAAGTCCGCATTAGGCCAGTGTGTATAATAATCACGTGGGCACTTCAACGTTATTTAGCGTAGGCGCACCAGGCGGCATCGGATGGAGATTCAGCCGCGATTCTAGGACCAATTGTTTGATCGCAAAACGGGCGCTGGCACACATTTAACAACATTGTTACTCCTTCGGAACCTATTTTCCAGCCTTAACATCAGCATAGGACGAAGGCATGCAACGAAAGTAAATCGCAGCAATCTTTAGACCTTATTTGGGTAAAAGTTGAGACAGCTTGTCTGCCTCCAGAAATAGTGGTCTAAGCCCACCACTGATGCGAGAAGGGCGCCACAGGGACTAGCCCTACGCCACCCGCATCAGCCACAGCAGGGAACACGCTGTGGCCCCCGCCGAGGACATCGGATAAATGATAGTCCGGACACCCGAGGCGCTGTGTATAAGAGCAGCGCCCACGGTGGTCCTCCTTAATACGATCCATCCCTTTCACAACCTATACATCTGACCCCTAGTGCACCAACCACATTCAGTAGTTGCCTCATCGGCTATTTCTCGACCCCTTCACCTCCTGCGCTTCATCCCTGCCCAAGTATCCCTCATGTGCCTCTTGCATACCTCCTAAATACGTTAAGTCTTAGTTGCAAAGTATGCGCGGATCCAGTTAGAGCGCGATTCAAAGAGCCAGTGTGGCGTTTGATAAGTCTGGATACATCATATTGGAAAGACTGATTGTCTCTAGAAGGTTCCACGGTCACGTCGATCCCATGTCAGCCATGTCTATATAGGACCTATCCTTCCTTCCCATTTTATAGCTAGAGAGAGATCATCGATATTATTCATTCATTTTTTTATAGTCCGTATATACGGACAACACGATTCAGGGGGTCCATGTAGCGGTCGATAAGTCGATACATCAAGCCTTGGTTGCAAATTGCGCGCGGAACCATTCCTTAGCGCTGGTGAGCTGACCCTGTTTGCTTGGCTTCCCTAAAGCCACCGCTGTTGCTCTTTTTAATTCCGCGGCAGTCTCGGTCTCGCTGGGCTCGGGGCCAAAGTAGCGGCCTCCAGTGGTTTGCGCGAAGCCAAACATAAGCTTTACGTCCTCCATCTCGGCGACCCCACAGGTGTTAAACGCCTCCCATGATGGTAAGATCGGTTGAAATCGAGACCTTTTTGCAGTCACTAGACGCTTTAATGTTAGCAAGCTATCTGCTTGGGGGGGGGGGTAACAGTTTGTATTTACCATCTTGAAAGTCAGCAACCAGCTGGTCAAACGGCAGCAAGCAGCTCGCCCCGTGTATAACTTTGCCATTGTATCTTGCCGGATCGAGAAATATACCATGAACAATATCTCCAAAGTCGTCGCGGACGGTTAGGAATGGCACCTGGTTATCACCACCCCAATAGGGCACCCGGAATGTAAGATATTCCTCCTCATCAGGGAAGTAAGGAAACCCGCCAAAGATCGGAGCAGCTTCCTTGACTAGGAAATTCTCTAAAAACCATCCGGCGTTGATTGGTACGACGGTCTCAAATTTTCCCGGTTGTCTTGCATACTGCTCAATCCTGTACTTCACTATATGCCGTCAGTATGAATGAAAGGGCGATCCATCTCAAAGTAGTTACCAACTTTCCATGGCATTCATCTTCACTTTGCCTCCCGTCATATCGACGCATGGGGGACCTGAGCTGAAGACTAAGTGCTTTACGCCGGCCCGGGCGGCCGCGTCGACAATAATCTTTCCCAAGTCAAACTCGGTTGGGCCCTCAGGGTCCCTCCAAATCTTGTCATCCGAGTTGAGATTGACAAATGCTCCCCAAGAACCCTGGAAAGCAGCTAGTATCTCCTCCTCGTGAAATCCATCGGCCTGGGCAATCTCTGCTCCAGCTGAAGCTAGCGTGCGGCTGGCCTCGGAGCTGGGGTTTCGTGTGATGGCACGAACTCGGAAGGATGGGTTCTGTAGAAGAGACTGTGCGACGGATCCACCCTGCTTCCCTGTGGCCCCAAAGATGGCGATGGTGGCGGCCATTATCGTAAGAAACAAGGTATGCGAGCTGTTGAACAACGCACGTATGACGCGGGCTTTCAGATGAGATGGGAATCGCCGGCGTTGACGGAAATTAGCTTAGGAGCTTAATGACGCATTATATAGTACAATTGGGGTGTCTGCCGCAATCTGCCTAAGCACCACGCACTTATACATGCGACATGGCCTGGTGGTCCAGGTGTTACTTAGAGCACCCCGTGGTTAATATAGAGATGCAGAGACAGGTCGGAGGCAACCACCAGGTGGGTCAGGTGCTGTCATGCAGCATAAGAGCGCGCTAATAATATAAATTTATATGTTATAGTCCCGCTTTTATTCTCTTAATGCTAATAATAGCTTTTAAATATATGCTATCACTTTTCTATATGCTTGGCTTATTTTTTTCTAAAGTGAAAAGTTTATATTAGTAGATAGAGTAAGATATAGGTTAAAGGAAAATAATATTATATTAGTAATAGACGACAGCCTGGTACTAAATAATTAGTACTATTAAAATCGTAATCCTACTGAAACCCAACCAGCTAGTGCCTAGACTCAGGAAGTAAAAATAGGGGTCTTTATATATTTATCTTAACCTTTATAGCATAGCTTGGATCATTACATCATCTTTGTGTCTCAATAATCAGTAATCACTCTAATCACCCATTGATTCATCGGTCACGTAGGCCACTCGGCCGGCCGGCGATATACTCTATTTGCCATCCTTTACTAAATGAGCTGATGAGATAGGACCAAGACCTGGTCGTATCGTAACATAATGATGCTGCTCGGGGGTTACGCTTTACCCTCGCCATGCACATAAGTTGTTAGCGGCATACTTAATATAAAGTAAAAGACTTGAGTTAACTTGAAGCTGGATAACGCCCAGACTCTCCGCCAAGTCTGCCTGAAGTACCCTGGATCATTTGCATTCGGTTTCAGTCTTCCGCCGCACCCGAATCTTGACCTCTAGTGGAGGAACAATTGTCTGACCAACAATTGAATTGGACGGGCGATTGTCCAACGGCTCAATCTCATAGTTGACCAATATATACCCAATCATCACCTTCATTGCATAAGAAGCAAACCAACGGCCAGGACTACAGGTGAGGGGCGGTCAGCACATGCCTGCAAAAGCGGGCTAATACTCACCAAGAATGCCGCCCATGACCAAAAGCCAGGAACTTCTCGCTTGTCGCGGGAATCGGAGTGGACGCCTTGGGTTTCCCCGTTTTCTCCTCGGTGGAACAAAATCTAAATGGCCGGTATTCATTCGGAGACTCATAGTTGCACTCGTCCCGGTGAATGCCTGTCGCCGCGACAGCGATCCACGTCCCATGGCGAAGAAGCTGGCCGTCCGGCAACCTGATCCCACCCTTCTGAACGACCCGACGAGAAAGCATGCGGTCGGAAAGTGGACTCAGGCGCAGACTCTCGCGAATAGCACTTTCGAGCTGAGGCGCCGTCCGCGATGTCAGTGCGGTTTTGGCCTCTTCACGGAGGGTTTCGTAGTATCCATGTTGTGGATCGGAGCCGAGAAGGTCGAGGAAGAAATTGTGTGTCATGGCGATGAGGACATCAACAGGTAAGAATGCCGATAGAATGGGTTAGTTGTAGGGAAATTATATGGATTTACAGCCTGGAAAGGTTGTACACTTACGACGAGAGTCAGCCGGACTATAAGCGCACTGATGCTCGGGGTTTTCCCTGGGTTGCATTTTAAGGCCAGATCCACCATCCAAGTGACCATGTCCTCGGGGGGACATTGTTTGCTTGTTTGAAGGTATACGATCCGCTGCTTGTACGTGGGGTAGAGGAAAGCTATCATTCGCAACCAGTAGTAGTAGATGGGGAGACCAGCCACGAGGCCGACAACCGGCTTAAGCAGCCACGGAACCAGTTGAGACACGGCAATCATCAGGCCGCCAGTGACCCGAGTCCAGGTCTTGACCAGATGAATATACTTGGCATCTCTGCAGAGCGAGGGCCCGAAAAAGATGCGCAAACACACTCCAAAGATAATCGTGTCTAAGGTTTCGGCGAGATTGACCTCTCGCCATGAGCTGTCACCAGCATGGCCCAGCGCCTCACTAGCTGTATGCTCCAATTCGTCCCGAAATGCTGCTTCAGTGTTGGCGATGTTGCGAGTCAGATCATGGCGGATAGCCCTAATCAATTCCAGGTGTGCGTAGTTGTTGAACCCTGGGGCAAGGAACGGCAGAGCATGAATGTCCTCATTAGCCTTTTCATGCGACAATATATGTTCCGGTTGGCTGACCAGCCACCCGATCTGCTCAGGCGGCAGCAAGACTTGGGGGTAGAAGCTCGGGTTCACCAGCGCGAATGGCTGTCCCTTTTTGGAATACTAATGAAGCAGGATGGATGTTGTAAGCCTGTGTATCGTGTAAAGAGACGAGTAGTGTTCAAACCTTTCCATACCCCATTTCGCTGGATCTTGATCCAAGATATTCATTGACGGTTGCCCTGAGCGCAGAGAGCGGCCCACTTGGCCTTGAGGGGTACCATTGCATCGACGCCGGCAGGCCAAGATAGCCAAGCCAAGGGCATAATAAAACCAGGCAGAGGAGAAAGAACAGTGCCGCAAAAATCTGCAAGGCCAAGCCGGCTTTAACGTCTGGAAGCTCCATGGTGGAGTTTGAAGAGGTCTCCTGCCTTTTTTTGTCAAATGGTCAAGAATGCACTTCCTAGCTAGTAGACCGTGGGTAGTTTCCTACTTTTTGACGTTAAACCCGCCGCTAAATCTGCCCTTGTATCTGGACTGTATGCTTACGGGTGCGTAAATTATATATTTCTAATGACGGTAAACTCCCAAATTCGCTAACCACTGGGCTCCCGATGCCACGCCCTAGGGTGTAGGGAGCATATATGAAGTATTCGTATGTCCTGCAGGGAAACGCGCCGTGCCCACCCGTCAATCAACGGCATGCATGTGTGGCGCTCCCCATGCTCCGATGTTTCCGAGATTTTCGTCGTCAGCTATGCAAGGCTAGAAGCGGCATGCGGCCCAGGTGGCAAAGCAATATCCGTGCCGTGCCGAACCGAGCTGACGTGTGCTTCGTGATCTGATACATCGTTACTACGTCTCGGCTCGTTGGACCAACAAAGCCGGTGTTGGCTCATTTCTTTGTGATGCCCGCGCTACAGAGCAAATGGGCCTTTATCGGGTGGTCTTCTCTTACTTGACATGTCAGACGGCATATTGCGTGTAATAACCTTAAAAAGTAAGCCCAGGTTTTGCAGGTTGGTGCAGCTGACATGCCGCCGTCTGCTTGCAGCGTCCATGCCGGATAGCCGTCTGATAGGGGAATGTAGGAGGTATCGCACACCAAACCTCCTCCGGTGCCTTGACATCACCGTAAGAATTTAGTGTAGAGTGCAGGAGTATAGCCGTGTCAGATAAGTGTAACGCTTTATTAATTCTGAGTTTTATGCAGTGGACCCCGCTGTACCAGTCCTCTTGATGGAGTAGGAAGGATTGTAGCAGGAAGGGTCCAGCAAGGGAAAAGAGGGGTACAAAAAAGACCGTCTATGGGGACGAGAAGAGGGGAGGGAACATAGACCTTAGTTCGTCTCTTGGTCTTTTCCTCTTTCTCTTCTGTCACCGGCTCCGCGTTGCGGAGCCGGTGGCTATAACAACGTCTTGAAGGCGAATGAAGTTCAAGCTCGAGCTTTCTTGCTTGGCTCTATATAGACAACACAAAGGCACCTGCTTACGAAACAAACATCAGTCGGCCTTTTCCATTTACTGTACTATACACACAGAATAGAAAGCTCCCAAGCCCTGCTTGGGGAGCACAGTGGAAGGTGTAGGAGTCTCAGAGATGAATTTAGTGATGCATGTCTTGGTCTATCGAGGCAAGTGAGGGGCTTTATATAGGTACATATACCCTCTATAACTGGCTGAAGAGGGCGATGAGATGTTCCTATACACGAGTCACGCCCTCCGCACGTCCCTCTGCTGGCCCCTTTTCCAGCTCTTCGGCCCTCTAGGCTCGGCTCTCCTTAACAAAAGCCTATTGCTTGCAAGAGAGCAGCAATTACACATTGCATTTGGGCTGGAACCTTCGCCTACGGGAGAAAGACGCTTTAGAAGCTCAAAGGAAAAAAGAAGCTCTATAAGAGGAACACCAAAATGTTTATCGACAATAACGGCACGAAGTACTAGCTTAAAACTACACCTTAGCGTCGGTACTGGAGCCGACGAAAGATCTGGCAGCCAGGCTGGCTAGAAAGGTGCCTATCGACGTCGGTATCACACACGAACGAATCGGCAATCATCCATTCAAAAACAATGCTGGTAGAATGATATGGTGCACGTGGGCCCAAGGCTGACCTCTGACACAATTCAGACCAAGTACTACAGCTAATGGAATTTGTTTTAATTCCCGTTGCACTGCCGGCGTAACTGGCCCGCTGGCCAGAAGGCAGGTGGTGGAGTGAATAAGGTACCTCCCCTTCCCCTTTGTCTCAGCAGCGTTTACATTCTGTACGTATACGAACACATTCATAGAGCGATGTGGCAAATCACCTGCTTTAGTGGTGTATATACCAGGAGCTCCGGTTGTCCCTCAATAGCATTGTTGCAGGTTGCTAGTGTAATATAAGAACAACAAACTAAGCTGACGAGATTAGGAGGCGAATTTTCTCATGCGAATAATAGGGGCCATAGGCGGGACATTGATATCTGCAAAGATAGTATTGCTCGGCCGCTTCTCTAAAGGCTCGATCTCATAATTCACCAAAAGGTACGCTATAACCACTTTCATGACGTGGAATGAATACCATCGTCCCGGGCTCAAAGCACAGTTAGAGAAATGTGCTTGCAGCAGACTGTCAGAGAAGCACTTACCAGGCGTGTCGCCCATGCCCAAACACAAAATACTTTCCGCTTGTCAGCGGCAGCGTAGGGCCCTTGTCAGTCTCACTCTCGGCAAGCTTCGAAACCCATCGGAAAGGCTTAAAGCTCCTTGCTTCCTCGAACGAGTCGTCATCGCTTTGGATGTCGCCCGACGAAAGACACAGCCATGTTCCCCGGGGGACTCTATGTCCATCCGGCAGCACAATCCCGCCCGCACAGTCGACTTGGCGATGTAGGGCTCGTGAGGATAGGGAATTCATCCGCAAGCTTTCTCGGAGAGCACTGTCGATGTGGTTCAATGCATGCGAGATGGGCTGGCCCGCCGTCTTATTCTTGGCAAACGCTGCTTTAGCCTCGTCGCGGAGGGTTTGGAAGTAGCCAAGCTTCGGATCGGAACCCGCGAGGTCCAGTAGGTTGTTGGTGCAAGCCGCAACGAGGTTGTCTGTGGGCAAGAAAGCCTGCAAACCATTAGCTGGCGGACTAGACGTCAACCGCGGTCATTCTGCATACGATGGGACACTCACCAAGACCCCCACCCACGTAACCAATCCCTTCGGAGTTACCGCCTTAGGACCGACGCCGGAAAGGATTGCCCGTGACATCCAGGTTATCAGATCTTCTGGCGCATCTTTCAGCACGCTCCCCATTTCTCCCTCCTCCATTCTTAACATATCCATCCGATCCTTAAATAGCGGACCAAGCCACCGCTGGAGACGAAGGAGATGCCAGTAGACTGGCAAACTCGCGAATGCCGCCATAACCCGTCTGAGGGGCCACGGAGTAAGAGAACCCACCACGCCCATGGCCGTCCCAAGTGAGCGGCCATATCCTCGAACACATTCCATGTACCTGTCGTCCCGGCAGAGTGGAAGTCCCACATAGATCCGCTGAACGATTTGATAAATGACTTTCTCCAGGACGGCCATGAGGTTAATTTCCTGCCAGGACTCTGTCTCGTCCAGTAGTTGCCCCAGGACATGTTGCATCTCTTCTAGGACGGCCTGCTCCGTTTCGGCGATGTTGCGGCTGAGGTTGTTCTGTAGTACTTTGGAGAAGGCGTGGAGTCCTGTTTCATCGAACATAGGCAGGATATAAGGCAATGCGTCTGCGTCTTCGCCGGCTTTGGTGTGAGACAGCACGTTCTCTGGCTGGCTTATGAGCCATCGAACCTGATTAGGTGGCAAGATAACTTGAGGACGAAAGTTGATATTGAGCAGCGAAAATGACTGTCCATTTTTGGAGTACTGTAGGCCGGGGAAATGGTTAGCACAAGTTGTCCATGCTCGGTGGCGTAGATGATCCAACCAGTTGGTATCCTCTCGATGCAGTTTCGGGTCCCGCCCAAACTTCCTTTAGGCATGCCCGAAGTGCCGATATTGGCCCGTCAACATGGATGGGCGATTTGATGGACGATGGTAATCTGGTGTACCCGATCCAGGGACATAGTAGCACCAGTAACACGGCAGTACCGATCACAGGGGCCGCAATTTGCAGGACAGAGGCAATGCTGGGCAGCCAGGCCTCCATCATTCTGTCCGGTGTACGTCGTAACGACTGAGTTACTAATTCGTAGTCCGGCTTTCAAGTTTCAATATCAGCGTCGCAACTGCACAAGGCCGCGGGACAGAAGTGCAAAGTATCGTAGTGGCATTAGGTTGAAATATATCTATCTCGAGGATTTATAAAGCATATCTTGGCACTGGCGGAAGCTCGATCTACAGTGTCGCTTGATATATCGTAGAGTATTTGATATTGTCCCATCGGACGGTTAACAGGCGGTCGACAGTGCAGCGGCAGAGGATGACTGCCTTTGGGGCCAAAGTGATCCATACGAGACTCTGGATGACGCTAGGGAAACCATCCCGATAAATTAAGGCCGATGCTACGTCAGGAAATGCTACGGGGCGGTCGGAGGCCGCGGCAGCCGCGGGCGCCGAGCCGCTTACAGGCAGGTTGTCGGCAAGGAGCCCCACCACATACACGAGCGAATCGGGAAGCGTTAGTGATTAGTTTCCGTGAGGCTACTGGGCTCCAGACTAGTGCATCTTCCTGCAGAGGGCTGACTCCTGGGGTGCCTGTAATGAGTGCTACTACGTATATTATACTTTAAACAGGCAATCAGTCCGTAGCTGGAGCATTACAGATTGAATCGGGCTCGATACGGCTATTGCGTAGAAGTTTTTAGATGACCCGCTATGTCATAGCCATCCTTGGCAGTTGAACCAAGGAGGTTTGCAGGGTAGCGCGGCCACTGTTTTACGTACCCACTGGACCAAGACTCGTCCAACGAATAAAGATAAATAATAGAATATTCTTTCTTAACGTTACAAGTATATAAGTAGATCTTATATATATGGGGGTTTTTAATAATAAAAATAAGCTAAAAGCAAACACTCAGATTAAAGGCAGTTGGCTTCCTATTTCTACTATTTAGCGCTCTCTTGCCTACCACGTCGCAGCTATTTATCAGCTCAACACGGGGTCGCCCCGTGATAGCTACAACAGTCTCACGGCCACGCCCCTTGCATTGCGGCGTATGCCCTGGCGTGTAAAGAGAGCGAGAGAGATAGAATTGACTGGGCAAAAGCTCCCCTTCCCAGATCATCCGTCTGCAACTCTGCATGCTCGGCCGCTCATGTGCACAGCTAACGCCCGTCTGTCTGAGCCACCTTTCTGGGCCTTGTCTTGGGTGCTGCGCTACGTTGCTGTTGTCAGATCATTGTCATCATCCACGGCTCAGCCGAGGCCAGTCCTCAGACTGCCTACTTGTTGAACAAAATCTCTTCCACTGCCTCCCCTCCCACCTCCTCTTGTTAGCCAAACTCTCCAGGCACGGGAAACGCGCTGAATTTCTCTGCTCCTTGCAGACTAGGTGAGGAGAGAAAATTGACCGGCACGAGCCAAGGGGAACCGCAACGGCCATGCCGTCGAGCGAAGAAGGCGAGCAGCACGCCCTCGCGGCCGACACGGGGCCCATGGCGCCTCGGACCGCGTCCGTGGAGGGATGCAACGCAGGCGACGGGGGCGCCGTGGGTGGGAAGAGAGGCGACGGCGACGGCGGTGGCCCACAAGACTCGTCGTCGAGCTTCAAGTATCTGCTAGTATGTCTTCCCCTTCTTGCTTCCCTTCTCCCGGCTCTCGTGGCTCATGGTCAGGGAAAAAGGAGGCGATGAGCAGAGGGAGGGAGGAGAGGAGAATGAAGGTATGACTAACGATGGTCCGTCACAGCGAGTCTTTGCATACAACGACGCCATGGGCTGGGTCATGAACGCCGTCGCGCTCGCCTGTGTCGTCGTCTCGGGCACCGCCCTGCCCCTTATGGACATTGTCTTTGGCCAGTTCGTCAACGTCTTCAACGGCTTTGTAGCTGGTACCATGTCGCCGGCCGCCTACCGCGCCGAGGTGGCCCGCTACTCGTACGCCTCCTTTGCCGGCCTCCCTGAGTTCTTAGGCTGACTGGCTGCCGGGAACCAGACTGTATTTCGTCTACATCTTCATCGGCAAATTTGCGCTAACGTACATCTGGACGGTATGGCTGTGCCCACTCCCTTTCGTCCCCATATCCACGACAGGCCGGGCTTATAAGAGGACAAAAACAGGTCCTGGTCAACGTGACAGCCATCCAGGCGACCAAGAAACTACGAGTCGATTTTCTGCGACAGCTTCTGCGGCAGGAAATGGCGTTCTTTGACACGCCATCAATGTCGACGTCAAGCCAGATTACAACCAACAGCAACCTCATCAATATAGGCATCTCAGAGAAGCTAGGGCTAACCATCCAAGGCGTGGCCAGCTTTATAACGGCCTTTATCGTGGCCTTTGCCGTGCAGTGGAAGTTAACGCTTATCGTGGTAGCCATTGTGCCTCTAAACCTGGCGGTAACAGTAGCCTGCATTATGCGTGATGCCTGGCTCGAGTATAACATGTTTGAAATTTACAGCGAGAGCGGGAGCCTAGCTGAGGAGGCGCTGGTCTCGATCCGCACTGCCCATGCCTTCTGGGCCTTCCCCGGCCTCGTCCGCCGCTTTGGGGCCATCCTCGACCGCGCCAAGCGCGTTGGTGACAAGAAATCGCTTGTTTACGCTATCCTTTTCCCCGTCGAGTTCTTTTGCGTTATTTCCGGATACGCGCTCGCCTTCTGGCAAGGCATGCGGATGTACTCGTCAGGCGAGATCCAGAACCCGGGCACTGTGGTGACGTGAGCCTCCTCCCCTCCCCGAACGCGTCTTGCCATCGCTCTCTTTAAGACTCCTGCCAGGCTTGGGAGAGCTATGCCATAAAGCTTTCATATGCCATTCCGCTAACCACATGGCCTGACTTGGCCTTCTTCGACAGCGTCATCTTCGCCGTCCTCGTAGCCGCGCAGGCCCTCACCCAGGTGGCCCCCCAGACCATGGCTATCTCCAGGGCGGCGGCCGCGGCGCAGGACGTCTTCGCAATTATTGACCGCCAGTCAGCTACTGACTCGCTGTCGCACGACGGCGAGCGCATCCCCGACTTCCAGGGCGACATCCGGCTGCGCGGTGTGCGCTTTGCCTACCCGTCGCGGCCAGGCGCCGCCGTCCTGCGCGGGCTTGACCTCGACGTGCCGGCAGGCCGGACTACAGCTCTTGTCGGCCCTAGTGGATGCGGCAAGAGCACTATCTTCGGCATCCTCGAGCGCTGGTACCCTGTTGAAGCTGGCTCTACAGTCACGTTCGACGGCCGCGACCTTGCCGGGCTCAACCTGCAGTGGCTGCGCACGCAGGTTCGGCTGGTGCACCAGGAGCCAACGCTGTTTAGCGGCACTGTCTTCCAGAATGTCGCTGACGGGCTCACTGGTATAAACACAGAGTGCCTTGATTGCGCGGAGAGGATGCGGCTGGTGACTGAGGCGTGCAAGGCGGCCTACGCGCACGACTTTATCGAGAGCCTGCCAAATGTAAGGGAAAGACCGTCCTTTTCCTATCTATGGCCGTTACTTGCTCCGCGGTTCTGCTCACCTTGCATCCTCTGCTAGGGCTATGAGACGAAGATTGGCGAGCGCGGCGCGTCACTCTCGGGCGGGCAGAAGCAACGCATCGTTATTGCGCGCAGCATTATCTCGAACCCTAAGGTACTGCTCCTCGACGAGGCCACAAGCGCTCTTGACCCTAGCGCCGAAAAAATCGTGCAGGCTGCCCTTAATAACGTCGCCCGGGGCCGGACCATGGTAGTGATCGCGCACCGGCTCTCAACGGTGCGCGACGCCGACAACATCGTTGTCATGTCCAAGGGTCAGGCGGTCGAGAGCGGCTCACACGCACAGCTGCTTGCACGCGGCGGCGCCTACGCACGCCTTGTGCAGGCGCAGGACCTGGGCCAGGGGGCCGACCGGGCCGACGGTGACGACGACGCCGCCGCCCCGGCCAAGGGCGCGGCGCCGGCAGCCCTTGAACTGACGCCGACGCGCAGCTCGGCGGCGCCCGGGGCGGCGGCGCAGGGTGGCGACGGGCGGTACGGCCTGCTGCACGGCCTGCTGCTCATCCTGCGCGAGCAGCGGCCGCTGTGGTGGCACTTGGCGGCAACGCTCGTGTGCTGCGTCGTCGGCGGCGGCACCTACCCGGCGCTCGCCATCCTCGTGTCCAAGGCTATAGTGGCCTTCCAGACGGTCGACGTAGCGCGCGGCAACTTTTTCGCCCTGCTCTTCTTCGTGATCGCACTAGTCAACTTCGTGGCGTATCTGTTTGTCGGGTGGTTCGCCAACGTGCTCGCCCAGGTAGGTTTCCGCCTATATCTCTGTCCCTCTTTGTTTCTCATACTTCGGGCAGGGTATCTCCCAACTAACTCAGCTGTCTCTATAGACGGTAATGCTTCATTACCGCACCGAAGTCTTCAACAATACGCTCCGCCAGGATATGAGCTTCTTCGATCGGCCTGAGAACTCAACAGGCGCGCTTGTCTCACGCATCGCGACGGAGCCTACGTCGCTACAGGAGCTTCTGTCGGCTAATGTCGCCCTGCTGGCTATGAACGCAGTCAACCTACTGTCATCGTCGGTGCTCGCTATTGTCTACGGGTGGAAGCTCGGGCTCGTGCTCGTGCTAGGGGCGCTGCCGGCACTTGTGAGCGCCGGCTATATTCGCATTAGGCTTGAGTCCCGGTTCGAGCAGGATATCGCTGCGCGCTTCGCTCATAGCAGCGGCATTGCATCCGAGGCCGTCATCGGTATCAGGACTGTCTCGTCGCTGGCCCTAGAGCGGGTCGTCATCGCCCGCTATGAGGCCGACCTACAGGGCATCGCCACGCGGGCCGTTGGCGACCTTGGCGGCAAGATGCTCTTCTACGCGCTAAGCCAGTCTATTTCCTTCCTCGCTATGGCCCTCGGCTTCTGGTATGGGGGCCGGCTGGTATCGACGGGTGAGTACTCAAACGGCCAGTTCTATATTGTCTTTATGGCAGTCGTCTACTCGGCCGAAGCGGCTGCCATGCTATTCCAATATACAACGAGTATCACGAAGGCGCAGACCGCTATTAACTATATCCTGGGCCTGCGCCGCGACCTCGAGCTGGTCGACGAGGAGCACGATGCGGACAACGGGGCTGAGAGCCCGACTTACGGTGGCAACGGCGCCGGGGAGAAAGACGCGCCGGCGCACGGCATCGAAGTGCAGTGCGAGAGCCTCGAGTTCGCGTACCCGCTGCGGCCGCGGCACCGCGTGCTCCGCGGCCTGGAGCTTGGCGTCGGACCCGGCCAGATGGTGGCACTGGTGGGCGCCTCGGGCTGCGGCAAGTCGACTGTTGTCGCCCTGCTCGAACGCTTCTACGACCCCACAGCCGGCACGGTGCGCGCCCACGGCCGCGACGTCCGCACGCTGGGCCGGCGGCGCTACCGGCGCGACGTGGCGCTGGTGCAGCAGGAGCCCGTGCTGTACCAGGGCTCCATCCGCGACAACGTGGCCCTGGGCGCCCGCGACGGCGGCGGCACGGGTGCGGAGGGGGAGCCGCCGCTGTCCGAGGACGACATCATTGCCGCGTGCCGGGCCGCCAACGCGTGGGACTTCGTCGCCTCGCTGCCCCAGGGGCTCGACACGCCATGCGGCCCCCAGGGCCTCTCGCTCTCGGGCGGGCAGCGGCAGCGCATCGCCATCGCGCGGGCGCTGGCGCGGCGGCCGCAGCTGCTGCTGCTCGACGAGGCGACTAGCGCGCTCGACAGCGCGTCCGAGGCGGCCATCAAGCAGGCGCTCGCCCGCGCCGCCACCGGCCGCACCACCGTCGCCGTCGCCCACCGCCTCAGCACGGTGCGCCACGCTGACGCCATCGCCGTCGTGGCCCGCGGCGCCGTCGCCGAGTTGGGCTCGCACGACGAGCTCATCGCCCGCAGGGGGCTCTACTACCAGATGGTCTTGTGCCAGTCGCTCGACCGCGAGGCCGCCTAGGCCGCGCCCCTTTCCTGCTCCCCGCTCTACCCGAGGCGGGAAAATATAAATGCCACTAGCCTTTTTTCTCTATCTTTGATTTATGTAACAACGAGACTTAAAGCGGGCTTCTAGACAGATTTACGTTGCTCCTCCGCGGTGTTTCTGGCTCCATGGATGGTGATACTCATAAGGTAGATGCCAATATACTATTTTTAAAGGCCATCAGGAGTCTAGTAGGCTCGTAAGGGACGTGCTTCCTCATAGTGTCTCTTAATCAGTTCACGCACCCCGGTGCTCCTGACATCGCCCGACGTATCAAGCCCCCGTAAGTCTGGCAAACGGTGATGCCGTATCATAGAACGTTCAGCGCCCCAGTTCACCTGTACGTTAATTAGAGTGACGTACGGAGTACTATGCGCTGCCACTACGTAATATACCTTAGTCTGGGCTGAGGCTGAGGTGTATTTGATACGCCTCGGGCGACGCCCACCATAATCAACCTTGTCTTCACCTGTTTTTTAACCTCTTATGCACCAAGCTTATTAGAGAATGTTCCACATTTCGTTTATACGTCGTTAATATGTATGTATTAAGTCTATGCTCCTCTTCTTGCCGGCTGTTATAGGGCTAACAAACGTTCTTATTAGCAGGATAAAGACTTATAAACTATACCAATAACACCTCTACTGGGGGTGTCCCTATTTTGCTGGTGGTGAAGTGGTATTAGCTTGAGTAGTACTATTCATATACTGCGACATAATAAAGAACTGCAAAATGCAATAGGGGAAAAATCTTCTTGTACTTTAGTTGCAAGGCGTGCATTTAACGACCCCAACCCAAAGAGTATAACAGATCTATGGTATTATAAGACGACCTCTATGGCAATCATCGTTATCGTGTGCGTGTTCTTGGCAGTCTTGCAAAGGAGAGGCCTAAGTGCGTGTAATTATCCTTGATAGATTCTAGAGGACATTAATTCGCCAGCTGCCTATACTTAACATGACTCTATCAGTATCGATTTTGTCGTCGCAGTTCAAGATCCATGTTCTTTAAGTGATGGAAGCTTGAAAGCACGCACATTCCCCTGAGGCATCTGATAAGTGCGGTTTATAGGGGTTCTGTCAGAGCAGAGAAGGACTTATAATACACGTTAATTAATTGCACCTCCAATGGGGGTGCCCCTATTTTGCATGGTATAGCGGTATTTTACCATACAACGGGATACAACTGGTATTTCGGTCGATTCAACCCTGAAAGGACCAGAAGCAGAGTAAAACCCACTAAACAAGAACTAATCCACAATCGGCTTCCTTAAGACTCTCGTCGGATATATGCCATTCGAAATGACGAGGGGAGAGATTAGCTAAGCTGCCGACATGGCCCCATTCTCTCTCTTTAACATTTGGAATGGCCGCCTAGTAGCGAACAATGCTGCATCCGCATAGTCAGCTACGCATTTCTCGGAGCAGTTGATGCAAGCCAAGAGGTACGCAGCGTGTATGGCTGTGTTTTCATGTGCGCCAGACCTCGCAGTATGGTTGCAGACCGTACTGATGCACGACGACAGTCAACGCCCGTTTCGGGGCCCAAAAGCATTGGGTACAAGCCGCATAGCTAACTACCTACCTACCTAGGTAGCAACAATTGTTGTTTTTGAGGGTTGCCTTCCCTTTAAGTCAGCTGCACACACGCCTATTTAGGAGCCTACTAGTCGTGGGGGATCTCTTCCTCCTAGTTAGCTCAGCAATGCTTTTCTCCAGCCTCTCCAGCCTCTCTTCAATGATTACCAACGTAAATAAAGTACCAACGGGTTCCAATAGACGATACCCTAAACCAGCGCCATGCTGGATTGCTTCCGACTGTCAGCGTTAAAGACCGTGTCCAGGACCAGCAGATGCTCATGCCCCACTCGTGCGCGGGAAAGTAAAGCTGTCTCCGCTAGGTCGACCTTTCTATAAACGGGGAAACAAAGATTTACTTAGCTCCGGTCGCATCGTTGACGTTAGCCTTCGGTATGGGAACGGTGCCTTAGAAGTTGCTAGAGAGGAACTCTTTAGCAACGTTAAATCATAGTTACAGAAATCCTACGATCGCTAATCTTATAAGAGCTTTAACGAGACTCTAAGCATCCTGGTGATAAATCAGAGACCTATAAAATAATCGCTCTCCCTAGATCCCTTTCTTTCCTAAGTATATTAAATCCTAAAAAGCCCTCCTTCCTCCTAGACCCCTCGTCTCGCACTCTAACCTACTAAGCGTCGGAGTGCCTAGTGGCCGTGCTTTCATAGTTAAATCTATAAACTCTTCTACATCGTCAATATTAGCATTTCTAACCCCATCTGGCATATTAATATAAGACCGCCTATTATCGATATACCAACTATATTGCTCCTTAAAGGCGCGTTGGAATAAAATCTTATATAGTGACCCCGCGGGTGGGCCGCTAAGAAGGGTAGAATAGAAACTCTCATATTTTCTTAGTACGGCCTCTGCTAAGTGGCCTGCACCCTCAGATTCTAGTAATCCTGCCACGGCCGCGAGGATCTCGTCAGACAGGCTCGACTGCCCCTGTAGGACCCGTAGGGCGGCCCGTCGCACGCCCGCGTCTTCGTCGCCTAGCCGTTGGACCGCGGCCGCGAGGATCTCGTCAGACAGGCTCGACTGCCCCTCTAGGACCCATAGGGCGGCCCGTCGCACGTCCGCGTCTTCGTCGCCTAGCCGTTGGACCGCGGCCGCGAGGATCTCGTCAGACAGGCTCGACTGCCCCTCTAGGACCCGTTGGGCGGCCCGTCGCACGTCCGCGTCTTCGTCGCCTAGCCGTTGGGCCGCGGCCGCGAGGATCTCGTCAGACAGGCTCGACTGCCCCTCTAGGACCCGTAGGGCGGCATATCGCACGTCCGCGTCTTCGTCGCCTAGCCGTTGGGCCGCGGCCGCGAGGATCTCGTCAGACAGGCTCGACTGCCCCTCTAGGACCCGTAGGGCGGCATATCGCACGTCCGCGTCTTCGTCGCCTAGCCGTTGGGCCGCGGCCGCGAGGATCTCGTCAGACAGGCTCGACTGCCCCTCTAGGACCCGTTGGGCGGCCCGTCGCACGTCCGCGTCTTCGTCGCCTAGCCGTTGGGCCGCGGCCGCGAGGATCTCGTCAGACAGGCTCGACTGCCCCTCTAGGACCCATAGGGCGGCCCGTCGCACGCCCGCGTCTTCGTCGCCTAGCCGTTGGGCCGCGGCCGCGAGGATCTCGTCAGACAGGCTCGACTGCCCCTCTAGGACCCGTAGGGCGGCCCATCGCACGCCCGCGTCTTCGTCGCCTAGCCGTTGGGCCGCGGCCGCGAGGATCTCGTCAGACAGGCTCGACTGCCCCTCTAGGACCCGTAGGGCGGCATATCGCACGTCCGCGTCTTCGTCGCCTAGCCGTTGGGCCGCGGCCGCGAGGATCTCGTCAGACAGGCTCGACTGCCCCTCTAGGACCCGTCGGGCGGCCCATCGCACGCCCGCGTCTTCGTCGCCTAGCCGTTGGGCCGCGGCCGCGAGGATCTCGTCAGACAGGCTCGACTGCCCCTCTAGGACCCGTAGGGCGGCACGTCGCACGTCCGCGTCTTCGTCGCCTAGCCGTTGGGCCGCGGCCGCGAGGATCTCGTCAGACAGGCTCGACTGCCCCTCTAGGACCCGTAGGGCGGCACGTCGCACGTCCGCGTCTTCGTCGCCTAGCCGTTGGGCCGCGGCCGCGAGGATCTCGTCAGACAGGCTCGACTGCCCCTCTAGGACCCGTAGGGCGGCATATCGCACGTCCGCGTCTTCGTCGCCTAGCCGTTGGGCCGCGGCCGCGAGGATCTCGTTAGACAGGCTCGACTGCCCCTCTAGGACCCGTAGGGCGGCATATCGCACGCCCGCGTCTTCGTCGCATAGCCGTTGGATCGCGGCCGCGAGGATCTCGTTAGACAGGCTCGACTGCCCCTCTAGGACCCGTAGGGCGGCCCATCGCACGCCCGCGTCTTCGTCGCCTAGCCGTTGGACCACGGCCATGAGGACATTGTTTGTTAAGTCCGTGCGAGAGGCACGTAGTACCACGAGGGCCTCGGCCCTCAATAGCGGAGGCATGCCGCCTATCACCCAAGAAGCTGCCAGTTCAATGACGCTTGGCGGGATTGCCGGTCGTCCTTGCAATGACTGGAGAATCTTGATCTTGGCGCCATTAAGCCCTTCTCGCAAGGCATCGCGCAAGGCCTCCTCGGGAAATTCCATTTCGCTTGTTAAGTGCACCTCCTGTTGATAAGTGCATTCGAAGAGTAGCCACTGCCTCAGTTTCTCTTCCAGGCACTGTCTAAGCGGCATCTTCGTTGATACTTCGCTCAAGCAATGCATGACCAGCCGTTGATGCGTAGGGCCCAAGAGGTCCAGCGGCTCCTCCTCGATCGTCTGGAAGAAGCCGAGCGCCTCTCCCTCCTCTCCGGGGTCTGCCTCATCCTGAACAGCTATTAAGCCGGCAACAAAGCGCCAAAATACATCGTAGCGTGCCGAGTATTTTTGCTTCCGAAGAAACTCGACCGGAGGGATCTGCTTGGTTCCTTTGCCACAGAGATCCAGACACTTGAGCGGTTGTGCGGAACTCCAATGGCGCATGAAATACCGCGCCGCAAAGTACTCTTGAAAGGTTAGGTGTAAAAAGTGATAGTTTCGGTTGGAGTCTTCTGAGAAGTGGTCTGACGTCCGCAGAAAAGAGAGGCGTGGAAGCGTTTTGTCGAGTAAGAGGGACCGGTGCTTGAACTGCTTCGATATGGCTGCCTGATGCTGCGGCGTGAAGTCTATGACGTCGTTGTGCAGTCCCGTGAAAGCAAGACCTTCAAGAAGACATGCCTCATGCTCGACGAGGTCCTCGACATCTGAGAACCCAATCTGAGAAGGCGTCACCAGTTCCCCGTTGTGTCTTTTACCTAATCGCACGGCATCCTTTCTCCACAGCCTTTGCTCGATGGCTCTGTATATGCCCGTCATTGTGTCCGGCACTGTCCCAAGACCGAAGTCGTCCCAAGTGTAACAAAGCGCGTCCAGCTGAATCGGGATTCGCACAAGCCCCTCAATGAGCCAATGTTCTTGAAGAAAGGACCGCACCTCGTTCGCCCTGGGTTTTATTTTCGGATCGGCGTCGAGGTAGGCCTTCACTTGATCAGGGTAGAATCCAACTGTTTCCAAATCGAGATCGATATCTCGGAGAGACGGAAGGTTGGCGTTGGGCCGTGATGTGATAACAACATTAGGCTGATATAGTAGTTGCGCGAGAAAACGGGACATGTCGTTATCACCACCGATGTCCTGGGATACTTCATCCAACCCATCGAGGATGAACAGAGTCCTACCGCTATCGTCGTCCTTCAATGTTCGCCATAGTTCCCTGGCCAGACGGCGGCCATCGTCGTGTCCCTCTCCAGAGAAATATTCATGGTAGAACAAATCCTCGAAATTGTATCCCGCGGCTAAACGCCCTTTTAGATTCCGCAAAGGTACCCAGAGCAAGCGGTCGAACAACTCCGCCCATGGGAACTGTAACTGTGTCTGATTGGTAAAATCGTAGACCATCTTTTTGCACAAGGTAGTCTTCCCTACTCCTGCGCGTCCTCGAATCAAAATTCGTCTAGGTTTTATCGTGTGACCATCGTGCCCCTTTCGTTGATTGAAGATTGTCGCCAAGTCAACCTGGAACGTCTCGTCTGGTGTTTCAACCTTCTGTCGAGCGAAGAGTGAAAACGGTGAGGACTGAGATGTATCCGAGCGGTCCACTTTGTGTCCCAACTGCTCCACGATGGCAAGATTGATGTAGCATTGCTCCATCGGCAACAAGTCGCCCGAGAGGCGTTCGATCTTGAGCCTCTCGGGGGTATAATGCTTGTCTCGTATCCAGTCGTCCGCTTCCTTCTTGCGAATGTTCCGCAGAAATTCTTCAATTTTTCCAGCAACACATTCGTAATCGTGATCTTGAAAGTCGCCGCGGTCGCCGCAAAACTTATTCATCAATCGGTGGCCTCGATCGAGCGGCAGGGGGTGTGGAACCATTTGCAGCGTCGCCGAGGACTTATCGACAAGCTGATGACTGTTAGCATTGTTCTATTACTGCGAACATAATATGGTGGTCCGAGAGGCACGGTGTGTTTCAAGGTTCTTACTGGCTTGGCTCCAATCGGCAAACAAGGGAAGACTTTGTGGTAAAGGTTCGTCTTGCCTAATTCATAGAAGGTCATTACTTGAGGACGAGTCGGGTCTCGGCACAACTGATCTCGGTACAACTGTGTGAAGCTTCTGACAAGTTCGTCAATATCGACAGATTTTTTGACGCTATCGAGCAGTTTGGACACCTCCCGGCCTCGTAACGAAGCCCAGGCCCTGAGACCCGGCTCTGCCCATTTGGCTACGTCTTGGAACGAGGTGCCTCCGAAGGGAGTGGCAAGGAAGACGATACCACGCGTGGCTGTCCTGACGCAGCGGTACTCGTTATTGGCCATGACCAGAGCCTTCATCAAGATGACGCCCCCGAGACACGACGCGATGAAGAGAATCGGCCGGTCTTGGCGTGTATGGTCATTCATTGGCGTAGGCCGTCTCTTAATGCCATCGAGCAATTGCCGAGCAAACTCGTCATTCGTTTTTTGGGTCAAGCCCGACGGTTCGAACGTGTCGGCCGGCCAGTCGCACGTGAATATTCGAGCCCGTCCGACTTTGCTCGGGAGCATATGCGAGTCAGAGAGCCAATTAATATCAGGCGTTTTGCGCTCTTTGTCCATCCATATCCAAGTGTCTGGAGACTTCGTGTCCAGGCCATGTATGGCAATGATGTCGACGTCCGTCTCGGTCTCATCCTCGTTTGGAGCGGGAAGCGGGCGTAGACGGACACCTCGCTTTTGCCCAGACGGTGGTGTTGGTTCTTCTCGAAGGGGGATTGCGTTTGAGAGCCGCTGCTCCCCACGTAGCCGAGATGCTGCCTGCCGCGGACGCGCCTGCCTGCTGCGGAGCCAAAGATAAAAGCCAACCGTTCCTGCAGTCAGGAGAATTACGTGGCTAATGTTGACTGGGCTTATTATCTCGGCTATCAGCAGGGCCAAACGCTGGGGGTTGAAAGTATAGCGGCTAGACCCGTCCGTACACATGTTCGCCGCTATTCACGCAGGGCGGGGGATCGAACTGTCGATGGCGTTGCTCCCGAGTCGAACGGCACCACAACTGTGAAACGCGCGAAGGAAAATGATGACTGCCCAAGTGCAGAAGCGGTTTGCCCAAGACTAAACAGAGGATCGTTTGCCCCTCACGCGGTCTGGGAGGTAATTAATACGACTTGTTTTGGCCCCCAGGGCGGGCCGCATGGAAGGCTCATCCGATGCGTGGCGATTCGTCAGATCAACCTGCGCAACTAGTCGTATAAGTTGCTCCTCGAACTCCAATAGAAAGGCGTTGGGTAATAGCGCTCGGCCCTTCGAGCACGGTATGTTGAGATGAACGAGCTGAAAATTGCCTGCATGGTTGGATCAACACCGCTGTGACTCGCCGCTGCATACTGTGCCTTCACGATCGCCACGGCGCTTGGACGAGACACATGGCGAACCAAACCTAGGCGCAATTCTGGGTCAAGCAACAAACAATTACCATTCTCCCAATTATGAAAGTGGGCGAAACACCGGCACGTTACACTTCTTTTCCGGCATCTGTCAAGCTGGTAAAATACCGCTACACCAGGCAAAATAGGGACACCTCCATTGAAGGTGTTATTCACGCGTTTATAACTCCTTTCTCGGCTCTGACAGCAACAGAGTGGGCTCGGGCGGCGATGGCACCGGCACAAGAGCGACAAGACAGCGCCAACGTGTAAAGACAGTCATCAGATCAGGTTAAGCCTGGAGACAAGGAGTAGCTGTGACTTTACAGTGTTTGATCTTATCGATCGTCCATGAAGCTCGACTGGCCGACGGCCATGTACACAGTTTTGGAGGCGGTCGGATTGCACCCATGTCGGCTCGACACGCCTCCCGGGATATACAACGTCTTCTAAGTGTCTCTGCTGTGGTTAGCGGCAGACGACCCGCTACCATTGCAGACGTCAGATGATTGCTGATCGCCAGCCATCCCTACGGATAAAGGCGAGCTATGGGAGGTAGAGGAGATCCGCGAGAAGGTGAGGAGACAGTGGAAGGCTCTAGTGAAATGGATTGGATGCCACCCGCCCTTCGCCACAACCCATTTTTCGCAAAAAAGGCGACGCGCCCTATTTGGTTAACCAACCTCTTATTTCCTTTGCCGCTTCTGTCACTGTCTGACTTTCTAGTTAATCATGCCTCTTATGTCACTGCCCTCTTACACTCTTATTCTTGACCATCTGAAATGCTACTAATCTTGAATAGAGCCTTTGCGTTGTCACGTCCTATTTTCTTCTTGTCTCCGACGTTTAGAGACATGTCATCGTACCAGCTGCAGGCATCGTCGAACGACTCAAAGGGGTAGTCAATTGAGAACAGTATTCTGTCGGCGCCAACCTCAGCCATGCAAAACTGCAGCGTGGTTGTAGAAAAGTGACCGCTGGTTGTAATCCAAAGGTTCCGCTGAAAGTACTCGCGGATCGTCTTCTCACAGCTCAGGCCGAGCGGCTTCTTCACATCTTCAAACCAGTGGTTGATGCGCCACATGTCAAACGGGATGTGCTCTCCTAGATGGCCAAGTATGACTTGAAGATTGGGGTGGCGGTCGAAGACGCCGTTGGTAACCATGCCGAGAACGTGGAGGCTGACGCCATGGGCAAAGCTCAGGGGTGGCCCGATCAGCCACTTGCGCTTGGCCCAGAGTCGTTCGTGCAGAGTTCCGGTCGGATTGCGGGGATGGAGATAGAAGGGAACGTCAAGTGCGGTCACAGCGGACCAGAAGACATCCCACTCCGGACCGTCGTAGAATATAGCATCGTCGCCGTCGGGACCGGCGCGCTGGGTGTCATTGACAAGTGCGCCTTTGAAGCCGTACTGAGTTACACATCTCCTGAGCTCGGCCGCAGCTTCGTTGGGATCGTGCATAGAGAGGGTGCTGCCATGATGTGAGTCAGTGTGTCATTTTCACTGTCCAACTGATGCTTGACTTGGGGGGATATGTTGTTGCAAACATACGCGAAAGCTCCCAGGCGGTGCGGGTAGTCCTTGATAACTCCCGCAACATAGTCATTGATTTCGACAGCCAGCTCCTGCGCCTCTTGGGAGTCCCAAATGTCTTGCACGCCGGGCGCAGTGTAGGACAGAATGGTGTAGCCAACACCATAGCGATCCATGTACTTGATTCGCGTGTCGGTAATGTCCTGCATCTCGGCCGCGTGTTTGTCAGGGTTTACCGCGAACAGGGAGGCCCACCACCTCGTCTTTTCGTGTAGACGAGGTAGAGCAAATGCCTCTTCCAGAGCTATTTTGCCCAACATGGTGGGTGGGCGTGACTGGAAAGGCACAAGACGACAAGGCAGAACATAGATGTCCCAGGGGTCTTTGATATGACGACACGAGATGTGGCCTTTATACCACTTGGTCAACCTGTGGGCCTTTCGAAGAGCGTTATTTGCATCTACCTCGTCCAGGCATGTCTCGCGGATACCGGCACGCAGAAGCGGCAGGCATATGACCCCCAAGGTTCAGACAGTATCCGCCGCACTGTCGCGGGTCGGTAGTCGGTAGCCGTGATACTGTAGCTTGGACTATACAGTGCGGATCCGCACGGCTGTCCTGTCATGCCCCTCGCGAATAGAGGCGGTTTCGTGAGCTTTATTGAGTCTTCGTGTTTCAGTTCGGTCCTCTCGACAGAGCTCGCATCCATCTGCTCGTACACTGCACCGGGTGCACGAAAGCGTGGATTCGACTAAGCCATTTCAGGTTCTTTAACATGGGCCTCAATTGAGATTGTCCATTTACTGTCTGTACTAAAACTCCCTTGAGAGACTATCCGCGAATATCTTAACCAGCTCGCACACTTCATCTGCTGCTTCAATGCAATGCCAATGACCCACTCCCTCGAGCACCTCGACACGCTTTTGTCTTTGCTCGCCTCCCCAGCTACCCGGTGCACATTAGCGGTGGCAACATATACGCGAGAGATTTGGCAAGAAGTGACCTTTGTAGAATCTCACGAGAGTCTTGCGGGGGACTGGTCAGGTCGTGAGATCCCGCAATGATAAGTAGCGGGCAGCGAATGTCGCCGTACCGTGGGCACTTGGCACTCGCAATCGTACGACACAGTGACATGTAGCCTTGAGGAGACTGTGCGAGAAGCAGAGCGCGAATGAAGGCGCGGTGGGTTGACGTAGCCTTGGGTCCCGTCGCCGCGGTAGGAATCGTGCTGGCCATGGCCTCCATGCCCTCTTTTCAAGCCTGTCAGCGCCCAACGTCGGTTCGTGTCAAGGATCGCTCTATACCGGCTTCCACGCGCTTGATTCTCGCCGCAAATAGCTGGCCCAGCGCATCAGACGGGCTGACGGGCCCAATCAGGACCACGCCGACGAGATCGAGATGGAGGGCTAACTCGCTCGCGAAAATTGCGCCCATCGAGTGTCCCACGACGATGATGCGCTTGGAGTCGAGGTCGAGGGCGGTGATGAGAGCGCTGGCTGCGCCGCATATCATCTCCGAGTCGCAGTCCCTGCCTCGATACTTGGACAAGGCGCTGCCTAGAGCCACAGACCCAGTCAGATACGTGTCATTGCAAACGAGAGAGTAAGTTTGGTATCATCCAACCTGGCGTGTCAAAAGCCAAGCACGAGCATCCGTGCTTGACAAGGGTGGGAATGATGGGGGCAAAGAACGAGCTGGAAGACCCGAGCCCGTGAATAAATACCAATGTGAGACCGTCATCGTTAGCCCGCGTCCAGTCGTAGTAGAGGTCCTGATCTTCAATGCGGAGAGACGGCATGGCGCGGAACTCGGCTGCAGCTTTGACTCCTGTTAAGCAACGCTCCCAAGACCTACAGTTTACGAACGGCTTTGGAAAAGCTCAAGCCAAACCGAGACCAGGGTCTGGCACGAATGAGTACTTGTCCCTTTGAACGACGAGCTGCGAGATAGTGCCGCGTCGGGGTGAGCTTATCTGTAACGTCGACGCCCCCACCCCCTCCATGTCCTTTTTCTTCGCCCCTCATGCTCTGGGCCTGATTTAGTTGCCGGTCGGGTATGGGACGGGACGGACCCCTAAAAGATATAAGTTACATGTTTCTACAGTATACGCTACAGTAAACTCCGGCGGTGCAACTCGTGCAGTCTCGCCGAAAGCTCATATACTACGTCGACAGAAGCAAGTAGGTAAATGGCAATAACGAATCTCGCTTGACATTCGGTGACCAGACTACGAATAACGAAAGGGGAGAAGCTTGCCATCCTGCATCAGCCATGGGAAAGACTGGAGAGTTATACAGCTCTACGGCTGAAAGTTCGCGGATTTTCGATCTGCTCTTTACACTCGTCGACGGCGTGTCTCTGCCTCCAGAGACCCAGGCAAAAAAGGTTGACATCAGCTTTACGGCATCCCGCGATCAGCCGTATTTCCCTGTTCCCTTCAAGGAGACAGAGGTCGCCGCAGCCTTAAAGGCAGTCGAGGGCAGCGCCGCTGCTCTCTTAGCCGATCAAGCAAACGGAACCGAGAAAAGCCGGAAAATTACGGTCAACCTGGAAAAGACCACGGCCTTTCTGTTCCAAGCATATCTTGCAAAGATTGGAGGCCTCGGCAAGCTCGATGCGGATGTCAAGTCTCTGCTGAAAGGTAGTGAAGCGTCCAGCACGAAATGTCGGCCTTAGGGCAGCGGCAACAAAAAGAGGGGCTACGACTAACAACCTGGAAGACACAGATATTCTACAGGCTCAGTCCAACCCGTATCGACGCATGTCCGCCAACTTATACGCAACCGCCGAGGAGGGAGAGTATTACCACATCCACGGCTCGCTGGAGGCTTCAACCACACTGCGCATGCTTGGTCTGGAGGCTTTTCGCCCCGATCTCAAGACCCACGATGATATTGTTCGCGTCATCGAGGCGGCCGTCAAAAAGCGTACAGTCGATGAGCTAGAAATCTTGAATGCGCAGCATCGACAAGCGGGTGTCAAAGCATTCAAACATGATGAGTTTCTTCAAACGCCACACGTATGGGTCCCCCATGCTGCCTCCGTTGAGTTGGATAAAACAATCTCATGGCTCCTCTAGGGACAAGTCAACTGGAGACTGCCTCCGTGGACCGTCGAGCAGCTCGAGGACAGCACCCCTAAGCACGGCCTGCCAGGCCGTGGTGAAAGCCGCCGACTTCTCGCCGGGGTTAAGGTGCTTGAAATGTGCCGCATTATTGCGGGGCCGGTGATTGCGCGCATCTTGGGAGAGTACGGTGCTGATGTACTCAAGATCACCAGCCCAAGCCTAAGTGACGTGCCCTTCTTCCAGGTAGATGGAAACATGGGCAAACGGACCGCGGATCTCGACTTGAAGACTCCGGAGGGCAGGAGCGCATTTGAGCGACTCCTGGAGGATGTCGACGTCATCATAGATGGCTACAGGCCTGGCGCCCTAGACAGACTTGGATACGGAGTCAAGGCTCTCTCGGAGACAGCGGCCAAGAGGGGCAAGGGCATTGTCTACGTGAACGAGAACTGTTTCGGCTACCAGGGAGAATGGGCAGGCCGCCCTGGCTGGCAGCAAATCGCGGACTGTGTAAGCTTCGCCCCGACAGTCGGAAACCTTGTATACCGGCTGACTCCTTGTCTCCTCATTCCCTCACGCCCGGTGAGTGTAGGTCAGCGGCATCGCATGGGATCAAGGCCGCTTCATGGGACTCGACGAGCCCGTTGTGCCCCCGTTTCCCATTTCCGACTACGGCACGGGATGCATGGGTGCCATTGCCGCCCTCACCGGACTCTATCATCGGGCCGCACGGGGAGGCTCATGGCATGGAAAGACGTCGCTGTTGCATTATGACCTTCTGCTATATAGAGCCGGTCTCTTACCAGCCCAAGTACAAGACCAGCTTAGAGCGCAGGCCGGCCAGGAGTTCCTAGCCCTTCGTCACGCCCACAGCGTTGATCAGATTTCGGGCACCGCTCTCCAGGAACTAAGGAGACGATATCCCGAGTTCGTTGACCAGCCACGGTATCTAGACCACTGGTACTCGGACGGCTACAAAGCTGATGTCTCAGCCGTCTTGCCGGTGGTGGAAATTCAAGGCTTGGACATCAGCTTTGCGCGTGCCAGCAGGCCCAACGGGGCTGACGAGGCGAGCTGGGATTTTGAAAAGGAGAAGGACCAGAGAATCCCGTATGTACGGGCGTGAGGTAGTTCTAGCTTTGCATGGGTGGATGGTCGAATGGATGTAAACAAGCCTTGCCTTTGCATTGTGAAAACGTACACCTTGGTGTCTCGCCAACTAGGGCACGTCTGATTGCGGGGGGTGGCCTGACATGTCTACCAAGCGACTACGGAGTACTGGCATGATACAAGCTTCAGTTAGTGGAACAGACCCCCGTCGCTCTTGTTGGTGGCTCGAGGGGCGGTTGTTCCAGACCGACGTCGGGTAAGGCACCTTTAGCGTCAAGCCTCACTTCCGACAATCCCGACCCGCCTTCGTGCGGGGAAGGAGGTAGACCTATCAGAGGAGCAGAGACGGCTGGAACTGCAAGCTGACCAACTGTAAAGATTACAACCTTGTTCCGGCTGTATGGAACATGCAGGGCGTGTTGCTGTTCGTCGACTCGGGTGGACCTAATAATGTGAATTGTTGTCGTGGTCGTGGCCAACCACCGCGCTTACAAACGACTGGTACTTGATATGCTTTGGTCTATTGGAATATATTTCTTCTGCTTCTCCTCTGCGCTCCAGGCTTGAACGCTACGTATGCCACCGCAATCATGGCTTCGCATCACCCACGCGATGGCGGCCAGAACGCCGACAGCAGAGGCCTGGGTGCAGACTTCACAAACAATGTGGTCGCTGCCATGGGCCCAAACACTTCTCCGCGACTTCGCGAGGTCATGGAGGCCCTCATCAGACATGTCCACGACTTTGCTCGCGAGGTTCAGCTTACCACTGACGAGTGGATGGCTGGTGTGCAAATGATCAACTGGGCCGGGCAGATGAGCGACGACAAACGCAACGAGGGACAGCTGCTTTGTGACGTCCTAGGCCTGGAATCGTGAGTGATTGAAACTGAGAGATGTGCCGAGCCAAGGTGACTGACTAGCAGCGTTGGCTAGACTTGTGGACGACATCACCTTCAGCGCTGCGCGGGAGCGCACCAATGGGCTAACTGCATCTGCTATCCTGGGACCCTTTTGGAGAGCCGATACTCCGAGCCGCGAGAACGGATCTAACATTAGCTTCGACACGCCAGAAAACGGCGAGCCTGTGTATATGCATGGCAAGGTGATCGATGTGGAGAGCGGCGAGCCTTTGCCAGATGCCACCGTCGAGGTCTGGCAGGCATCGACCAACGGTAAGTCTTCGTCTACGGCTGTAAAGCGGCCATTTATATTAATGTGGTCGTTGAAACAGGCCTCTACGAACAGCAAGATCCGAAGCAGCAGGAGCACAACTTACGAGGGGTCTTCAAGACGGATTCTCAAGGACAGTACTTCTTTCACTGCTTACGTCCGACGCCCTACCCGGTAAGTCTCTAGTCTCGATCGTGATCAGCTGGTGCAATGCTGATACCCGCAGATCCCGCGAGATGGCCCGGCAGGCAAGCTGCTCGACTTGATGGACCGCCATGTCTTCCGGCCAGCACACATCCATCTAATGGTGAGCTTCAGATCCCCATCCTCTCGAGCGCGGGCCTCTCATCTCACTCGCATTTGCTGACCAAGTCGCTAGGTTTGTGCGAGCGGTTACAAGACATTGGTCACTCAAATCTTTGACCAAGGCTGCAAGTACCTGAGCAATGATTCCGTCTTTGCTGTCAAAGACGAATTGAAGGTGCAATTTGATCCCCGCAATGGCGATGCTATAGCTAGACTGGAGCTTGAGTACAATATTAGCCTTGCCAAGACTGCTTGAGGAGAGAGGATGGGAGCGGAACGAATGGTCTTTGGTAAAGAATTGAGTGGGCCGCAGAAGCTGTGTTTGGTGTGAACTGGTGAAGTGCTCGGTATGCTCGTCGAATAGTGTAGATTCTGGGCGATCTGAAAAGATTCGGTCTCCAAGTCAACTTACAGTGCTAAAGCTTGTTAGGATGAGCTACCAGCTGAGCACGAATCGGCATCTTTATTATCGCATTATACGTATGCCCCTAAAGTGACTTCGCCTGTAGTCCGGCATGGATATGTCTTCAAATCGAAGCGAGCACGCAAAAAGACCGCTACGTCTCGGCAAGTGGAATAACTCGAGATATATATACAGCCATAACATGTAGACAAATCAATACCAAAAACGATTTACAACAAGGAACATGATCGATTATTATCTAGCCTCCAACCGTGATACCGTTGGGCAACTCAAGTCCGATTGGTAAGCCGCGAATGAACTTGTCAGGGAACTCGACGCCGCGCCGTGCTGCGAGCTGTTCCTCGATGTCCTTGTACATATCATATCTGAGATGCAAGTCAGCGACTGTAGGACCATTGCCTTTGGCGAGGCTTACGCGTTCATTTCTTCGATGGTCAGAATCTTGCCCGGATCCTCCACTTTGTATGTAGGGATGTTCTTGTTAACCGAGAAGCCTGCACCCTGCCATCAGCAAATGAGAGTCGCGCAGTGAGTAGTGGCCGGGACGGTATACCTATCCTCTCGTTTATGTTGTAAGCCGCTTTGGCGGCGGCGGCTTGCACACGAGTGACGCGCGGCAGCCGTACTTCGTCATATACGGAAAGTGCCTGGGCGATGTTGCCCTTGAAGTTGCTCTTGTTGAAGAGAATGCCAAGTGCGGCTGCATCCTCGATTGCCATGCACGCTCCCTGGCTCTGGTGCGGCATCATGGGGTGGCCGGCGTCGCCGAGCAGGCAGACGTTGCCGCGGTGGATGTACGGGTACGGGTCGTGAATCCACAGGCGCCAAGGACGAATCTCCTTTCCAATGGCCAGGTGGCTGAAGACTTGTCGATCCAGCTCAGGGTATGGGTTCAGGAGCTCCTCGACCGGGCGGTCCTCTCCGCCCCAGGTCTGGTTGGCGTAATCGCCCCTGTCGCGGGGAAAGAAGCAGTAGTAGGAGAGCAGCTTGCCGTCGTTGCACGGGGATAAGACAATCTTGTCCCATTTGCCCTCCTGACCACCCCAGTACTCCAGGGCACTGTCTTTGGAGTAGTCGACAAGGCCGGCCTTGACGGCCTCTTCGGTGGTGACGTTTGTGTGCAGACAGCTCTGATCAGCCGGCCGCTTCTCCGGTTTGATGCCTATCGCCCCTCTAACGGCAGACCCAATGCCATCCGCGCCCACAATCAGATCATGTCGGACGACGGCGCCGTTCTGGAATGTGATCTTGCCGCCGAGAACATCGACGTCTCGACACTTTTAGAGGAGACGAGCGTATATGGTGTAAGCCGCGGTCTGGTGAATACTTCTGCGGGCACAAAGCTCTTACCTTGTGATTGACGAGCAGCCTAGCAGGCGGCCCTTCGCCCTCCCCTTGCAGTGCACATTCCTTAAGCATGGCGTGCATGTACTGGCGATGGAACATGTTGTAGACATAGCCCCATCGCTCCTGGTAGTCGTCGAGGTCATACACACTTACGGGCTCGCCGGTTTTCCAGTCTCGGTTGATGAGCTTCTTCAGCACCACGGGGTCGCCCTTGGCGACATCGACATCCCACTCGTGAAGCCAGCGAGTTCCGTTGGCAGCGCAGGATACTGACGCACCAACCTCGCCGGCAAAGTCCGACTTTTCGTAAATGGTGACCTGATGGCCGGAGCGCCGGAGCGCGATGGCCGCCGACATGCCGCCGATGCCGCCACCGATGACGCCGACATTCAGTTGCCGCCAGGCAGGCATGTTCTGAGAGCCCATCTCGAGTCTATCTGCCAGTTCAGGCTTCTTGAGCTTTGGAGGGTCAAAAGCAACGCAACTTGGCTAGAGCTTTCAGCCTTGGTTATTATTTGCTTGCCTTAAAGGGACCTCGGAAGTCTTCGTCAAGCCGACGCAAGGGGGCTCGTCTGCCGGGCACAAGTCATATATATCTCGAAGTGCCACCAGTCAGACTTCATTATACTCTTTCCTTACACATTCGCCGCTGGAGCCCTGGATTGAAGTTTACTTTCCATCCGCTACCAGCGGGAGTGCGCTATCCGACACGTCGGCTACGGCCCCGCCCGCGACTCCGTCGCATCGCTGCGTACGGGCTTGACTCCCCAGTCAGGTTGCTCCCGCTGTCGAGGTACATGCGGTCACATGGAGCATGAGTCCAAAAGATAGCGGGGAAGTTCTGAATATGTGCTGTCTTGCTCTGCTTGTGAACATTGCATGCAGAGAACATGTGAAGCGAGATACGAGGTGACGCGAGCACTGCCAGTTCGCATCACCCCCATTGGTTAAAGCAGAAGCATGAACAGCGCGTTCTCCAAAAGTTGTTTCAGTTCTCGCGTTGCTCACATGTAGGCAGACGGCCACTTTCTGTTCATCTTCCAAGCCGACGGACGAGGTCTCTGCGCAAGACTCGAGTCGATGCGAAGTGGTGTTAAGAAACAAAGGGGAAGCTATCCCAATGCGAAATCTCTAGAGTGTCCCAGCCAAGAAACACTTCCTCTCCCGGGTCGAGTGGCGTGCGGTTTCCACACAACCAATTGTCCCACTGGTCCATTGCGCGCGGCGCAACATCTGCCGAGGGCATTGGAGGTTGTTCGTCTCCCTCTGCGTCGCAATCGGGGGCGTTGCTGCATTGGAGCGTTAAAATCCTCGACACATAACGACTCCTTCCCTTGAATGCCGATCTCTCGCGCTGCTTTGATATGGCTTTGGCCAGAAGCGTTAATATTTCATGGTAGTGCGCCGCTTGGGGACTCGATGTCGCGAGGAAGCTCAGGATATCCCGGGCACCGCCAAAAGCCGATTCAATGACATGGTCGATGGACCTTTTTTCAAAGAGGTCAAATCCCAGAACTAAGCCTGCTGCAAATACCAGAGCCCTGGACAAGTGTTATAAAAGTGACTCGGACGAGGGCGGGTAGGTAGGTGGCGAGCCTCTTACTTCATGATGCACATGTTGCCATACAAGAGCTTGGCCTCTCGCGCCTCGATGCAGGTTTGGACCAGGAAGACCGCTGCATCGAGGCAAGCCGAGGCTATATGAGAGCGAGCCAGGCCGCCGCTGACAGGTTGGGCAGTAAGGCTCGATATCAGGACGGGGCGGGTGGCCAACATGACGGCAAAGTAGTAGAGGCATGACACGTGTATGCTCCCAATGGCGGCATCGTGCGGTTTGTTCTCGGCGGCATCCACGGCAATGGAGACGCTGCGGAGACATTGGGGCAGCTTCCTCTCCCACGCTTGGATCTCGCCGAGAAGCTGCTCCACCAGAGGCGTCGTTAATTCCTTACGCTCGTATAGCGTGTCGACAATGCCGTTGATGATGGAGACGATGTGATGCGATGCAATGAGACGTTTGGTGTCGTCGTTTGGACTCGCGATCGACATGTCTTTGATGATGGCCTCAATGTCAGAATGTAGGCCTGCTGTAGCTGCTGGACGCCCGAGGATGGAGTTGGCAAGCATGTCGACAATGCGCAAGCTGATCCAAACCCGTAATCTACGAGCCGGACGAGACCCGTTAGCGCGCATCCTTCAAGGACAGTAGTCTCCCCGGCTTTCCCACACCTGATACTGTCATGCCGGCCAGCCATGTCCGTATATGACTCACGGCTGTGCAGGCCGAGAGCCACGGCAGCCCGCGTTGCGATGCCAAGGTACATGAATGCCGCGTTTCGCCGGCACTCCCCTAGAAGATAGAAGGCCATGAGAAGGAAGCAGCGGACAATGTCGATGTCAGGGTCCTCTAGCATCCCCTCAAACGCCTGCGACCGGGCTCGGCGGAAATAGGGTTGACCAATGTCCCGGGCCGTCTCCGGAGACTGCACCTGTGCTCCGATGGCGATGACAAGGCCCAGAGCTGCTCTCCTCTGCGCGCTGCAATGCACGTCGTTTATCAAATCACCAACAGCCGCCGCTTGAAGCTCCGAGGATGTAAATATATCGATGAAGCCTTCTGTCTGGGGCCGTGGTCAGCGGTATAGGGGCTTGAGACGACGACAGCATATACAGACATACCACGGCGCGGAAGCAGTGTGATAGGCCAACTTTTGTCGTGACATCGAGATGCGATGCTTCGAGAAGGCGTGGGTCGCTGTCAGACGGGGGAGGCTCCTTTTCGAGCATGGTATCGCTCTGGGCGTTGTGTGAGAACTGCGAGGGGCCAATCTGCTCGGCCACCACTCGGCGAACAACCTGCAGAAAGGAAAGCGACGCGGCGCCGCCTACATACACTGCTCATCGCGGGTCAGCAAAGGCTCAGATGCTCCGAGACAAACGACGCTCGAGAAATCATTGCCGTGCTCACCCCGCTCACCACGCATGTTTAGGAGCATCCGCGAGTGAAGATTGGCTGACATGGGCGACGACGAAGCCGCCGGCCCTGACAGACGCTGTTGTTGGGCACCGCCCGGACTGCCGGAGACGTCGACGCTTCGCCGCGACTCGGACGGCGACGGCGGACGAAAGTCCTCGCCGGGTCCCGCTGCATCGGAGGCAACCTCGTAGATGGCGCCACCCGCAGGGGACGAGCTCGGCGGGCGCGGGTCCGGACCCAGCAGAGACAGCTCGGGGCTCACCGCGGGGGGATCGGTGGCCGGGGCCGGAAAGCCCTGTCTGGATCCCCGGGGCCGCAAGGAGATGCAGCACTGGTTGCCGATGCCCCGACGCAGGCAGTGGACGCAGGGGACCGTGCCGCTGCACTTCTTCTTGACCTCGCGGCAGAAGTTGCAGGCCTCGGCGGCCCGGCGACGCTGGCTCGGCAGCACCCGTGGACGGGGCATGGCGGGCGGTGGCGGCACCAAGGATGTCTAACCCGCCTGCCCGCAGGAGCTGCTAGACTTGGCGTTGTGTTTTGCCTGTTGAGCGGCTCGCGAGAGTGCATGAGCGAAGACGGTGGCGGCCGGGTACGGAAGCTTGCGGGTGTCCAAATCTCGAGCGCCGACGGCTGCCGACGGCTGTCCGGGGGTCTCCATCCATTTCCCCGCCCCCGCAAAGCGCCAAGATATTTAGCTGCCGTCGGCTACGTCTGTATCTTGCGGGGGGACAATAACTAGTTCAAGCACGTTGCGCCTAGCCTAGTATCACTTCCGAAGCGCACAAGGGTCGCGCTTTGATGGAAGCCTGGGCTAGTTAATTAACTAACCTACTGGACTCGGAATAGTTCACACAGTGTGTCTTCCGGCTCATCGGATACCGTCGTAGCAGACACCCAAACTCCAACCTTGACAATGACACACGGGTGGGCAGGCCCCGCAAGGCGTCGATGCAGGTAGATCTACCACGTCAATGATGATAGATGCCACATCTTCGTCCGGGGTACGTAAGCCCTTTCCGTATGTATTCCTTGATTTCAATGGCCTAACGCTCAATACGGACGAGGTGGAAACCGAAGCGGTCACCATCAAACCGTGGCGCGCACGGCCTCTTCGAATTTATCTAGACTCGGACACCACTCGTTTTGGAGTTTCTCGTCGAGTGTCTTCTCATACACCTCCTTACCCCACCACTCGCCCCAGCTCGTCAAGAAAATGCGCTCCGGGTCAGCGGGAAAATCGTCCCTTGTGAAAGCGGCCAATATGCTCTTGGCACCTGCGAGGCAAGTCAGTCGCGTCTCAACGCCTCAAAGTCTTGTTCTGGTGACGGCTGCGTACCCTCGGGGACTCCCTTGGCATCGGGCATGTCCATTGACGGTTTGAAAGAACTCGATCGCCCGAGACCCGTGTTGGGGATGAGGCCCGGCGAGACGGCGACGACCTGGCAGTGGCCGGCGAGGTTACGACGCCACCAATGGGCGCCCAAAAGCTGTACAAACTTGCTCTCGCTGTAGACTGACATGAAGCCTTCGCCGGAGCCGGCCTGGAGGTGCTTCTGCAGGGCGCCTGATCATGGCGGGTCAGACATTGACAACGGGCCTCTCCGGCTCCGAGGGGGACGTACTCGTGTCGGGCACATTGCGCACCGCCCCGGAGGACACAACGACGATGCGAGACTTGGAAGAGACCAGCTTGTCTCGCAGCAAGTGAAGCAGGTGGTGCTGGGCTAGATATCCTTCAGCGACTACGGCCACGGCGAGAAACAAACGACCAGACGAGCAGGCAAGGCCGTCGTCGAGCGCCCGACCATGTAGCGTGGCTACTCACCGAAGTGGTTGACAATGGCAGCGTCGCACCACTTGTACTTGTGCGGCGGCTTTTCCTCTGCACTCTTGATCATGCCAGCGTTGAGCAGCAAGTAGTCGATTTTGCCCTGGTCAACCTTGTCGAGTGCCTGCCGAGCAAAGCTCTTGACCTTTTGGAAGTCGAGGAGGTCGAGATCCAACACCGTCACGGTATGCGTGTCGCGGTTATACTCGAGCTTGTCAAAGGCGGCCACGGTGGCCTTGACCTCGCGCGCTCCCAGTACGATCCTGTAGGGCTGGGACCGCCCGAGAAGCTGCTTGACGGCCTCGAAGCCCTGCTCTCCGAATCATTAGCGTTTAGCTCCAACAAGACTCCTTGCTACCACGGGAACGGTGGAAGGAGACGCACCAGGCCAGAGGAGACGCCCGTGGCGACAACAGTTTTTGCGACGGTCGCCATGACTGAAAGGTCTCTATCCGTACTTGGGATGCGATTCAAAGCTTCGACGCGCCGAGGGCCGCCTTTTCTTGAGCAGCTTGGTCTTTGGGGGGTGCTGGGCGCTCTTGGGATGCGGGGTTATCGGGGTTTACCTGCGTGGTTGATGTCATAGCGGCCAACACCCTCTAGACACGTACTATCTCCGGGGTCAGGACAAGTACTCTGTACTGTAAGACAGACAAGCTAGATCAATCTGGCAGGGTGGTGAATTGAGTGTGCCAGGATGTTCGGGGTTATGGGAAACCGGTGAGAAGTTCAGATCCTTGCATTAGCCGTGCATCCAGCCTATCCGTCTCACCACTGCTGGCTTTGGCTCGGCTTTCTTCATCGTGACACTGCCTCAGCCCGTCTCCTCCGACCATGTGCTGGCTCTCGTCGGACTTGGGTGAGTTCAGTCGCAATGGACAAGGCCGGAAACGGACAGGTCGGGCCCGATCTTACTTGCACCACAACCGACCGACGTGGGAGCTCTTAGGCCTTGACCAACAACGACCATCGCCTTGCAGCACGCAAACCTTCATGGCTGCAGTCGGCAAGCTTGAGACTTCGTAATCAACGTAGAATGTGCGCCCCATCTGTTACGCCGTGAACGTCTGTACATTGAAAACCAGAAGCCTCCAACGCCCTTGGTATCCCCAAGATTAGCGAAGCAAGTGGCTCCGTGCCCTGACTCTATGACGTGTTGTCGCCGGCGTCTCCTTTCGTCACCCCATTCCGCGGCTTCAAGTTTTCCATCTCTTCTCCATCACTGTCGTCGCCTATACTGTACCTGCTCTCCCCTGGCACTGCGGAGCTCTCTACACCAAGGTCATCCAAACTTGTCTCGTCGAAAGCAGTGGCTTCGAGGTCGTCGGAGCTCTGTCCTCCGCGGAAAGCAGCCGTGCGAGGGTTACCTTGACCAGCGTGATCTTCGCCGCGCAAGGCACGATAGATGGCGCCCTTGCGACGTTGACGCCAGATGAAGTATCCCCACGCCGCTGCAGCCATGGCGACGATTACGAGAACCGTTTCGCCCGATTTCCTATACGCAGCCCACTTGGCTTCCTCAACCTTCTTCCGCGTCTCCTCCACGCTCTGGGTGTGATTGGAAACACCGCCAACCGTCGTCTCGGGCCCCTTCTCGCCGTCGATGCGGCTGTCGGTCGGCTCGCCCCCAATACTGCTGATATCGACACCCATGAACCGGTCAAGCATGTCGCGGGAACGCCGAGGAAAGTCAAACGGGACCATGTGAGAGGCGTTGTGATAAAGTACGTATGTCAAGTTGCGGGCCTCTTGCCAAAAGCCGGCAACCTCGCCTTCAAAGGTCCAGGTTCGGCGAGGGGCCCAATTACCGGGCGTGACCTCGAAGCCCTTGCCGCCGCTCCACTCCAGATTGTCGATCATGAGTTCGGTTCCCATGTGGTTGCAGATAAGGTCCTCGGCTCCGGAAAAGAAAAGCACTGGCACTTGTTTGATCAGGTCCGGGAGCAGCTGATCTGCGGGCTTGGAGTTCTTCGACCGGAAAGCAGACCCGACAGCGCCACTACACTCTTGCCAACCCGTGTTTCGTTGGTCGCTGACGTGCAGCGCACGAATGACGGCCGGCCTCCTCAAGTAGGGAGTCAGGCCCTTGAGGTCCGGGGGCCAGTTCATGCCGCAGCTAGGATATGAATCTCTCAACCGCACGTCGTACATGTTGTAGCACGCGTTGTCGCCGGAGCCGGTGCTGGCAATCCTGAGCAGGGTCGACAAGACATCTTCGCACTCGTTGTAGTTGACATGGCCCGGGTTCGTGGACAGCATCTTGTCGCAGATGCGCTGCTTGGCCAGCAGCTGGTTGGCAATTTCCGAGTCTTTGTCGACGAGGCCCTTTTGCAGGGCAAACTTGAGGTAGGCCTGGTATTGCGCTTTGGGAGACACCCAGCCGTTTCCAATCAGGAGACCCTTCAAGTTCCATTCGTTTCCCGGGTTCTTCTTGTTGCGGTCCACGATGCTCTTGGCAATGTAGGGAATGTATTGTCCAGCGAAGGACTCGCCTGCGATGTAGATCTGCCCGAAGTCAGAGAAGGACGTGGTTATGAGGGAGGCGGCACGCTTACATGATCTCGATCGTATTCGGGGAACAGGGCAAAGAACTTGTCCAAGAACTGGACAAATTGCTCGGCCATGGTGTCAAGCTCGTGGACAAAGCTGTCCGTGTCGACGAAGCTAAAGCCTGTCCCTACCGGGTTGTCGACGAAGAGAAGGTTGGCAAACTCGTTCCACGAGCCGTTATTCAAGACGAGATTCTGTTCGTCCTTGACCCTGTAGGGGCCAACTTCCATCAAAGCTCCATCCTCGGAGCTGCAACCCGGGCCGCCATTGACCCAAATGACGGTCCGTTGGCGATTCGCGATGTGCTTGTTTTGAAAGTGCCAAAAGAACATGTTCCCATGGTGCTCGGGCGTCACCTCGATGTGACTGCGAAGGCGAGGCGCGCGTCAGCTCGGGCTAGATCAGACCGGGGGGCCGCCATGTTGCAAAGGGAGGGGCTTACCCAGCATGCATCTTGATCGGAGGCGAGTCTTTGGGAACACCAGGAAGGTCGCGAACAAAGTAGTCGGCGGCACATTTATCGGCGACGGTGCCCAGGGGCCGCGACAGGACAAGGAGAAGCAGAACCGACCATAGCCGGGCCACGACGAAGGGTGACGACGTCCAGGCCATGGCTGGCGAGGCAGAGGTCGCTCGTGCCGGCAGCGCACGGAAGCCAATGGCGAGGCACCGGGGACGAAGAAAGGTGACGGCGCGCTTTCCTCTGCCCTCCCGATGCTGGGTCCTGGACACAGCGACACCCGGACTGGAGATGACGCACTGCGAGAGACTGTTTGACAGACGGACGGGGCGAAGAGGGCGGACAGGAGAGGTGGCTCGTAAGATGATGAGGTACCAGGCCCGAAGTACTGCTGCATGCGCCACCCCAAGGAAGTGTGGCGGGTGGTGTGCGGCTCAGGGCCCCGGAGTCTAGTCCTGATACGGAAATCATGAAATGGTTGGATTTGGTGTAGGGTAGGCCTGATTGGAGCTTTGCTTCTGGCGATAGATCAACCCGCATCGCCGCACGGTCGGCATTACGTCTACTTTGGCGATGCCCTCGTTGGACTACGGCTGCGGCTACGGGTGCTTCTGCTGCTGCTGCTGCTTAGGTTAGGGACATCTTCTGGGCTTGGGTTCCAAGCGTGACAGAGGTTTCCACGGCTATCAAATCGGTGCCGGCGTCGCCATTGCTGGCCAATAGGCTGTTGAGGCTATTAGCAGGCATCTAGGTCGTCGAGGATCCTGATCTCTGCGTCGGAAAGCGGCATCTTGATGCGTATAATAAAGCTAGATTGTAAAGCTTAGTGCTGAGGGCAACTGCCTCTTTTTCCCTTGACGTCAGAATTCCCCTCATATTGTATGGAGTGTATTTTCTCAATATAATTTAATCGGAAATAGACCTATATTTGATATAGCCAGTAAAAATCTTGCATGTGGGCTTGTACCGCGCCGGGCTTTTGTAATCCATGTGGACTGTAGAGGTAGTATACATGGTGGTATTGTCTCAGTGGGCTGGATGTTTCAAATGCTTGGTTAGAAGTTGCACGTGTATGTGGATAATGATTGCAACTGTTTGTCCCCACTCTAAATAGAAGCTGAACCTCTTCCGCCTCCCTGGCCCATTTCAACATCAAGAAGACAGCCATCGCAAAGTGCTGTCCGTTCGACTGCCCCGGACCCCAGCATCGAATCTGTCCAATCTTTCCGCTGACAAGTATAACTCTATTATGTATAATCGGTAGACATACGTGATAGGAATGATCAATTTGGGAGACCTCTGGAGAGGTCTTGAATGAGAGTATGTAAGGATGTCGTCCTGGACTGGGTAGGCTAAAAGGCATCAAAGCCGCCGGCACTCAAAGTTCGGCCCTTGAAGAAACTCGGGCCGTTCTCCGACGCTATCTCGCAGACCCGTCCTCCAAGCTCCCAGTCAGCGGCCGGCATGTTCTCATTCTGGACCCCGTTGGTCTGCAAGGCCACCGTGACCCGGGCGTTGCTGATGGCTGCGACTAGCTCCTCAGTCGTTGGCTTGCATTTCTGGACATTGGCATAGAGTCTGCCGTGTCCGTTCCGCGTCGGTTCTGTTCCATGGTCTTCGGGAAAATGCAGGATCACAGCCAGTGAGGTCGATGCGACCCCGTTGCGTCCAGTCTCCGGGTCGGTTGTGGTCGGGGCTTCCTCCAGACCCGTCGCGCAGCTCGACTGGGGGGCCTCGTCCTTCTGCAATCGTTTTGAGGCTCTGCTCCGTCGGTGTCTTGGCTTCTTGTGCTTGAACCTGTTCGTTCGTTGCTTGGCCAATAGATTGGGCTCTCGCTGCTCGATGTCAGTGGCCCAGTCTCCGGTCGAACGAGGGAAACGCCTGTTCAAGAGCTGATGCAGCTCATTCCATGTCACGTACGTTTGGAATCGCGTGCTCATATCCCCATGGTCCTCCAGGAGTGTCATAAGGCCAACGCGGACCGTGTCCATCTTTGGGGTTTGACATGTTGTCTTTGGAGACCAAGTGTTTTCTTTGGAGACCAAGTGTTTGAAAGCTGGACTTGCAGGTTTGTTCAGCCTTCTTGATGGGTGAGGTTGCCCAATTTATAGCCACGCAGGTGGCGTCTCTCCTCGCGTTTGGCGTTTGCCAACGCCAATACTGGCCGAGCGACGTCCCCCGGCGCGCAATCATGTAGAGGTTCGCAACCGCTTACTACCCTCCATACCAGACCGATAACTGCCGCCGGGTTGCTTGCCAATCGCGGACGGCCCGCGGGCCTCGTCACTTTGGCGGCGCTGTGGCGCGACGCCGCACCCATGACCCCTCGTGGAAAGGCGTTGGAGGCTCGCAGTGGGTCTCTAGGTGGGCTGGTGGGTTCTCTCGGTGCCGCTGCGTCGTGGAGATTGCCAACCACCTCCCCCACCACCCCGGGCTTTGCCCGGTTGTCTCACTCACTTTTCGAAAAGTCACATCCTCGACTCCACGCTGCACCACACCCAGGTCGGGTCAACAGCCATCGTCAAGATTCTTCGATCCCTTGCGCAGCTTGATCACCGCATTATCATCGCCGCCCGACTTGTCACGAATCGGAACGCACCCACGAGGTAGGCGTGCAAGGATGGCCGGGGGCAAAATCTTCATTGTGGAGCATCTTGACCAAGAGCTCGGACCCTGGTCCGCTCTCGAGTACTCGGCCATAGCAAGCGAGTCGCAGATGAGCGGGAGCAGCTTCGTCCTGTCCAGCTTGCCGCCCTCGTTTCAGGTCCCCGAGGCCTTGTCCAGCATCCCGGCCTTCAAGGCAGAGCGGCGTGGCGTCGAAGAGCTCTATGCCGGTGACAAGTCCCGCGTCTGCCTCCTAGACCCTGCCGCGTCCGAGGACCTGAGCCCAGGCGATGCCGACAAGTTTGAAGCCTTCCTCTTCGGAGGCATACTGGGTACCGTGAACCGCCCGGGCCGACGCGTGGTGCATGGACTGACAGGATGAGCAGGGGACGATCCTCCTCGAGGTAATCGCCGGCATCGTGTGGCGTCCAGCGCGCAAGACTGACTTTCTGCCAGACCGGACTTCTGAGCTGAGGAAAAAGGGCTTCGAGGGCCGTAGGCTTGGCCCGACACAGATGACAACGGACACGGCCGTACGAGTAACACGCATGGTCGTACAAGACAAAGGTGCGTCCCATCCTCAGCGCAAACAGGCCCAGCGGCATCACTGACCCCGTTTAGTCGCCCTCGATCAAATACCCTATGTCGACTTCCCCGAGCTGCAGTTCAACGACCACGAGAGCACAGAGATGCCCTTCCGCTACGTCGTCGACGAGAACAGGGAGCCAATCATGCCACAGGTAATACCAGTCCTCGACAGAACGATGCGCATCCCTGAACACGGGCTGACAGGGGGCGCGCAAAGGGAATGAGGGAGTTGATAGAAAAGGATGCCGACAAGGCTGTGGACGATCTATTCTAGGGCCCAGGCGCGTGGGCGAGCAACTACACAGTAGGAGACGCGATCCGCGAGGAAACGGCATGGGTCATCAATGTGACTCATGCTCTCAGCCACGTCTCCTGGTTCGAATTTGATTGTCGGTCAGAATCACCGGTTCCTTGCAAGCACTGGCACTCGCCAACCCATTTTACCTTCACACCCGGTCACAAAGCATCTCGCCGTCGTGCCAAGGCTCGAGAGGAGCGCCGGGACCGGGAACCCAAGGAACAAGACGGCATCGGACAGCTGTCGGTCTATGGCAAGGGGCTCTCGCCTGCATCAAGCCGTCGGGTTGACCCGATTGAGATACGTGTCTTACGGGGGCACAGCCGCCGCACGCGGACTCCCTTGCTCCGTCATCTCCCCGAGCGCACATTGTTCTCTGCGCAGCGACAAACATCCTTGCCCACGCGCCACCGAACCTGAGCAACATTGTGCATGGCCCTCGTGAGAAATTCCGCGAAAAATGCCCCGGCGCATGTTTCCGGCCGTCTGCGCCATGAAATGGTCTTATCATGCAGTCATCAGAGCTGGGTATGTCTTGTTCGTCTCGACAGAGCAAGAGCGCGGTGACCGTCGGTCCCCCGACGGAAGAAGCCGTTTTGGTTGAGCCTGGCCATCGTAAATCCGAGGCAACTGTTCTTGAGTGCACAGGAGATTCTCTCCGGGGCCTGCAATGACTTGGTGCGACGCGGAAGCAGCTTATGCAATGGAGCACCCGACTGACGGGGCCGTGTGCTCCGGGTCCTCGAAAGGCAATGTTGGCCCATGGCTTCTCGTGGCTCGGAACAAAAATTGGCTGCCGCGAAGACGGTTTCTCATTTGCGACACGGTCACTGTGAAGTTACTCTCACCGGGCGCGGATTGACCTCCTGGGAGCTAGATACGGCGTGTCAGGTTGCAACGGCAACAAGACGACCCGGCTAGGTGTGAATGTGTGAGTGTAAGAAAAGTGCATCCAGAGACAAATTTGACTACTTCTTGGCCTCGTAGTGAAGCGCACACACATATTCTTGTTTCGGACACAGTCTCGTTTTCCAGCCATCTCCTCTCATCAAGCGTCGCTCGCTCGCTTTTGACGACCACGTTGGACAGAAATGTCCGTGCCACAGCTGGACTTGACGTTGTGTCTGGAGCTAGATGGTGCTGGGCTACAGGCAGCAGACGAGGACAATGCTCCTTGTTTCCGCAGCGAAGGTTTTCAAGGTGGCCATGAGAGGATGGCAGTCCACTGGTCCGATGCTGGTGTCGCTATACGTATAGACATCAGGCCCGCCCTCATTTTGCTGGACGGCCAGCCATTGAAGCCCAGCGCACGGAACTTGTTTTGATGCTGGAGAATGTGCCTCGAGAATGACTTTGGGGACAGTTTCCGTGGTCTCACCTCTCTACTTGGTATATGTGGACGAAAACACGAGATCTTAGCCAACCGTGTCCGTAGCCGGACCCGTCATGAGTGGAGCTCCGCATCGCGCAGAGGTGCAGCAGAGAGATGACGGCGCTGTGTGTTTGGCCTTTAGGAGCTGCTCGTCGGACGCGGATGGTTGTCCTGAAACACCGGAGTCATCCTTTGTTGCTCGCCAGACTCGACCCTCAGGACTGCACTTTGCGCCTGGGCACGAGTAAGTAGCCCGCCATGCATTAGGGGCGACGGCGGGCTCAATGTCGTGCGTGTGCTGGGTTGCGGCAGAGAAGGGACCGAACGAGGCCGCGAGCATGCCCCAGGTTTCGTCTCAAACAGCGCTCGGCCACGTTGGTTAGGGCTGCGGCGCAGCTAAAAAAAGAGGACGAGAGGGGGGACAGTCCCGGGAGATTGAAGGATCGTGGAATTCCCCGAGCGTGTTCGGGGGGGTTCTTCGATGGGTTTCGGGGGGAGAGGTGAAGCTTGTGATGTACAGGCGCCGCGTCCGAAAGCTTGTTCGCCGCTGTTGTTGTCCGTACATGATCTGCTGTTCGTCTGCTGTTCGTCCAGTCTACCTACCCCCCTACATGGGTATGTACGTGATACACGCATTGCCATTCCATAATATTACGCGCAATACGCAATACGCAATACGCAATACGCAACACACAATACACAATACACACAGTACGGCGCGGGCCCCCGTTGATACCAAGACTCGGTACAACGTCGATGCGCCAAGTGGTGCGTTTTAAACTTTTGCGTCTCCAAGGGAAGACAGACTCCTCCCTTACGTGAGGTGACGGCCAGTGTCATTGGCGCGCATCATGGCACGGCAGGGCGCATTTACCGCGGAAACTTGTCATCCCATGATTGCTCCCGCAGTTTCTTTGCTGGCGTCCCTCCTCCGTGCGGGATTCGTTTGGCTAGAAGGAGTGCTGGGGGCCTGGAACTCTGATGGGTCGACTTGGGATGAAACCGTCTTGAGTCGACCAGGGGGTTTGACTCTGTCGACGGATGGCCGGATCGGCGCAGGGATCTTGCCTGCATTGGCCTGGATTTGCCGAGACAGAACCATCATGATGCTCGTGCATGCGGTAGATAGTTAGGTAGGTAGGCACTGTAAACTGTACTGTACTGTACTGTACTGTACGGAGTACAGCTATGGCAGCAGCCTACCAAGGTACCTACCTACCTTAGCTACCTACCTTAGCTACCTCTGTACCTTATTTATCCGTACCCATTACACATGCATCCGCCCGCCTGCGCTGCAATGCGCGTGTCTGATGTATGTATGCCTTGTCAAGTGCTTCCCACACGGTGCATTTGCTGTCACTGACAGCAGGTTACGCGTGCGACATGTGAGGTGGATGGGTGGTTCAAACGCCTCGTCGTGTCAACTGCCGTCCTTCGTGGGCGAACCCAAGCCCGCTCGTCTTGCCGGGCCTCTCCGTCTTGGGCCGGTTGCAGGGCACGGGCCGGTTGGCAAGCGGCGATTCTGTAGATATCCAAGCAAGACGGGCGTGTTGAGAGACAGTGAGAGCGATGGGCGGCTTGCAGGCCATCTAGGACATGGACCAAGTCGGAAGTGATTAGAGTTGTATGACGAGCGTGGCCTGCGGCATCTCGTGTGACTCGACTCCGCGGCAGGTTGCTCCGATGTTGTTCTTGTGCGCCGCTGTGACTGGCTCATGTGGTTGTACGTGCCGGATATACGTAACTGCACTATTACACGTGCCTTGCTTGAGTGGTGCCTCAGCAATGCAGCCGCGTTGGGCATCGAGTTCGCCGAGGCCGTCGCCAGGGAGCGAGACGTCGCGCGGAAACTCGGCAATTCAATAGAGGTTACGGCGCAAAGGGCGGCGTTGATTGGCGTGGAGGGTGCTTGCTGGGTGCTTGCTGGGTGCTTGTTGGGTGAACTGTTGGGGACGAAAGCCGTTGCGCTATCGACAAGAGCCGGCCAGGCCACGATTTATTATTAAGCACAGCGGGCGTATTGGGAGCCAATAGAGGCGCGGACCCCCGCGCCTTTAAAGTCGGCGCGGACGTCCGCGCCTGTTATGTAAGCCCAGGCGGAAGATAGTCGGGCCGCCCCCTGACCTGTACTCTCCTTTTCTATTGCATGTGGCAAACTGTCGCACAGAGAGCCAGCCTCATATAGCATACCATCTGCGCTCAGAGTAGTTGTCCGCGGAAGCGATGCTATAATCCGCATATTAAGGTCGAGCGCCTGCATGCGTGGTGCTTGGACCCCATTGAGGCCAAAGCTCAAACGCAGGCTGCATTAAACCTCGCAGGCGGCCTCGGTTACAAGGGTTCTGCACCACGTCCACAAAGCAGGAGTTTCCTTTCCTTTGTGTATAAAGAGCTGCTCACTGTCGTGCACTACAGCTAGCTCTTCAAGATAATTCCAATATGGGGCTTACTGAATTCCCTGACGATTGCCTTCCTCCTGAGGCCAGTTCGACTCGCGAGAGTCTCTTCTTGCCTCAATTAATGCGTGGGCGGCTCCAAGAGGCTATGCCTTCACCACAGGCAAGTCCACGAGAGACCCGCGGTCCGGAAGACGCACAGTCATATTTGCCTGCGATCGTGGAGGTAGACTTGGGGCTCATACAAGCAAGGACCAGAAGCCAGCTGATCGGCAACGGTCTACAAGCTCCGTATCACTGGATGCCAGTTTTCCATCAATGCGAAAGAGAGCCTTGATAAGTCGTACTGGTATGTCAGGCATCGCCCAGGCGAGGAGAAGTCGGTCCACAACCATGAGCCCAGTCTGCATATTACAGCACATCCAGCTCATCGTGCCCTCTCCTCAACTGACCAGTCAGCTATTGGGAACCTCTCAAGCGCTGGCATAGCACCAAAGGATATCCGGACATATATGCGCCAGAGCTCTCAGACTGCCCAAGGAGCGACACAGCAAGACATATATAACTGTATCGCACAGCGCAGACGAGAGCTCCTTGCTGGCCAGAGCACAATGCATGCCCTTGCCAATGAGCTTGACAACGAGGGGTTCCAGAGCCGCATACAGCTTGATCATGATGGCCGAGTCACAGCAGTCTTATTCGCACACCCAGCGTCTCTAGGATACCTCAACGCATACCCAGAATTACTACTGCTAGACTGCACATACAAGACGAACAAATATAAGATGCCACTGCTCGATATGATCGGCGTTGATGCCTGTCAGCGGTCATTCTGTATTGCCTTTGCCTTCCTCAGTGGTGAAGACGAAAATGACTATATCTGGGCACTGGACCAACTCCAATCGATATACGAGTTATATGACATTCGCCAGCCATCGGTTATCCTGACAGATCGCTGCCTCGCCTGCATAAACGCAATTTCCCGGTGCTTTCCTGCGTCCAAGTCTCTGCTTTGCATCTGGCATGCGAATAAGGCGGTGCTTAGCTATTGCAAACCAGCTTTCGACCGTGACGATGAGGACTCTAATAGTGATGAGAGGTGGGCTGAGTTCTTTGGGTATTGGCACTCAATCGTGGGCTCGAAAGATGAGGAGACATTTGATCAACAAGTTGAAGAGCTCGAGAAGCGCTTTGTGCCACGATACGTCAAGGAGGTTAGCTACATACGGGAAACCTGGTTGGACCCGTATAAGGAAAAGCTCGTCAAGGCCTGGGTCGATCAATATGCTCACTTCGGCAATGTGGCTACTTCCGGGTGGAAGGCATCCACGCATTATTGAAGAGTCACCTTAAGAAGTCAACATTAGACCTCTTCGAGGCAACGAGGGCAATCAAGCAAGCTCTCCTCAACCAACTGGCCGAGCTACAAGCCAACCAAGCCAGGCAGCATATACGGATGCCAATTGAGCTCTCTGGAACCGTATATAGCACGGTACGTGGCTGGGTATCACACGAAGCCTTGCGACAGGTTGCAAAGCAACACAAGCGCCTCAACGAGAAAAACACCCCATCTTGCACAGGCAGCTTCACCAAGTCTCGCGGTCTCCCTTGTGCGCACGCATTACAGTCTCTCATAGTGGAAGATCTGCCCCTCCGGCTACAACATTTTCATACACATTGGCGCCTTCGACGGGATAACAAAGAGATTGGTCAGGTCCTCATAGAGCCTCGTCGGCGACTAGACCAACTTGTCGCCGCATCAAGGATATCACAGTCATCCACACAGCGCGAGCCAAGTGCATTTGAAGCCATAGAGTCAGATCTACGGCCAAAGGCGCCGCCTACATGCAGCAAATGCCACCAGCAAGGGCACATCATGACATCTCGCAATTGTCCTTTACGCTATAGCGACATACTGCAGCGGGCAGAGGCACGGGCGGCACAGACTGCAGAGACTGCAGCAATTGCAGGGACTGCACAGACTGCACAGACTGTACAGACGGTAGCAGTTCCAGAGACTGCGCAGACTGCAGCAGTCATGGAGAAAATGACAGTTGCAGTCACTACGGTCTCTACAGTCTCTACAGCAATTGCAGAGACTACAGAGACTACAGAGAATCTATTATATGATGACCCACGAGCCATCTATCAGAGGTATGTCAGGAAAGAGACTCTTGGTATAGAGCACAGCCTCGCGGCAGTCTCAAGACCAACCAGGCATACCGAAAGGCAATGGGCTTGCCATTGCGCTACAGCAAGACTGAATATGACTGGTGCCTCGACTGGAAGCAAATGTCAAGGAGCTGCGGCTCGAGGCAATGGACCAAGGTAGAGATGATGGCATACCTTGATTGGGATAAGGCAGAAGAAGAGCGATTAGATGCCCGGGTGGCCGAGGAAATTCAGGTGCAGCCTTTCTCACGAGAAAGAGGTACTGCAGGTATATGGGCTGACTGCGAGAGAGACTCAGAGGAACAGCAGGCATTTTATTCACATATATAAGTGGTGATGATGCCGGCGATGCGAAAATGTGAGGCAGATCGTGAGATCACCGACATGCACCGGCGTGTAGCACTGTAGCTGGCCAATTTTAAGGCGGTGAACTTCCGCGCACCCTCCTTGCCACGCAACAGCGGCGCCCTTTGCGTCACGTCAATCTACCAAATAGGAAGGCTATGGGTTCGAACCCTAAGGATATCCTCCTTTGCAATTAATTGAAGCTATATGTATGCAGCAAGCATGCTGTATCGGTGAGGCCGACTGCGAGCGCAGTTGGCGGCGGCCCAAATGGCCTGCCAGGCTTACATAACAGGCGCGGACGTCCGCGCCGACTTTAAAGGCGCGGGGGTCCGCGCCTCTATTGGCTCCCGGGCGTATTGTAGGTACAGTAGGTAATTACCTGCCCAAGTTACAACCTTCCTTTCCATTCTTGAAGCTTCGTACCTGCACGACGGACCGGCAACGGCTGCCTGGAATCCTCCTGACCAGGGCTGCCGCTGCATCTGCATTTTGCACCCACGAGCCCCTCTGTACTGTATGTACATACGATGCAACACGCGAGAAGCGGTGGAGACGGCTCATGCGCCAGCAGCCTCCAGGCCCAGCCAGGCAGCCGTCAGAGAGAGCAGAGAGCCCGCTACTGTGGTGTTTGGCGAGCGTGATCATCCAGCTAACGTTCAGGATTCCCGCCGAGCACCAAACGCCGTCCCCCGGAATGAGGAACCAACGTTGCTCTCCCTGGGCTGAAACGTGAGCGCCTCGGCACCGCCTCCACATCCCATGTCTTGAGAAGCTTCCATGGACAAATGCGACACTTGGCATGAAACATGGGGCAAGCACTCCGGGGGGCCAAAAGCCACCTCCCCACCATCGTTCACTGCCACCCGGCCTGGCTGGACCCGTCTCTCCTGAAGGCCATTGTTGCTCTGGCTCCCGATAGCCGCGCCGGCATGATTGGCTCCTCGCCCTGCTTGGCCATCACGCGCTGGCCACACGGGACGGCCGGCTGCTGAAGAGACTGCTCTCGGAAGATAATATCCTGTCAACCGTGGTGTGACCGGGCGTGTTTAGGCAGATCATGTCGCCGTGGCGCCATTCCGCCAACGTCCCGTTGCCCAACTCGAGACCACGAAGCTACGCATCGTCGTGTTACACTGCACCACGACGCTTTCCGCCCCGCTGCGCTTGTCATGGCCATCGTCTCGACGCGCTCTTCTCTCCTTGTCGGACGGAGCCTCAAAGAGAGAGGGGGAGAGAGAGAGAGAGAGCAGCTCCCCTTTCTCGACAGACAGCCTCCGGGCCCATCCAAACAATGCCATGATTCGCCGTCGGATGGGCCCAGCGGCGCGTCCTGGTGCAAAGACAGTGCCATGACTTGCATGCCCAGGTATGTACTTTGGCTTCGCGTCGCGTGCCTCTCCCCCTCCCCGCCCCATGCATGTAGTGCGACCCGGTTCCGCCATGTCGTTGATATGTGACGGTCCCCAGACGTCTTCATGAGCTGGGGACGTGGATGACTTCGCCTCGGCATCTCCCGACACTCTCTACCACGAACTTGTACGAGTACCTGGTGCCCGTCCCGTCACGGACAGACGCCAATCCGGTCTCGAGTAGCACTACTGGGTGCAGCCCCTGGGCTAGGCTGAACAAGCTTGTCCCTGGAGGGGTTTCACGTCTCGTTGCAGAATCCTCTGCCGCCGACCAGGGGATGAGGGGAGCCACTGGGCGAGTCCACTGTCTGTTCCTGTACTGTACGTCAGGCCCGGCTGTTTTGCCGCACACTGTATACAGACAGCACAACCTTGCCGACCCATTCAAGAACGTGCTCCACATTGCCGGCCCGCGCAGTCTATGTCTGTTACGCAGTGTACATGCCAATCTTGGCTGTGACATGGCCTTGGACGGCGTGGTTTGACACGAACTCAATCCTCGCCCGTTACAACCATGGCACCAGGGCTTGCAGTGGACCCTTTTCCTGGCCCACCAGGCTGGCTCTCGATGGATGGCTTGTTGAGGCTCGACACAAGGTAGGGAGGGCGATTGCTCGCATGCGCCGGGGTTGTGCACGTCGAACCGAATCCCTCACGTCTGTACATGCTACCCTTTCTCTACCTTGCCCATCTTACGATACCGCCCAATACAGTCGCCAACAACTGCTTTGGCGTTCCCTTTTGCCAGCACAGACGGCGTTTCCCCTCGGCCGCTCGTACCAAACGCTATCCCACGTCCCATGTCGCCCGTTTCCCCCTGTTTGCTCACAGACTTCGCCCTATCCCTTCATTTGCGTGCCCTCGTTGTTCGGGTAGGAACACGGGCGCACCGCGCTGTCTCATGATTCGTATGACCCCTCTCAAGTCGGAATCGCCTGCCTCAGCCTTCCCCAGTCGACCAAAACGAGTCCCCGCTCCATGTGAATAGGCACAGAAACGCCCCGTCAGTCTTCCGAGTCAAACACAGCCTCCTTCGTCCTGTTTCAGAACGCACCGTTGCCGATATATGGACAACGCGGGCTTCTTTGCTTCTCGCTTGGGCCGTCAGGATCTGACATTCTGCCGGCGTCCAGCTGCACCGAGAAGACCTGCCCCCTATTCATCCTCGACTGGCCGACGGGCGTTTCGGCCGTTTCGATCTCCTCAGACCGACAGCCGTCAGTGCGATTGGCCCGTCGCACGTCGATCCCACAACTATCCTGATAATCTCGTTGTCGCCCTCCCTTTTGCGCTCTGAGCAGGCCGCCTTTGAGCGAAACAAAAAGGACTCTGCGCCACTCGAGGAATCCAGGTCACTGCCTTTTCCGATCCCTTTCCAGTCACCTTCAACTATTCGGCCTCTTCAGCGCCGTAGACTTGGGACTTTCAACGGTCAAAGAGCCAGGGACTTCGGCTGGTTCTCTCAAGCATCTCTACCAGTTTCCTCACCGCCAACATTGGTCGATGAGGATTGCTCGAGATTCCATTCCACGACAAGATAGATCCCCCGGAAACACCATCTAGTTACAATCGAGAAGAGAACGTGTCCCGGTGCAACGCTCCCTCGAGCCTGATATCCAGCCGACTCAGCTACGCCATCTCGATCCCTTCAAAGTAATGCTATAACCTCATCGGCACACGATCGCAGAAACACCGGCTCCATGGACGTCACATTGCTGCTGAATCAGTCGGCCGGCTTGGCCGGTTGCAAGGAGGCTAGCAGAGAGTCGACGCCGTCCTATGCCGTCGGGGGTCCATCCACAGCACCGTCGACGGCGCTCCCGACTCCATCACCTGACAGGTCCTTTCCCCAGCGCGAAGGCGAGACGAGACAGAGCAGAAGCCGCACACCATGGAGTGCGGGCGGGTATTCACTGCCGCTGCATTCCGACACCAAGTTCCGCTCAGCGTCGACCTTTTCTTTTCGCTCGGCCAGTGAGCAGGTCGACTCGGACGCTTCGTACCAAACGACAACCGGTGCGGACATGCACTCGAGGACCGGCTCCATAGATTCGGACATGACGTCCTCGCAGGAACCTAGCTCTGTAGCCCGGCCGCTGCCTACCCGGTGCGTGAGTCTGCGGCGCTTGACGGGGCCGAGTTCTGCGCCGAGGTGAACATGTGTTAATGTTGGTGTAGGGCTGCAACTTCCGACTCGACCGCTCGCCCATCGTACTCTTTGGAAAGGAGGTATGTTCCGACGTCCCCGTCTGCGATTTTTTTGCGACTTTTGGCCAAGATTATCTGGCTCTGGGAGGCAGAGCAAAGAGTTCTGACTGAATCGTCAGGGCCCCGTCTTGGGACGAGCGCCGTGCCGTGGACGGCGAGCCGTCGATTCCTCCCAGGCACAAGTTCTCGGACAGCCACAGCAGTCTTTCATCTTACGGATCATGGCAGTCCAGGTCCCATTCGCGAATCTCGTCCGTGACGACGATCAGCGGAAGTCACATCGGGGGCCTGTCACTGGCCGAGTTGCCCATTCTCGAGTCCAAGGATGCCGAGCGCGACGACTTGAAACCGAACGCCCCTTACGGAGACGAGCAGTCCAGGTTCCCGGCCGTGGCGAAGCACCAGCCGCCCGCACTTGTCCTCGACACGGCGCAACTCGAGCGCCCAGGAAGCCCCTCGGATGCCGTCTTGAACATGAAGGGGCTCGCCCGAGCTCAGCAGAACCCGGATGGTCCACGGTAAGAAGGCGCTTTTCCATTGTTTCTCGTCTATTGTCACCATTGCCCTCCACTCCACACACCTCCCGCTCGCTGTCTTGTTCACGAATGGCTGCGAGCTCCGGTCGTCGTGACGCACACGGGCTCAAATGCGGTGGCACAAGTCATTCACAAAAGCCCCGAATTGTCGGTCAGTCGTCAAGTGAATCACCGAGGGCAACGCACCCGATGCCAGCATGGCAGGCCGAGTTTCAGACGAACAGCCGCGCCGGGCCGTTGCAAACTATCGGTGAGGGCGCCGAAACAGCCTTGTGGTGCGCTGGCGGTCTCGTGCCCGCGTGATACGGCGCATCACTGGCCCCTACTCGCTGCCCTCAGGCCTATTTATTGTGCCCTGATCCGACGGTTCGGACTGCCTTGTTCAACATCGGGCCACGCCATTTCCCCTTTTCTCTCTCGTGACAGGCCAAGGTCTCTCTCTGCTTTCTCGACACTGCCACGTGGTGTGCCGATTCTGCTTGTATTTCTCGCGCTTCATTCTGGGTCGAGTTTGGAGAGAGAGCTAATGATACCTTGTCCAGTCCGCCTTTCAGTCGAGCCACTCATCTGTTTTCCTCTCCGAAGCTGCACAAAAGGGCGATTTCGGCTCCCGACTTCGCATCGGTCGTCGGTTCACGTGTTCCGAGGCATCCATACGCTGTTCTCCCACCTCCACGCCAAGCCATGGCCGTCTCTGCAACCAGCCCCTCCGGGGCAAGACGTGTGTCCGCCGCCGGCCCCGCCGCCGCTCGTGATAGACGGGAACTGGCGGACCTGCGAGAGAGCGATTCGGACCCACGAGACCGCAAGCCCTCGGTTGTCCAGACCACGTCAGGCAGGATGAACTCGTCGCCAGATCTCGCGTCTCAGGCGCCCATGCAGACGCTCCCGGCCGACGACAAGATCAAGGCCTTGAAAGGCGAGGACGGAGAGCCCCGTTGCATGTTCGTCGCCAACTGCGACACCGGCTCCCAGCTGCGCAAGGCCATTTCCCACTTGTTCGGCCGCAACAAGTCCTGCACCCTCAAGATCCCCAAGGAAGTGTGGGTGTACTACTGTCGCAAGCATTACCAGAGGATCCGGTACCGCAACGCCAGGACGTATCCAAGCAACCAGATGGAGCTGGTCAAGGTGCAGATTCGCCGCCTGCAGACCTGGAGCGAGAGCAACCAGGCCAAGGGCGAGGCTCCCTACATCAAGCAGTGGACCCTGTCTCTCCGCAAGCGCGAGCAGAACCGGCTCGAGAACGGAAAGGCAACCGCCGACGAGGGCGACGAGGACCAGGCGGCCGCCCAGGGTGGCAGCGTCGTCCCGGACTGGATCATTCAGCTCGTCGGCGACGGCTATACGACCGAAAAGATGCTCGAAATCGCCGAACGTCTCCACAAAGACATTGCCGAGGGCCTGCTGAGCCAGGTCCCGGAGATTGAGTTTCTGCCGGACATTGTCGACGACGACGAGGGAGCCTCGGCGAAGCCCGCCAGGACCCGTAGGCAGAACAGCTCCAACGGTGGCTCCAAGACGCCCAAGAGGAAGGCGGCCGATTTCGGCACCATGTCGAGACAAAACTCGCTCACCGGCGAGGGCGCCTCCCCGGAGCACGCGGCCGACGAGGACGAGGCCATCTCTGGACTCGTGAGTCCCTTTGGAAAGCGCGCGCGAATCGACCGCATGAGCGACGCGCACGCCTCGTCCTCGGACGTCGCCCTCGCGCGCCCCATGCCCGGCTACGCGGCTCCGACTTACAACGACGGTCGCTGGGGGAGCTCTGTCCCGCCGCGTGCTCCCAAGGTGGTGCCCACGATCCGGCCGCTCGAGTACAACATGAGCCGCGGGCAGCAGCGAGAGCCCGACCATGCGGGCCGGACTCACTTCCGCGGCTTCCATTCCATGGGCGGCGGCCACGTCAACGCGGCCTTCTACGCCGATCCCCGGTTGACCCTGCCCTCCATCGGCGCCCAGATGTCGGCGGGCGCCAACGCGCACCAGGCCCCCATGGCGCATCCGGTGTCCGGCACCAGAGCCGGCCGCCACGGAGGGTCTCGGGCGTCGCACCAGCGGTCGGCCAGTGCCTTTACCCTGGCGACCCGGCCCATGCCAGCATCGACGCGTCCCTCCAGCTCGGGGAACAGTGCCCAAGCCGCGCTCTCGGTTGGCGTCGGCATGTATGAGCTGGGCTCGCACAACTCGCAGAGTTTCCATGGCAGTCACATGGCCGGCCAGCCGTACCACGAAGAGGCGGGCTGGGCCACCAACTACACCCCGGCCTACGGTCCGCAGCGACACGTCTTCCACCACCCGGCCATGTACGGCCCTGCTCACTGTCAAGACACGGTGAGCCCGCGTTCAGGCGCCTCCTCTTCGTACGGCCTGTCCGGAGCGTCGCCCACCTTTCACGAGGCTGGCAGCGGTGTCTAAGCCAACGCCCGACGCCTACCGACGGGATCCCTTCAAGGCTGGCCAACGAGACGGGGGCTCTGCAGCCGACGATGGCTTGCCATGACGTCGAGAGGCTGCCGGCAATGATCTCCCATGTATTTTTAGTGATATGAGTTTGCCGGCGAAACGGCCGCATGCGTGCCATGGCATCCTTAATTCGGCGTGGTCGAAACTGCGGGCGGGGGCGGATGACGGGTCATGAGCAAAAAACGATACGCCGACTCGATGTGCTTGCTGATTGCATGGTTTTCCTTTCTTCCCTTTGTTGTTGTTTTACCTTTTTCCATCTTTCAGCTCCCGTGGTATGCCGTGTCAACGGGCGCGAGGAACGTTGGGGACGGCATTAATAACGGGAGGGAATCAACCGAGGAACGAACAAGCAATGGCTAAGCACGCTTACCGCGACGAGGCATGATATGATACGGGATGGGAAGCAAGCGCACACGCCTGATGATAGACGAAAGGGAACTCCGGGACGAGCCCAGCAAATGCTAGACATTTTGAGGCGAGGGAGCAGGCAGGGAGGAAAAGAGGTTCCCCGAGGCAGATAATATCATTAATGGGGCCTACGCAAGGTGCCTCGGTGAATGTGACGCGCGACTGTGGCCGTCGTTGGAATCTGTGAAGCGCGGCGTCCCTGTCGTGCAACGGCTGACGCGCTGACTAGGGGACGGTCCCAGGGCCCGTCACAGCGTGCAAAGGGCGGCGCAACATGACGCTCATCCGGTAAGGGAGAGAGAGCCATGTACAAGGCGCGAGAAGCGCGTCAGCCCCTGACCATGACTGCACCGCCGTCCCAAGCAGCCAGCTCGCCAACATTAGCCCTCGCAACCTCGACAAAGCCATGGCGGCGATAGAAGCGCTCAACGCCCGCGACGCCGACGAGGTAGCACACGCCGTCGACGTCGCGCAGGCCGTGGCGGAGCAGCCCGGCGCCCAGGCCCTTGCCCTGCAGCGCCGGCAGGACGGCCAGGGCCGACAGGTACCACCAGGCGCCGCAGCTCGGGGCATCATGGCCGCCGGCGGCGGCACCGGCAGCGGCGGGGTGAGCGGCGGAGGCGTCGGGGCGCAGCCGCGGCAGCCGGGGCTCGAGGGCGGCCATGACGCGGTCCAGGGCCGAGGCGGGCCGCGGCTGCACCGCCGTCGGCCGGATGCGGTTCTTGAGCGAGACGTACAGGCGCATCAGGGGCGCGAGCCAGGCGCCTGTTGTTTGTTGATGCGTTTGTCGGACACTGCGGTTAGCCCCCTTGCGCCGCCAGACGAGGCGAGAGAAAAGATTGGAAACCACTTACACGGCGTACACCACCGCTCCCACACACCCAAGTCGCCGTCTGGCCGCCTCCACCACGCAAAGCCGACAACATGGCCTCCTCCGCCCCCGCCATGATCCACGACGAGCAAGCCCAGCACCCATCCGGGCGTCCACCAGCGGCGCTCAAAGTGGCGGTACAGGTGCGTGCGGAAGTCGCCCCGCGGCGCGGCGCGGCGCGCGGGGAAGAGCATGTCGACGAGGGCGTCGCGCGCAAAGCACGCGTCGTAGAGGCCCGCCACGGCGTCCAGGTCCGACGGCAGGCCCGCGCGGAATCGGTAGCCCTCCGGTGGCGGGGTGGTCATTTTTGTTTTCTTGACTCCTTGGGGCTTGGCGAGATGTCAAGGTGGTGATCAAGTCGTGGGGGGCTGGCCGGGATGGAGATGGTGACGAGGAGCTGGATGACCAGAGGAGAACGAGAAGGCGTTTCCAAGGAGGCGTCGAATCCCGACATGAGCTTTGTAGTCTATCCGTCCTCGTCATCTTGAAGAGAATGCCAGGTTGGACACGCCAAGCCGCCAGCACCCGCTGAGCATGTTCGGCGAGATGACTCAAAAGGCAAGAAAGAAAGACGGCTCCGTCATCATCACCCAACTCGCACACATCACATACCCTTACACCTGTATCCCATTATCTTTCGACGCTGCATCTACCGAGTGCAAGAACCGTGCTTCTCCGCCTTCTGTCGTCGTCGCCGCCAAAGTCCTATCCCGCGACACTGGGTGAGTCACGTCTCGCCTTGAGATCTACAAGCATATAGTACTCTACTGTACGAATACGAAGTATGTCTGTACTGTACATGCCATGCCGATGCACATGGTCCCCGGGGCCGGGGGCCGGGGGCCGAAACATGGCTTGCAAGGGTTCACGGCGCGGGGGAGGGGTCCAGCGTATCGGGGAGCGTGGCAGGAATCGGTCAAGACGAGCCGCGCTCGACGGCTCACCGAGGTCACCGCAAAACGGCCATGTGCAGACGTTGCAGAATAAAGGGCTATTAGCTCAGAGAAAGGAATGTATGCACTGCTCTCACAAGAGGCTTTCAGTTCTGTCCAGGTTGCAATATCTCAGTCTGCTAAAGCCCATGGCAGACAAGGTGAGAGAATTCGTGCTGGTCCCCAACAGGCATTCCCAATCTGCCATGCCGCCGCCTGGCTCGTGAGACTACCCTTCTTCCAACATTCTCTGCAATACCCAAGCGACAGCCTGCCACCTTTGACCGACAACAACACCACGCTGATCCAAGAATGCTGAGTTGTGCCAATACTACCCCAGAGCCCGTGAGGTCTTGCCACTGTCCCGACCCTGCCATGTTCGCCAATCATAGTTGTCGTGTCCAGAACAGCAATGCCCCATCCCGTGGATGATAGAAACATGTCCCATATAAACTCAACCGCAGTGCCGTCAAATATTTCCATTCCCTGGTACCGCCATGGAACCGATGAAGCCGTGTTTCGTCACGGCCGGGTACTATCCACCAGTCGATAGATTTGCGCAACATTGGCAGCGCCTTCACGGCGTGCTGCCCAGGACCATGACGAGCAACATCCCGTTCAACAAGCACGAGGCGACAAAGGCCCCCCAAACCACCAGTCGGTACGTGGCCCTGAGCGCATCCCTTCGGTATAGCGTCATGCCAAGGCCGCAGCATGCGCAGAGGAGGCTGACCATGACACCCAACGTCACACCGGCGTCCACCTCGACGCGGAGCTTACGCTTCCCTGTACAGATAAGCACGCCCGCGATGACCAGAAGGACAAACGACGTCAAGAAGCAGCCGACGGTACCCCGCAGCAGGACCCTTTCCCGGTAGCGCGTCACCTTTTGCTCGCTTGTGCTCGGGAGCGCACAGTAAGTTGAGTAGCCTTCATGAGGAATCGCGTCAGAGCTGGAGTACCCTTCCTCCTCGGACTCGATTGTTGGCGACGAGCATCTCGGGCGCGCGTACGCCGACGAAAGCAGTGGCCGGGTCTCGTCGCTGCTCTTGCGCCGCTCGAACCACTGCTTGGCCTTTTCGTAGGGGAGCGTCGTTATTGCGCGCACATATGCAAGGCCTGGGAAGTCGACCTCGTTGTCGGGGTTGATATAGATTGCGTACTCGTCCTCGGGCCCGCCACCGTCACTCCCGTCGTCGTACTCGTTCCAGTACTTGATGCGCGGCTCCATCTCCGCCGCCGGTAGGTGGCCAAAAGCCGGTCGCGAGTTTCCCGGGCTCGGCGGCTCGGGTTGTGACAACTCCACTGACGAGGGAGAACTGGTCTTGCTGAATGAGGGGACCGAGGCTCGGAGGTCGCCCAGGATGTCATCGTACCGGGCTTGGAGCGGCGTAAAATCGCGTTTGGTGAAGCTCTTGGGATTGCCGAGGATGGTTTCCGTGAAGCGAGACGTCAGCGTTGACGAGCCCGTCCATTTCTTCGGTAGCCAGGGTTAGCTACAGGCCAGGGCTTCAGGAACCAAGGACAGCGGCTTACCCGGTATTTCTTGAGGATTTTGCGAAACGCCACCACCTGGGCGCTCGCAAAGCGTGACAGAGCAAATATATCCTGGCCACAGCGCAGCAGCTCGCGCTCGTACTTGGCGAACCTCCGCTGTCGCTTGAGGGAGATGGACGTGTCGTGACCGCTGGCGCATTTGCAGATCCAGCGCTGGATGTTGAAGTCGAGGTGTTCTACACACGCTTGTTAGCCATTGTTGGTCGTACCATGGTCCTGGGCGCCTAAGGTTGCAGCGGCGTGACAGGGGGCGGGAAGAGCCTACCTAGGCGCCTCGAGATCTCGTCGGCCTTGCTGTTGACAAAGAGGTGTAAGCGGTCATGCTGGCGGTCGAGCTCCGCATACAGGCCGTCTTCGAAGTTGCGCAAGGCCAGATCCGGGTGACCGGGGATGGTCATGGCAGCGGCCTGGTCCCGTGTGGTGTGCGCCTTGATTTCATGTTTGAGAGAGTTGTAGTCGAGGTTATCTGCAAGGCAATCGGGGGGGTTGAATCAGCGCCGAGTCGGGGCAGGACGGCAGCCATGTGAATTGTACATACGAAGGCTCCATTCCGGAACCGACTCTTGTTCCAGCTGCTGGCCGAATTTCATCCTTGGTTCAAGGTCGGCCGGCACTGCAGTGAGTCGCCCACGCGCCGGCAAGCACAGGCACAGGCTGGCAGCGGCTGGGTCGGCAGTGGGCCAAAAGAAAGCTGACGAGGACCGTTCGCGCCAAACGAGTGGTGACGCCAATGACGTTCTTGAAGGGTTCACCTCGTGGGGGGAGCCCGAGACGCAGGATGATGTTGCATGCAGCAGGGGATCGCGGCTACTGTGCTAGCGAGGACCGCTGACGGAGAGCCCGCTGCTGCTCGTCGGGCTTGGCGATCGTGGTTGGTTCGATGCGCGCGAGGGAAAAGGAAGGAAAAGGAAAAAGAAAGGATAGAGGCTCGGGTATAACGAGAAGAGGTTTGATGAAGGGGGGATGAGAGAGAGGTAGAGGGTAGGTAAGTTACAAGCAGGAATGTACTTTGTAGGGATGAAGAAGGAGTAGGAACCGGCGGAGGCGAAGGCGGCGGAGCAGCGCAGGGACTTGGGCCGGAGGCTAAGCAGGAAGAGCCTAGCAGGCAAGTACCGGTGTCTGTGCAGCACTTGGCACGTGCGTGGAAGCCAAGAGTTTCGAGACAAGTAGGTCCGGGCGAAGGAGATAAAGGAGAGATGCAGAAGAAGACGAAGAAGAAAATCAGAGAGGCGGGGGGGGCAAGCAGGTGGCCAAAGGGGCCGGTCGGCCCCTCTTCTTAACAGCGGAAGGAAAAAAAAAACCCCCAGCCTAGTAGCTCCGAGACGAAGCACATGCTGGAAAAGAAGGAGTCGTATCATGGTGTTTGTACGCCGCTGTATTGCGTCTATGCACTAACTGTACTAAGGCAAGGCACATGAGGCGCTACTTTAGCCCAGAGGTAGCAGTTACCACAGCAGCCGGCAGTGCTTGGCTTGGCTTTCAGGTACCTGGGTATGGTGAAACCCAGGGCAGGGGAGATGCAGCAGCTCTTATCCATGACAGGGGAGGGGCCAGGGACTGAGGCCCAGGCCCCCGGGTCGCTCCTCTAGCCCCTCCCCCCTACACCGACGGTTGGCGAGGTTTCAACATCTGACAGTCGCTCTACGTAGATAAGGGACTGGGTAACTGAATCTACGGCAATTATACCGGTAGAGACACCTGCAAGAGTACCTGCGGCACCGTCCGCTCCCGCCATCCGGCCTTGCTTGTATCCACTGGAAGAGACACAGACTCGATTGTCCGTGGATGCACAATTCACAACGAATCTTATCAGCAGCTGCCATGGATGTACCCGGACTGTGACGAAAAAGGGGGCCTGCTGGTCGTCGCCTTTTTTTGACGCCGCATGCATCATCCACCGCCACCACCACCACCACCTCCACCACCTCCACCACCAACACTTTGTAATCGAGATATGTACAGAACATTGCTTCTGCATCTGCTACAACAGAGAAACCGCCCATTTTGCTTGGCTTCGGCCCCGGCACACCCGGTGCCATGTTGCCGCTCCCGGACACGGACAATCCACTAATTACCTACACCGCAGGTACGGATACACGCTTCCGTGGCGTCGCTTCCGAGGCCGTGCAGCGGTAGGTTCAGAGGGGGAAGCTCAGGGTACGGACCGCCGCGTGAAGATCCCGATCTTGCTCCACCGGCTGTTGTCGGCCTGCCTTGACCCGATGTCCGGTCGCCTTCATCGGCTGTCCCTCCGGATCAGCATACCAGATTGCGTGCCTAAAGCAGACATGTATGTACGCAGATAACAAAGTGCGTGATTTGTATTCCAAGATGCAGTTCACATGTTGGACGCACGGCTCATCAGTTCACAGGCCGCCACCCAGCACCGGCACGGCGTCGCACAAGAGAGGCAACGAAGGGGGGCAAGGGTGAGAGCGCCTCAGAAGCACGCTGCAGCATCCGCGGCATCTTGGTCCGTCGTGAGGGGGAAAGCCGACGAGACGAAATTGGCGGCAGCTGATATAACGTTGTAGATGTCCTCGTCTGATGATTGGCCGGCCCGTCCGGCCACGACGGCGACACACATGCCGCGCAACCGCCACCACACTGACCGGGAGAGAACAAAAGAGGCTGTCATGCGCATCATCCCCAGCCCATACATTACCTACGGAGCCAAGACTGGCTCGTTGGGCCGCAGCCACAAACACCGCGCTCACGCGACCACCAACCGAAACCGGAAGCTTCTCACGTGTACAGTGCTCTTGATTTTTGCCCATGGGAAAGAAAATAGCCTCGGACAAGTGCAGAAGGAGATGGAGGGAACAAAAGGACGGCGAGAAGAGGGGTCTGGCATGTCCAGCCTAGTCTCCTCACGCTGGCAGCAAGCACCGAGCCAACTGCCTCGAAACCCGTCACCGGCGTGTTAGTATTGAAGACTGCTCTCGCCTACCCTCCACTCATCGGACCCTAATTGGGTCGAGAAAGGTCTGAACCTCTACAAAGGTGCCGCGCAGTTCCATGAACAAAAAGACTGCGTGCAAGAAGGCAGAGTTCCACTTGGGAATGCGACACACTCCGGCCAAGGGGTCCAACAACTTGGCTTGAGCGATATATACGCCGCTATGCATGGGATTATTGTCATTGGGGGGATAAGAAGCACCATCCGACCCCTGATGCTTGACGGTTGACTGTCATGTACATAAGCAGACTACTTGGGGGTTATGTTTGCAGATATGCATGCGGGTCGAGTGTGCGCGTGCGCGCGCGTCTGTGTAAGTGTGCGGCGGACCAGTGCCACATCCAGGACGACGGAAAGAGGATAATGATAACTCGAGACTATGAAGCAGTCCCGCCGTGTCACTGTCCAGTCATGTCCGTTGGTGGCTGCGGAAAAGGCAGAGCGAGTGGCTGCTCTCGTGCCACAGCGTGTAATGTAAGAAGCCCTCTCGCCAGAACTTACAGTATGCTGTGCTCGGACGGCAGCTAATTAAGGGCACCAACGAGAACTGACAAACGGGTGAGACGCCTTTTTGTACCAAGTATGCACGAGGCAAACTTGCACCAATGGCAGTCCACCCTATAAGATGACGACGTCGACAACGACATGATGATGATGATGACATGGTGTGCAATGGCAGACTCAATCCCGGATACAGTAGGTGGTCATATGCTCCCTCTCCATTCGGTCAACGAGCATTGGCTCAACTAGCATCGTGCATGGCCTCGAATCAACTTCGGGGGCAGTGTATATACTCGTACGTTCTTGTGATGGCACAGCAAGCCACTTTTGTCGAGCTCGATCTATGCGTACGTAGGTACTCTGCACATACCTCCATCCATGCGTACAGAGCCCAAAGTAAAATGCTGCCACTTGCCAGCTTCGTCTACTAAAGCCACGACGACCTTGGCCTGGTCCGTCTACGCCAAGGCTCCCAGCGTAATGCTCGAACCGCTCAACGACTTGCGCCCTCGAGCTTGCCCCGTCCCATTCTGTCCCGTGCCGTGCCGTGCCGTCTCGGTCATGGCGAATACACGAGTCCATTGTCCCGTGCTCTATGCCTGCTGTCTCGGGACCAGCCCGGCCTGCCCGGCCTACCCGCCCGGCCGTTTGTCTTTTGTCTGCCGCACTCACTTGCACGCTTACACACCCTTCCCATGACATGTGTATACACCAGCACACACACAATGTCCCGCTAGGTCATGAGGCGCCTACAGGCAAACGAGGATCTGTCGAGCTTCGAGGACGCCGACGATGCTGCCGCCCTCGACGGCGGCAATCACGGCATCGTACCCGCATAACCCCCCCCCTCCGTTCTCCTCCTCGTCCTCCTCACTCTCCTCTTTCTCCATGTCTCCGTTCTGCGCCCGCATTGCACGGACCATGTCGCCGGCCTGTCGAATTGACGTGTCGGATGGCAGGGGAATCATGTCACGACGGGTCGTGATGAGGCCTGGCACCTCGTCGAGGCGCAGGCCCGCATCTGACCTCGACAGCTGTCGGATCTTGGCCGGCGCTGCCACCCCGTCGTCCACCCTGACCCAGCCCGTTTTAGAGCCGTACCCCACCCGGAGGAGATCGACGCCCAGGTCCTCGCGGCTCAAGCCCGCGGTCCGTGATAGCTCGTCCCACGGCACCGCCACGTGCTTGATTGTCGTCTGAGACCGTCTCGTCGCCGTCGGGGTCGACGTCTTGTCTGCTGTCATTGTCGTCTCTGCCGCGGTGGCCGCCCCGATGGCGCCCCCCGGGTGGTTCCTGGCAAACTCGGCCGGCACATTGTCGTGAAGCTCGCTCGCCGCCGTCATGGCCAGTGCATCGCAAAGAGCCAGTGCCACCGTCGTCGACGTCGACGGCGCCGACACGCCAAACGACGTCTTCTCGGCCTCGGGTATGGGCGCCGGCACCAGGACCGCGTCTGGCCGGCGCCTGATGATCTCGCACGTCTCGGCCCGCGTGTGCGAGGTGAGCACAATGGCCGGCAACGTCTCGGCCAGGTGAGGGAGCAGCAGCAGCAGTTCCTGCGTCTTCCCCGAGAAGGTGATGAAGAGCAGCGTGTCGCGAGGACCGACTATGCCCAGGTCGCCGTGCAGGGCCTCGGTCGGATGCAGGAACGCGGACCGGATGGCCAGGCTCTGCAGCGTCGCCACCATCTTGCGGCCAATGTGTCCCGACTTGCCAACCCCGACCACGACCAACTTTCCGCCGGCGGCGCTGCGGTGCGCAATCACCTGCACCGCCCGGTCGAAGCCGTCCCGGGCCCCGGCGTCCTCCTCGTACAACCGGGCGAGGTCTGCCAGGGCGGCCGCCTCTGTGGCCAGGACGTGCAGGCCGCGCGACAGGCGCCGCTCTGTCGCCGCCTCGCGGTGCCGCGCCGGCTGACCCTCGCCGAGGCTGAAGGGGCTCGTGGGCTCGCAGAGTGTGCTGTCGTGCGGTGAGACGCATGGAGTCGGCGGCGAGGGCGGCGGGAGAGCGGGCGTTTTTGGAGCGCCGAGCACGATGACGGCGCTCGTTTGAATGGGGCGGTGATCGGCCATTTTCGCTTCTGCTACACCGATCCTGTCTGGGGAACCTTGATCTGTCCCTCTCTCTGGCCACGAGCGCTTCCTCTGGAGCGACAGCAAAGACGAGCGCGGGTAAGTAGAGTGCTGCCGTGGACGCTCAATGGGGTGCGGTCAAGACGCCGCCAATGACTGAGCCGAAAACACCATGTCCAGCCTGTACGTCAGTTGTATGGCGTATGCATGTGATGCCGAAGCTCGTGGGTGGAAAAACACAATGTTGGCCAGCCGAGCAGCGACACGGAGCCGGAAGGGCGACAAGGGCGCTACGGACGGGAAAAGACGAGAGGCAAACACGGTATTTTGTCGATGCGATTGTGCCAGGGGGCAACAAGGCGGCCGTGCCAAGCACAGCGGACTGGACCGGCAATCGTCGAGGGTAAGAAATAATCCTTCTCTTCCACCAAACGACGGCTGCTGCCGGCGATTGCGCTGTAGGTGGAAGTCCGGAGGCCGAATCGGGCGATAGCTTCGAGTGTGAGTGGATGCCGTGTAATGCGATAACGGTGGGGAGGCTTCGCCCTGCCTTAACCGGCGGCCCACAAGCGATGGGGAGAAGGAAGAGGATCAAGATGGAATCTGCCTAAGCAACAGTAGCAGAAGAGGCAATGCCAGGGCTGTGAATCGGCCACGGTCCTGTCTGCCAAAGCTCTCTTTCCGCCGTCTAAACGGCCTCAACGGTTTGGAAACGGCCAGCAAAGGGGAGTGGATATGTAGAGAGGGGGAGGGAAAACCCGTTCTCTTCGATGACAGGCGTATCCGTGACGAGGATACGTCATTATATATCCGGGGATACCAGATGGGGGCCATGCGCATACATTTCATCATCAACGGTTATTAAGCATGCGGCCAGCACTGCCCGGCAAGGCGAGAGAGCTGGAAACAAGAGATGAGTCTATGATGAGTTGATCAGATAAACCGGCAAGCCGGATGGGCCGCGCGCAATGAGGAGTGCTCCCCGTAAGCAAAGCCGGGTCACGCCATCGCAGATAGGATGGAGCGTTAATTGGCCCCGTCTTGCCGTAGAGCAGGCCGGGTCGCCGCGGGCCAAGTCGGATGCAGTCATGGATCGAGGCGGCTCTGGCCAAATCGAAAAGACTAGCCCATGTTGGACAGACCCGCCAGCCTTGAGCATCGGCGAATGGCCATCGGGGGGTCGTCATGATACGCCAGATGATGCATATCATTTACAGGCACGTCCGTATGTCCATGTAAGTTTATGTACATATATATATATATATATAGGTATTTACTTACAATAGCCCCGGGAGCGGGAGGGAATCGGCCGTGTCTTGAAGGGCGGCATGGATGCTGCCCTGGGCTCGACCGCGAGGGAGGTCAAAATGACGAGTTGTACTGCGCCTACAGGGAGAGATAAGGCGTTCGTACAGCTTTACGAAGTACTCATTGCCTAGAACATGGCCCTCCTGGAACATCTGATCAGAGAGCGCGAAAAGAAGAAGGAAAAGAAAGAGGGGGTACGTATTACAACGGGTTTGTTTGGCTGCAACGAGCCCACAACTCTCCCATTATCTGTACCTACCTGGCTGATACATCTTTTCTTACACGCACAATACGACCATACAGGACAATATACCTGGCTGGTATTAGAGGCTTACGCACTCGAAACAGTGAATGAGACAAAAACAGAGGCAGTCCGGTTCCAGGCGCAGCAGATAATACGAGGTCCCGAAAGAGCTTAGTCCGGGCCCCTCCTCTCCCGTTCAGGGCCGTTTGCGTGGCCGCACCGGGCTTTCTCCATTGAGCGGCGCTGTAATTAATAGTAGCTACAGTGGCCCTCTCCGCGGTACTCCAGGGCAGTGGAGGCCCCCCCTACCTCGGCGCGTTGCCGGAGCTTCCCCCTAAGCTTCCCCCGACAGCTGTGTGTGACCATTCCCGTGACTCGTCATCCAGCTTCCCGTGAACCGCTGTCTCTCCCTCCCGTCTCTCCCTCCCGTCTCTCCCTCCCGTCTCTCCCTCCTGTCTCCTCCTCCGCCCTCTCGACGACGACGACCGACGGCGGTGACAAGGACGGCAATTCCCGACCCGCTTCGTGTTCGATCTGGTCCGACAAAGGGCTTCGTCGCTCGCTCACAACCCCCCTTCCTTTTTTTTTGGTTATCCTGTTCGAGTCTCTTCTAGATGTCAGAGTCCTGTCCGACGACGTCCTCGTCCACGTTCATGGTGCGCAGCCCATGATGGCGTCAGGCCCAGACGACACAGCCGCCGCCAAGGCCCGTCGCTGGCCCCCGCCCAACGGCTCCCGAGGCCCGCACCACTGCCCACCTTCGAACCTGCTCTGCCGTCGCGTCTTGACTGTCCTCGTCGTCCTCGTCTCGGCCGGCTGCCTCGCCCTCTTCCGCGCCTCGGGCTGGACCGGCGCTCAACCCCTGCTGTCCTCCAACGACCACCATCACCATGCCGGCCTCGACGGATCCAACAACCCGTGGGCCGCCCAGACTCTGCCCCCCGGCGATTGGCCCCCCGACCGCTATCTCCTGGGCGTTGGCAAGGCCGACATCACGGGCCCCGTCGTCGAGCTCAACATGATGGGCTATGCAGACTTCAATCAGATTGGCAGCGGCCTGCGCCAGAGGCTCTACTCGCGAGCCTTCATCGTCGGCCACCTCCGCAACCCGGCCGACCGCTTCGTTTACCTGGTCCTCGACATCCAGTCGGGCGACACGGCCGTCCGCTACGGCATCCTCCGAGGCCTGCGCGCCCTCGGGCCCCGATATTCCATGTATGGCCACGACAGCCTCGCCGTCACCGCCACTCACTCCCACTCCGGGCCCGGCGCCTGGCTCAACTACCTGCTCCCCCAGATTCCCAGCAAGGGCTTCGACAAGCAGAGCTATCGCGCCATTGTCGAGGGCTGCATCCTCTCCATCCGCCGCGCCCACGAGTCCCTCGAGCCGGGCTCCCTCACCGTCGGCACCACAAAGATCCTCCACGCCGGCATCAACCGCAGCCTCTACTCCTACCTCGCCAACCCGGCGGACGAGCGCGCCCGCTACAACCTCAGCGCCGCCGACGACGGCTCCGTCGAGACCGACATGACGCTGCTCAAGTTCCAGAGAGTCTCGGACGGCAAGAACCTCGGCGTCCTGACCTGGTTCCCCACGCACGGCACCTCGATGCAGGCCAACAACACGCTCATCTCGGGCGACAACAAGGGCGTCGCCGCCGACCTCTTGGAGAAAAAGGTCCGTGGCGGCGCCCGCGAGTCGGACGGCTTCGTCGCCGGCTTCTCCCAGGCCAACATGGGCGACGTCAGCCCCAACGTCCTCGGCGCCCGCTGTGACGACGGCTCCGGCCAGAGGTGCAACTTTGAAGACAGCACCTGCGCCGACGGCCGCTGCGCCCATTGCCGAGCCAAAGGGCCCGGCCGCGGACATGACGACCACGGGGCCTCCTCGTGCCTTGAGATTGGCCGCCGCCAGTATCAGGGGGCCCTGGATCTCTACGAGTCGCTGGACCGCCGCTCGCCCAACGTGCGCGGCCAGGGTGTCAAGGCTTTTCATCAGTTCCACGACATGTCCACCTTTGCCTTTACCCTGCCCAACGGCTCGGCCGCCACCACCTGCCCGGCTGCCCTGGGCTACTCATTTGGCGCAGGCACGTGGGACGAGCCCGGGTCCTTTGACCTGGTTCAGCACCTGTCCACCGCGGCCAACTCGTCCTACTTCTGGAAGTTCATTACCTGGATCCTCATGCAGCCCAAACAGGACCAGGTCCAGTGCCAACACCCCAAGTCCATCCTGCTTAATGTCGGGGAGGTCCGCCGGCCTTATCAGTGGACGCCCAACGTGGTGGACATTCAGACCTTTCGCGTCGGCCAGCTCGTCATCGTCGTTAGCCCCGGCGAGGCGACCACCATGGCCGGCCGTCGGTGGAAAGAGGCCGTGGCCAAGGAGAGCGCCAAAGTGCTTGCTGATGAGCTGGACGGTCAGGAGCCCGTCGTCGTCCTCGGGGCGCCGAGCAACAGCTACACGCACTACATTACTACAGAAGAGGAGTACGGGTAAGCATCACTTCCTCTCCTCCTCATGCTTCCCGCGACGCCCGAGTTGCTGACCACCATCTTGCAGAGTCCAGCGTTATGAGGGTGCGTCGACCCTGTACGGGCGTCATACGTTGGCGGCCTACATCGACCGCAGCCTCGCATCGGTGCCGTTTCTGCGAGCGCACGGCGCGCCAGCACGGGAGCGAGCGGCCCTGGAGATTGTGCCCCCGGACAATAGCAACCGATCGTGGAGCTTGATAGCGGGCGTTTTGTACGACACGGCGCCGCGGTCCCGCGTTTTCGGCGAGCTCGTGACCGACGTGGCCAAAAAGCGCTTCGAACGCGGCGAGAGGGCCAAGGCCACCTTTGTCGGCGCCAATCCCCGCAACAACCTGCGGCTGGAGGAGACGTACGCCGCGGTAGAGCAGCGCGTGTCGTCGGCCAAAGGGGCCGGGTGGAGGCGCGTGCGGGACGACTCGGACTGGGCGCTGACCTTTCACTGGCGGCGGACGAGCAGGATCCAGGGCACGAGCGAGGTGGACATTGCGTGGGAGATTGAGGAGGGAACGCCGGCGGGCGAGTACAGATTGCGATACTATGGAGACTTTAAGTCGATGCGAGGACGCATCACCGGCTTCGAGGGAACGAGCGGGACGTTCCGCATCGAATGAGAAGGGGGATGGGTGTGCGCACGCAGCGCCTCCGAGGACAAGGGCAAAGCGCGGAGTCTGGGATTCGAATTCGCCATCTGCCGGCATATTTGGAAGACACAATAGGGAGAGCGAGAACGGAGAGGAGCGGGAACCGAATTTCTTCAACGTTGGGCCGTTTTGGTGCTGGGCATTTCAAGGCTTTTTGGTGTTTTTTTCTTTTCCCTTTGCCCCTCTGGTATTCATTTTGGGTAGAAAGAGCAAGGCCGTGGTGGCAGGGCTCGCTGGCACCTAGAAGGGCGTGCAAGGATTTTTCTCTCTTCTTCATCCTCGCACTGGGGCGACGGACAGAACTTGTCGGGCATCTAGATATACCACACATATATATCCACATCTATAATGTCGGGTTCGAGTCGCAGACAGCATCCGCTTTGGTTGGGCTCTATCTCCTCTGACAGAGATGAACCTAGAGGCTGAACCTGGGGTTGAGAAGAAAGAGAGCGAAAAAGAGGGCTGCGGCAGGGAGGCACGAGGCCGTCTCCGAGTCTAAGACACAGAGGGGGGGCTGACGAATCCTCGCTCCCTGGGCGAAACATTGGATACCAGTCACAGGCCACGTCCGGTACGTGTGGGCAGAAGTCTTGGACGTGATGCATTCTGCCGGGGCTCCTTTCACATAAAAATACCATGGGGGACATATAGCTCGTTGACGACGACGCGATGGAGTTTCCAGTCATGTAACGACGGGATTGAGCATATCGCAGTGACCACTTCCCTCTCTCTTATAGCGATATGGATGCACAGTACAAGAAACGGTCAGGGATGTACGAAGCTGTTGCAACATGTCCAGGGGGTATTTAGGTGGAAGGGGGGGCGACGAGGGTTATCAAGTAGCATGTTACTCGTACTTCAACTGTACAGTGCATGCTGGAGGGGGGAGTTGTGAGAGGTGAAGAGAGCGGAAGAATTGTTGGACTGAAGAGGGTATTGGGAGATCAACAAGTTTATAAGGAGAGTTTGCAACCTTGACGTTCTGCGCAATACAACGATCAGCAAGGATCGGCTCAGCGATACAAGTTCTGTTTATGCTCGTGATACAAGTTACATGCTACAATGCACAGACCAGGTAGGAATACATGGTATACGACATCATTGATGCTTTATAGCTACGCGGAGAATTTATGCAGTGTTACGAGTTATGATATCCGGCCGGCATTCGGGTAAGCTCGGTTCTACCTCTTTTGCCTCGTTTCTCCCTCCATCATCCCCTTGGCATCGAATTGTGCTTTTACGAGTTTACAGAAAAGCTCAACTCAACACTCGAATGCAGACGTCGACGCAAAGCCCCCCCGGACGCCGGTCAGGGCGAGTTCAAGCTCCAAGCTAGGCCACAGACATGAAACCCCCGAAAGACGACGAAAGCTGGCCCCGGCGCGATACCTCGTGCTGGTGGCGACCAGAATAAGTTTGCATGCACAGTCCGATAATAGTCACCAAGCTTTCCGCGGACCCGGCTCCGCTAAGCTTAAAAAGTCGGCGGCTCCTTGCAAGGCGTCGCTCCCCCGGTCAAGGCGCACAAACACGCGGCGATGGTGTGGCATCGCGCCACATATGCCTCCGCAAGCTTTCGTATAATGGTAGAGAAACAATTCCTCATCCCGTCGCCCGCGCGGCTTGGGCCTCCCGCTGTTTCTTGTCCCTTTTTTTTTTTGGCTCTGGGCGCTGCGAGAGGGGAGAGGGCCGGGCATGCCGGCTGGGCCGATGGGCTTCGACTCCAGCAGAGACGGCTCCGGCTTCTGCCCTTTTCCCTGCCGGCCCAGATGCCTTTTCTTATTTGTATTCTCCAGCAAATTCATCTCGAGGTCCCGTAAAGCACAGAGCCATAGGATCCGAGGGCCCGCACGGCCTCCCCCTCCCAGCACGTCAAACCCAGCCGTCTATGCTAGGTGCTCGCTCCTTTTCCTCGGGACGTCGATTCCCACTCTCTGTGCGGCGTAGAGAACTCTAGGATCCCGAGGGGGAGGGCACCCTTGAGCGAGCCGATCGAGCTTCCCCCTCGCTCCGCCCGTACTCCAGGACTGGGCTGTCTCAGCGGGCATGGCCGTAGGCACGCGGCTGCAATCCAAGCTCTTTTGCAGACTATTTCCTTTGTCTCTTCCCCCCTTCACCTCCTCCACCTCCTAGGTGCAAGGAAAGCGAGTGAGAAACTGAATTCATTCTAGCTGGCAAGCTACTATCCCTTTCCCGCCTTGTTGTCGAAATCCTCCCCGGCACCATTCTCCTCCTGCCCTCCTCTCTTTCCCGCTCTCCCTCGCTCCCCTCTGCCATCTCCGTCTTTCATTTCTCATATCCACCGATTCCTTTGTCCCCCCCAACTTCAATCAAATCCCCGTCACGTCTTGGGCGCCTCTCTTGGACACCGCATCGCCGCCGCTCCCCAATGACCGCCCACCCAACAGTCCCGCGGCTTCTATAGAGGGCAACCGCCAGGATGGGAACCAAGACCTACGTCCCCCTCTCCTGCAGGAGCGGCCTGCGCCGGTTCCGGAGCGTGCAGCTGGCCCTCATCCTGTCCTGCTCCGTCTTCCTCTTCCTCCTCATGCCGCTCTGCCGGCTTGGCGGCCGGCCCAGTGGGCACATCTCCGTCGCCGTTCCTGCACCCGCCCGGGCCCGTGGAGGCGTCCGCCACGGCCCGGCCCATCTGTACAACAACACGTTGTACCGTCCAGAGACCCAGGGCGCCGTCCACCCGCAGTTTGACTTTGGCTCGCCCTGCAGCGGCTTCCCCAACACCGACGACATCCTGCTCGTCATGAAGACGGGCGCCAGCGAGGCCTACGACAAGCTGCCCACGCACCTGCTCACTAGTCTACAATGCCTGCCCGACTTTTTGCTCTTCTCGGACCTCGTGAGCGCTTCCTCTCTCTCTCTCTCTCGCCTTGGACAGCGTTCAAGACGGGCTTGGCTGACCGCAGACGAGGGAAACAGGAACAACAAATGGGTAAGTACCACTTACACAACGTCCTCGACCGCGTCCTCGACACGGTCAAGAGCGCCAACAAGGAGTTTGAGCTGTACGAGACGCAGCTCAGCTGCCCCGTGTCGCAAAAGGATTGCACCAAGGGCCTCCAGGGCGCCTGGGACCTGGACAAGTACAAGTTCCTCAACATGCTGGTGCGGACGTGGGCGATGCGGCCGGGCCGCAAGTGGTACGTCTTCGCCGAGGCCGACTCGTACGTCTTCTGGCCCAACCTGGTGCTCTGGCTGCGCACGCGGACCGACCCGGACAGCGACCTATACGTCGGCAACGTGGCCCTGGCCGACGACTTCCCCTTTGCCCACGGCGGCAGCGGCTACGTCATCTCGGGCCAGCTGGTGCAAAAGGTCATTGAGTCCATCCCCGGCCTGGCGGCAAAGTACGACGCCGCCGCGCCGACCATGTGCTGCGGCGACGTGCTCATGGGCAAGGCCCTGGCCGAGGTCAACGTCACGGTCAAGCACGCGTTTCCCATGTTCAACGGCGAGCGCACAAACACGCTGGCTTTTGGCGAGGGCCAGTGGTGCGAGCCCATCCTGACCTTGCACCACATGGACGCCGAGCAGGTCGGCCAGGCCTGGCAGTTTGAGCAGACGAGGACCAAGAATGTGAGTGATGAACGAACCGTGCCCTTCTATCTCTTGTCCCGTCATTCCGACGGAAGCGAGAGTCATGGGGCGTGAGAGCGCAGAGACCGGGACAGATGGCTTACACGGTGCTCGCATCCCGACAAACAGACGCCCATCCAAATCAAAGAGCTATACCACCAGTTCTTCGCCCCCAACCTCGCCCCAACCCGCGACGCATGGGACAACCTCTCGGAAGACGTATGCTACATCGCCCCCGACAAGCAGAGCCAGGACGAAGCCGACGTCGAGCTCAAGGCCGTCCAAAAGCGGCAGGCGGCCAAGACGCCCATCGAGCGCGACGCCCACACCTCGCCCGCCGCCTGCGCCGCCGTCTGCGAGGCCGCGGGGCTCGACGTGCCCGAGCGCGACTGGGCGGCACAGACGACCGACGAGGGCCGCGCCAAGCTGCTGGCCAAGCTGTACGGCCTCGAGTCCAAGGCCGCCGCCGACGATGCCGCCGCCTTCCACGGCAAGCGCAGCTGCTTCCAGTGGCGCCACCACCGCGGCGTCTGCTGTACCGCCGAGAGCTTCAAGCTCGGCCGCCCGCGGAGGAGGGAGAAGAGCGGCGGCAGCCCGTGGACGAGTGGCTGGTTCGTCCGCGGCATCAATGATTGGATCAAGGCCAAGGGCGACTGTGCCGTCAGGTGGCATGACCCCGAGTAACTGTCTCACCCTTCTTGTCCTTCGTGTTTCCCTGTCCTTTATTTTGTCCATTTTCTCCGAAGTAGGAGAGAAACGGCGGAAGCCCAGGGAGAGAAGGCAGCAGAGAAAAACGGGGGAGGAGGGTAGGAAGGGAAATTTTTCTCTATCCCTCGCGTCGGCGCTCAGCAACAAAAAGGGAGTAAGGGTGGCATATCGGCGTTTATCTTGTTTCTGGGGCGGTGCTATGGCTTCATAGAGCCTTTTGCTTTTTCCTCACCAGGCTCGGCGTTTACAGATTGGCATTAGATCAAAGCGGCATCAGAGGTGTAATGATATACTCGGCAATACAACAGGACGGCTCCTTATTATCGTGCAGTCTGTCATTCGTGAGGAATGCGCCAACACATTTACCGTCGTTCCCGCCCGCTGGTCAATGTCAATCATAAGACAGAGCCAATCCCGACCGTGAACTCCCGAGTACCAGGCCCAGTGCCGCAGCCCCCTGCTGGAGCCCGCCTCGGCTGCAAGTCAAGGCCCGGGGCCAGACCCCGGGAGACGACGCGCCGTCTGCCGTGCTGCTACCAGCAGGCGGAGACTGCGGGACGGTCCAAGATTCGCTTCAACGAGGGAGGCAAGCGACGTCTGGGTATCACTTATAGTTTCACTTCCTTCAAGAACCTACATAGGACCAAGCCCAACGTCTCATCTTACACTGCCAATGCTATCATTCCCGCTCCCTCTGGCCAGCCTCGCAACCGACGGCCTGGCTCTCATGTCCATAGATCGGGGTGGCGGGAGTCACTGTATAAGACTGGCCCGGAACTACCCACAACGCCTGCAAATGCTCCGCAAACGCCCTCCAGATGTCGTACAATCGGGAGCCATGCAAGCTATGGCTCTCCTTGGGATAAACCCGCTCTTCACGAGTTCTATCCACACACATCATGCTGTCACTTCTTCTCGGCCACCTCCGCCAGTCTTCTAGGGGCGCTCTCCTCGGCCACGATGACCGACTTCTTCCCCCCATGGCGCCCGCATCGATGGGGATTTTTGGGCGACTTCATGAAGCAGTAATTCTTGGCGTCTTGGCCCGCGGGCTTGCCGTACATCTTGGTAATCTCGCAGTATTCGTAGCCGTCGCCCATCCAGCTCTTCAGGTGTCTGTGCAGCTCGCAGCGCGAAATACCACACTTGCGACAGTACACCTGGCCCCGGACACGGAGCTGGTCCAGCCGGCTGCCCTTGCCGTTGTCTGTCTGCCGGCTGGGCCGAATGAGCGGGCCTGCGCCGCGCCACGCCCACTCCATGTCGTTGGGTCCGGCGTATCGACTGCAGAGGGGGACCTTGCCGTACTTGCGGCGGTGGATGGCATACAGCTTCGAGTGAGCGAGCCCCAAGCAGACGCCATCGATGGGGTCGAGAAGGTCGAACAAATCATAGTGCATCTCCGAAGGCAGGTCGAGTATGGTCATGCGTGACGAGGGCCGCGGCTGGCCAGGAGCGACGGGTTCAGGTTCTTTATCGGTTACTGAATATGATCGCCGGGGAGGGGGTAGTTTTGGTCTTTGCGGGATTTGGGCGTTTTGTCCCGGGGTGGCCGTCGAGGGTGGCGTAGCGGGAGTAGGGAGAGGTCCGTTCTCGGGGATGGAGGCTTGATGGTCGACCAGCGATGCGGCTCCATGCGCATGATGAAGCGTATCGTGTTCGGCTCGATGTTCCGTCATGGACCACCCTCGCCTCGGGGGTCTCGTCAGATTCCGCTTCATGTTCAGCTCGTTGACCCGTTGGGCGTGCTCCTCTCTTGACATGACGCCCTCGTTCTTGGCGGCCATAGAGCTCCTTCCCTCGGCTGTCTCCTGAATCAGAGTCCCAGCCTGGGGGAGGGCCGGGTCGGCCAACAGCTGAACCATGTTGGTGCGAATCGAAGACTGTGGGCAAAGACAGTGAGTACGGCTCTGAAAGTAAATTCGTCCCGCCGGGATGTGATTGTCTTCCCTTGCCCAGCTTTGAGTCTCCAGAATAGATGGCCGCGCAGCGGGAAAGGGGGTTCAGTTGTCGAGAGAGATAAGCGAGTACTGAGGCAAATGAGCGTCGAACATGAGAGGACGTGTCGGGGCAAGCCAGGTGTGAGCCGGATTGGGACGAGTTGGTTCGGATCAAGCCTCGGAACCCGTCATATTTGGGGGGGAGTGGAAGGTTTAAAAACGGGACATGAGCAAATAGGGTCGGGGACCCCGGGCCGGACATGACAATGTCGTGTGCGATGGAGCCAAGGACCCATCCATCATGGGCACGGATTCCCCCATGAATGAATGACATGGTTGGCGACCGCAGAAGTCGGGCTAACACACTAGCGCTAAAGCACGACCGTTTCCGCGGCTTTTCACTCTGTCTTCCCGTTTCGATGGGCTCATCCGCAACGGTCCAACGGGGCCTGTTCCGAAAGACGTTCGGCGGCCGGCCCCAAAAGATGCGACTCTGGAGCGGAGGAACACGGACTCGAGACGAGCACATGCACCGGTCGTCGGCCGCGCAGTGGCAAAGCGAAGGGTGATTGACGAGTTGGTCCTTTTGTCCTCGTGTGGGGCGGGCTCGAGGTTGATGCGAATTGAGCGCAAGTGGGTGGCCAACGGTGGACCTGACTCGGCGGCATCCTCCTGTAACGTATGTAGTACTTGTGAGTCGGACTTTGCTTGTCCGGCCTTCCGCATCCAGCCGTGGTCGCGATGCTCGCGGAGGCAGACGACGATGGCTGCTCGGGCCACTCATGTTAAGCGCCCAACCAACAACATGGCTTTGGTAGACGGTCAGTTGCGAAATGGGCCTCCGTGTGCCGCCTCTCTCTTTGGCGCCTGGCCAACGGGGCCAAGACGTCATGCCCCGTCTGAGGCATAAATTGGATCGTCATCTCCATGGGCGTTTCAATCGGTCGGGTCCAGGCTCCATCGACTCCGCAGAGAGTCCACTGTTTTCTCCCTGTTGCGCGTCCGAGTCTCGTGCTTGTCCGCGCTTGCGTCGCTTGTCGGGTTGATGATGCTGCTTGGTCGTTGTTTCGTGTAGTGAAGTCGTTGTCAAGAGTGGGCCGGCCCTTTCTTTTTCCTTGTGCACGTCTTCCGTCTGTGGTGCTTGCTCCCTGTACCTTGCAGGCGTGCTCGCAGGGCTCGAACCAGCCCAATCTACCAATCTACAGACCGCACAGGGCATTTCCCGCTGCTGCAGACGCCCCGTCATTGCAGACGGCTGTGGCTTGGGCTCTAGCCATGCAAGGCCGATCATGCCTTTGCAAGGAGCCAGGGGCATTCAACGCAGATGCCAACAAGGGCCTACCGGCCAGCCTCTCACCATACACCCACGACATACGTATTAGATACATACTGTATTACATCCTGTCGAGTTTTGTCATGACTGCAGAGGCGACGCCCTAGCTCGCCATTCGACCTCGTTGGACCCGTCAAAGCTGGCGCTCGGCTCAGGACAGGAGCCATTTCTTCATCGCCTCCGAGCAAAACGTCCCCTTCAGCCGTCCACGTCGCGTCAGTAAGCGATGCATCCGACATCAACTTGCTTCGGTCCTGTCGCCCATCAGAGCTCCTCACAGGCAGTTTCGACACAGCGCCACGATGGCTTGAATATCGCTGGGCGTGGACCTCTGGGCATGACTTGATATTTGCTGTTTCCGATTGCGGCAGATTTGCTCGAGAGCCCGCGTTTTTAAGATCACATCTGTGGTCAACAGACAGGAGTCATCTGCCATAATGCTTCCCCATCAGTCTCCGTCCGTGGCCTCGCCCTCTGGCAAGCCGTGTCATTGCACCGTATGTAGATGGGGCCCTACTCATTCAGTCGCTCCAGACAACCCTTTGAGCTCGACAAAACAACGGCTTCAAGCCCGCGTGTGCATGACAGAGGGGTCCGTCAACATCAGTCGCATTGGCATCCAATATTTACAAGTAATCAACCATCGCAGCATATCCGAAAGCGGTCACAATGTGCGTCGCAGATCCCCAAACGCCGTAATGTGCGAGACCAGACGACCCGACCCAGACGGAGCTCTCGCCTTTGCATAGCGTGGTCACCACGCGTCTGGCTGCTCATCCCTAGATGGCAACCCAGATGAGCATGATGACAACATCCATTCCCTTGCTCTCACCACCGTCAAACTTGAACGTCCACATGCCGTCCTTCTTCTCGTCCCAGTAGGCGCCCGTGGCGCTGTGCATGCCCCGTCGGCCGACATGGGGCTTGCCGTCCGTCGCCGTCGCCTCTGTGCTCGTCGAGATGTGAGGCTCCTCCGTCTTGATCTCGGTGCCGCCGCGGGGCTTGTTCAATGACGAGGTAGGGACCAAGTGCTGGACAATGGTGCTGTTGCAGGCAAACTTGAACGACGGAGAAGAGGCTCCTTGCGGCGTCGACTCGGAAATTACGGCTTTCAGCATCGAGCTCTGGGCGCACAGGACTGTTAGTCGAATGGGGATCGGGGGTTCGAGGGATGGGAGGCGCACAATAATGGTTGAGTTCCATTGCTCAGTCTTCGCGTGGTCGTAGAATTCGGCACTCCCGATGGCACTGTTGCAGACCTGCAGGTAAACGGCGTGAGACAGGGTACCGAAACACAGGACGTCTCCCCGTAAACAAACAAGGGCAGGGCGACGTACATCGGAAGCAATCTGCTTGAGTCGATTGAAAGGAACGGGCTGCCATCAGGTCAGAGTAACGTTCGGGGCTTCTTTTCTCCAGAGTTCGCTTACTGGCGTAGACATTATCAAAGGTTGAGTCGTAGTTGTTGATGGGAGAGTTGATTAGGGGTCGTGCGTGAGGAGGGGCGGTAAACAAAGGAGCTTGGGCGCAGACGTGAGACGGCGCGGGTATCAATCTTGAAGCACCGCACACTATCAAGTCAGCCTCGGTGCAGGGACGTATACCGACCAAGTCGACGGCGAGCACTCACCTAGGTAGACCGGGCTGCAGCAAACAACGGATGTTTGAATCTTGAAGTCGATCGTCAGGCTTGCGCCAACGTTTCCTCGCCTTTCCCTTCTGGCGCTTACCTCACCCAATCGTGCTTCGCGGGGCAATGGCACGTGATCTGCCGCCAACAGCCGTCACGAGCCCCGTGCAGCCGAAGCTCTCGAAGCGGGGAGACCAACCAGCGGCAATCACTTCTTCGGCAGACGGAAACGGTCTTTGTCTCTGCCTTCAACTCTCTCTGAGCTGAGGCTGTATTTCTAAATGTTGCTATACCTTCGGTTCTGACGGCTCGAGCGATTTTAATACTCCTTTTCTTTGCGATTACCCTGTATTGCGACGCCCATCTAATTACCTCGATTGACCGCGACGAGGGCCGGTGGAACGAATCGGGACCACCTCGGGTCTCAGCCGTCTCCTACACAATAAACAACCTTGCCAATGTCTTCTCAGCCGCTCTTGCAAACTGCACCGGGTGCGCAAACCTCCTCACTCCTCCACGGCTCCCGGAGCTAACAGCGCCCGCAGGCAAGCGCATCGCTTTGCCCACCCGAGTCGAGCCCAAGGTCTTCTTTGCCAACGAGCGGACGTTTCTATCATGGCTCAACTTCACCGTCATCCTCGGCGCCCTGGCCGTGGGCATGCTCAACTTTGGCGACCGGGTAGCCTTTATCTCAGCCTTCCTTTTCACTGGCGTCGCCATGCTGACCATGATGTACGCGCTGGCGACATATCACTGGAGGGCCAAGTCGATACGAATGAGGGGCCAGACCGGCTTTGACGACCGGTTTGGCCCAACCTTCTTGGCCATCATTCTCTTGCTGGCCGTCGTCGTCAACTTTGTCCTCCGCATCACGGACCAGTCCAAGAAGCAAAAGCAGGGCTAGCCATTGGTGGTGAGCGATATATCCCGGGAGAGCAGCGGACGTCGAGTCGATCGCCAAGGGGCTACCAAAGGAAGATGGTCATGGTTGGGACGTTGCATACAACACTACTGGTGGTGATGGGTGATGATGCGTTTGGTGCTTGGGCGTCACCACGGACAAACAATTTTCGAATTCAAGGTAATTTCTGGGGCGTCATATATCGTTGGGGTATCGTGAGTGTCCGGCCCTCGACGCCAAGTAGGGGCAGAGCCCGTAAACGCCGTGTACCAGGGAGGGAACCAGCCGACTGTTTCTCCTGCAACCGTTCCGCTGCCGTCTGCACGCTCAATGCTCATTGCTTGGGCCCCTCGCTTGTTTGTATCGTGACGTCGTCTTTCTTCTCGAGTTCTGGTATCGGCTGTCTAGAGAGGAAGATTCTCATTGACTTAACGGTTCGCGCCGGAGGGGGCGGGAGCACTGCCTGTTCAAACCGGCTGCCCATGACCTCAAAGTCGTCGTGGCCGGAATCCTCGCCGTCCTTATCAAGGACCGTCTCCTCCACCACGTCCGGCCTGCGCGGTTCCACGGGTAGGTCGAAAAGCTGGTTGTACTGGTAACAAGCCTTGCCCTCATCGGCCAAGATGCGCTTGCACTGCTCCACAATGGTAATCATCTTGCAGACCTGCGCCGTCTTCGCATGCAGCAGGACGATGCGCGGCTTCTCGGGCGAGGCGACGACGGCGGCCATGCGCGCCACGGCCAGCTCGACTCGCTTGCGGATCTGGGTCGACGAGATGACGGACGCGACGAGGACATCGTACTTGGCCTGAAGGGCGTCGACGATGGCTTCGTGGGGCCCGATGAGAGACGCGGCCCTTTGCCCTGGTGGGTGCCGGTCGGCTTTCTTGCGCGGCTCCGCAGCGTCAGCGGGGCGCTTGCGCTTCGTGCGGCCCTGGTCGGGTTGAGGCGCGGACATGCTTGCCCAGTGCTGGGTGGCTGGAGCTGGCCCGAGGAGTGTTTGATGCACTGGGGGAGGGGGAGGCAGATGCTGAGATCGGAGAGCCCAATTGATCGGTACGAAGAAGGTACCCAAGGTAAGGTATCAGGTATCTCGGTACTTCGAGCTCCACCGGGGCCAGCTTCTTCACGTGACTTGGCCAGCAATTTATCCCTTCGAGTTCGAGCCCGTCCCCCTTTGCTCGCGTCGCAAACGGTTGCTTTTAAAACGGCCTCGTAGCGCAGCCACATCCCGCTCGTGGCCTCAACGGCTTATCTACTCGATGATGAGCTTTTCTGGAACATTGAAACGTACCTTTCACGTCATTTGCTCGCCGCGCTCCTGCTTGAGCGCGCTTGCTGTCCGAGCACAGAAGGAGAGGGCATGCGCAAGTCATGAGCACGACATACATGGTCCAGAGGGGCGGTGTTGTCCAAGACCACGGTTGACGGCCAGTCTCGATCAACAAACGGATACGACGAGTGTTTCTGCTGCAATCACGGTGAAAAACGAGCACGCGGGCGCACACATCGAAAGGGCATCTCTTAAAACTGTCCTATAGCCATGTGCAATCATCAACGTCCTAATTTCGGCAAAGGAGCCGAGATCAGTGGCTGGTTCTGATCAAGGTGCCTCCGTCCCGCTCCAACGCTCTCGAGTATCGCGATCCAACGTCAGACGGAAAATATCAACGTGACAGCGTCCTGAATTAACAAAGCCCCTGGTTGTTGCCACACAAAGTGTACAATCTCCCTTTTGACCCCATGCCCCTTTCCCTCGCACAAGAAACAAATGAAATATTACTCATTATTGTTATCCGCATAGCGACAAAGGTAGTCTTCCGCCCAATCTGCGGAGCCGGGGTTCGTATTCTGCTCTGCCAAGGGAGCACTGCAAATAGGATTCTCAGTTTCAGTGGCCATGGTTGAGACTCTCTCTTCATCTTCTTTCCTTTCATCGGGATGTTCCAACGCCTCCGGTCGAGCTATGTGATCTAGGATCTCCTTTGCCAACAGAAATGTCACATCTGGCCCAAGAGTCTCGAAGTCGATGCCTGGCTCTCGGTCATGACCATCGCGTTTGGCCACGCCAGTGAGCGGAATCTGGAATCAAGTCCCGACCTGGTCCCATCCTGAAGGAAGATAGGATGCCAGCTCAGCAGCGTCTACTTTCATACGCTCGATAATTCGCGGCTTGGAATCCAGCCCAGGGAACTCGCTGCGAACCGCTTGTAACGAGGCGCGATCCATCAACGCAACCCACGCGAAAGGAAAGCTGACAGACAGAACCGGTCCGATCACTGGAGTGAAACCAAATGCGATGGTCACGACGTTTGCAAAGAAGTCTTGGAACCATGTAGCGGCCTGGTGCGGTCTCCATTGCAACGTGAGTCCAAAGTTGGCGCCGACAGCCTTGACCCAGTCAAGGCCATACCCGGCCCAGTAGGTCAAGCCAAGAAGAGCAGCCGTTCAAAATCAGGAACCGCTGAGCAGTCGAACAAGCCGGAAGGAAAGTACTTTTGCTGTGCGAAGCTGCTGGGAGGGTGCCAACAGATTGATCAATCCATACATGTTGAAGCCGAGTATACGCTGCCAGGGTACACCGAGCCCATCGACAGTATTACAGGAAGTTAGAACAAGGTTTTTCTGATATCTCTAGACTCGAATTGGTTCAGGATGCGTGAAGCTGATTTGCAAAAAGGTACAGACTTGATTACGCTCCTCCGAGACATGGTGGGCCAGTGGAATATAGATGGCACGGATACCAGCCAAACACTACCCATCAAGATATTATGAGCGCGGTTGATCATATCGTGCAGGAGCAGAGAGTTGACTAGGCACTCACATCCATTCACACCCATTTCTCCTGTTCCGTGGGCAGAGGCATTGTCATGAAGAACGCCTGGCTACTATATGACGAGCCGACCACCTCGAGCCGCACTATACAAGGGCCATCACCTACCTGATACGACTGACCTCTCTCTCTATCTCGGATTGCGCTTCCATTGACGCAAAGTTCATGTTGAGTGCGCCTGCGGATGCCAGTGGTATGGTTTGCGCTATATTGAAAAGGTAGGAGCTGATAGCTACCATACCACGTATTCCAGTTGCTTCCCTTTGCAATTAAATAACCATGTCGTAAGCCAGGCTAGCCATTTGGATGATTGACGGCAACTGCGCTGTGATGTGCGGGCTTGTTCCAGATGTAAAAACGGGTGTCTATATATACCAATTGGTCCTTCGCGGATCACCTTGCGAGCCTGGTGTGACGGTACAAGTGCACGAACAAGGTCGGGTGCGACTTGGGTAAAGTGATTGTCTACGAAGAGAGAAGGAGGTTCCTAAGGAAGACTCTGACTTTCGCTATTTACATGAATCAAAGTGAGACATTTCATAAAGTATGAAAGTCACATGATCGTTCCCTCACACATGGGCCTCCCTTACTCCATCGCTTCTGATTCTTCCACGTCTTGCTGAGCCTGTAGGCGAGCATTTTGCACTTCTTGTTTCGTGGGTCTGGGTTTGTTTTGCTGTGCTTCTCGAAGTCTCTGATGGCGATGTGAGCGTTGACGACGTTCTGTAGTGGTTCCCATGTTGCCTGCTCAAGGTCGAAGCCTCTCCATAGTATATGGTACTGGAAGCCTTTCTGTTTTGTGCGTTTCGAGTCCAGTATTGCTTCAATCGCCCAGAGTTTCTCCCCCTTTGCATCTAGCGTTATTGGTGGGGGCGGTGTGTTGTATTGGCCGGGGAGCGGGTCGTTTGGTGACGGTCGTAGGAGGTTGGCGTGGAATGAATTGTGAATTGAGTCTAATTCATGTGCAACTTCAGTTGGTAGGAGTGAGGTTGAGCACGCGCTCGATTCGAAAAGGGCCAATGAACTTATGATCTAGTTTGGGGATGGGTCTGGTCGAATCGATGTTGCGTGTGCTAAGTAGCACCATGTCTCCAACTCGGTACGCTGGCGCCGGTGATCTATTTGCGTTGGCGAACTGTTCTTGTGAGGCTTGAGCTGAGAGCAGGTTTGTCCGAAGTAGATCAGTGATTTCTTGCATCTTGGCGACAAATTCGTTCCCCTCGTTGCAGCGTTCTGCCAGGTCTTTGGATGCCGCGAGTGGTATTGCGCGAGGGGGACCAAAGCTCATTCGGGGGTGGTAGCCTGTGTTCGCAAAAAATGGAGACATTCCCGTTGAATCGCTAACAACGTTACGGGCTGCGAATTCGGCCAATGGGAGCCACTCGTCCCAGTCGTCCTGAGCAAAGCTAACATACTGGCGAAGGTATTGTTCGAGAAATGAGTTAGCGTTTTCCGTCTGGCCGTCAGTTTCGGGGTGATATGCTGTGGAGAGCTGATATTGATCTGTAGGCGGTGGCAAACCGCTTTCCAGAATTCCGAGACAAACAGTGGTCCTCTATCAGATACGATTGAATCCGGTAGTCCATGGAGTTTCCAGACATCTCGTACGAAGAGCGTTGCCAAGTCATGTGCTTTCATGTCGGTCTTGCAAGGCGTGAAATGTCTGTCCTTTGACAGCCTATCGACTACCACCATGATTGCGTTGAATCCACGAGCTGTGCGCTGAATTGGGCCAATGAAGTCAACGGACAAGTCCCTCCATCTTTGCAAGGGAACTGGGAGCGGTTTCAACGTCCCCTGGTACCGTAACCGGGAGGTCTTGTTCCTCAGGCATCCGTGGCAATTGCGTGTGAATTGTTTCGTATCGGCGCTAAGCCTTGGCCACCAATAAGAGCGTGAAATGAGTTCGTATAGCTTGTTTTTCCCGGGTGGCCTGATTCGACGCTGTCGTGGGCGAGTTGAGTGAGAAGGGTCCGTAGTTCGCCTGCGGGTACGTATAGCCTCTCTCGGAAATATAATCGGCCTTCGTTTATCATGCATTCCGATAGAAACTTCCTTCGAGTGAGGAGTGCCATGGGGTTTGAGCATCTCGTCCCTGATTTTCATCCACCATTCGTCCTCCTCATAGCCCTTGTCTAGAAGTCTTGTGATTCTGTGGTTGATTGGTTCTGGCTGAATTTCGTCAAGAATGGCGGGACATAGTGCAATTTCTTGTTCCCAGGAGAGATTGGCAAAGAGTTCTGAGAGCTCGGGGTCAAGCTTTAGTTGTTCTTGTACGGAGGAGTCTACGTTGCAAGGCTTAAGCAGCGACTGTTGTTGGTACTGGATGCGGTCGTCATTTTCATCTTTCGGCAAGTCTTGTGATCTTCGTGTGAGTGAGTCAGGTTTTCCGTTCTCTTTCCCAGGCACTGACTTGATAGCGAATTGGAACTGTGATAGGAATTCGCTCCACCTGACTTGTCGTCTTGAAAGTTGCTTGGTTGTCATGAAATATCGAAGGTTGGCATGGTCAGTGATGACTGTAATCTGGTGGTGCGTGCCTTGGAGTTCGGGTCTCCAGCATTCGAAGCAGCGTACAATAGCCAAAAGTTCTTTGTCATAGATCTCGTAATTGCACTCAGCGGGGTCGTACTTCTTGGACATGAAAGCCACTGGGTGTAGCACTCCTTGATCATCTTCCTGGGAGAGGATGCCCGAAGAGACAAAATCGGATGCGTCGCATTCGACAAACACTTCTCTTGCGGGGTCGAAGTGTCTGAGGATTGGCGCTGAAGTGAAGCTATTTTTGAGCATATCGAATGCTTCTTGGCACGATGAAGTCCAGTTCCATTTGACTAGTTTCCGTGTCAGGGCAACAAGTGGTCGTACGATGCGTGAAAATCCCTTGATGAACCGTCTGTAGAAATTCGAGAATCCTAAGAAGGCTTGAACATCTTTGACGTTGATAGGGGCCTCCCAGTTGATGAGACAGTCGACTTTCTCTGGGTCCATCCGTACTCCAGTGGTTGAGATGATCATGCCCAGATATTTAACTTCAGTAGTCTCAAATTCGCATTTCTTGACGTCAAGTTGTAGGCCTGCGGCTTCAAGTGCTTGAAGTACTGATTTGACGTGGAGTCTGTGGGTGGCGAGGTCGTCTGAGTAGATGAGAATGTCGTCGATGTAGGCTGTGCAATATCTATCAAGGAATGGGCGTAAGACTTCGTTGATTCGAGCTTGAAAGGTAGCTGGGGCGTTTGATAGTCCAAAGGCATCACCATGCTCTCGAAGAGACCATATCTTGTGTTGAACGCCGTCATCCACTCCTGACCCTCCTTGATGCGTATTCGATTGAACGCTGCGACGACATCGAGTTTGGTGAAATACTTGGCTTGGCTTAGCTGAGAAAGTGTCTCCTGGATTAACGGTAGCGGGTAGCGGTTCTTGATGGTTATCGCGTTAAGAGCTCGGTAGTCCACGCAAAACGAAGGCCCCTCCTGGCTTCTTTGCAAATAACACCGGCGAGGCCGCCGGTGAGGTGCTAGCGCGTATAAAACCCTTGTCAAGGTTTTCCTGAAGGAATTTCCGGAGGACGAGAAGTTCGTCTTGGGACATCCCGTACAGAGGTCCATGTGGTGGAGTCGTTCCAGGTTGAAGTTCAATTTCGTGGTCGCAGTCTCGGTGTGGGGGGAGTTTATCCGCCTCTGATTGGTCGAATGCCTTCAAGAATTCATGGTAGTGTTGTGGTACTTTTGTTGCAGGATCGATCAAAGTCTTGGGTTCGAGGGCTTTGTGAATGTCTTCGAGTGATGCCCTGAAAGGTACATATCGGCTGCTATTTTCCGGGAAGCTCAGGTTCCTGTGTTTGTTGGTCCTTGGGGTTAAGGAGGTGATTCCGTCCTGTAGCTGGAGCTCTCGGTTCATCTTGTCCATGTCTGTGAGTGCAGAGTCGAATCGGACCCGTCGGCGTGTTTTAGGTTCTACGAAGGTGGAGGCTTCTGTGATGACCCCAAGTTCAGCCAGCCTTTTGTCGATCTCATACAGTGATAATGAGAATACGTCGACGTCGCGGTTTTGGTCAGCATGTGGAATGCGGCTGCGCCGACTCTTCGGGGATTGATGGGCGTGGCAGTATAGTCGTGGTTGCAGAACTTGACAAAGAGGGCTCCAGAAACAGGCAGTTGGTATTGTCCTTTCTCCATGCAGTATTTGCGGCAGTGATCAGAGTTGAAAGTGACCACATTCGTGCTCCAATTGACGATTGGGTTGTGATCTGTTAGCCAGGGTTTTCCAAGTATGACATTATACTTCCCAAGCTTCGTTACGTAAAAAAGCATCTTCTCCTTGTGTCCCTTGATGTCCATGTTGAGCTTCACCACATGAGTGATGTCGCCAGCCGAGGAGGGTCTTCCATCGACTACGTTCAGCCGGCGACGGTTTCGTAATTCATAAAGCGTGAGTTTGTTGGTGTGCGCGAAGGATTCGTCTATAAACCCCTTTCCGGTGGCACCTGAGTCAAGCATTGCTTCGGTTTTAATCGGAGTGGAATTGTCTTCGATTAGGTTACAAGGCAGTAGCAAATGAGCTTGGTTGGTGTCCAGAGAAGAGCAGTAGATCGCCCTTTTTCTTGCGTCTCCTGCGGCGACTTCCGTCGGAGACTACACTTTCCGTCCTCCATGGTGCGGTGTCGCAATTGAGGAACGATGTTTGCCCGAGCTGCACCAATGGCAGAGTCCATGCGTTGTGCAATAGGCTCTGCGTGCCGCTCTCTGCTTCCGTTTGGGGTCTACGACCAGAGGCGACATCTTTGGCCCCAGGTGATGACGCTCAAATCCATTGAATCCCCGCCGTTAGAGGTCGTCGATTGTGGCGTGGTGGAGGTTGTAAGGTTGCTTTGTGACTTGCTGAGTTGTCGGTGTTTTTCTTGAAGTAATTGGCATTGACTTGACGGCATTCGTTATCGCAGATACGGACAAGGTCCATAAATTGACTAAGTTCGGTAGGTGTATCTTTGCCCTTAGTGAGAGAAAGTCTCCAGATAACGTTGTCGTGGAGGGCACGTCGGAGGTGAGCAATGAGCGCCCCACTATCCCACTCGGTGAGCTTGGCGACGGCATACCATTCGGGAGGAATGTCGTAAGGGATCTATGGCCTTGTTTCATGTCAAAGATTTTGAGTTGGGCGGTAGCTTTAGCGTCAATATCCCCGAAGGCTGACTGAAGGGTGCTTTTATGGCATTGACATCGTCGAAGAGAACCACCCCATCTTTAATGTTGTAGCGGACTTGGTCATGTGCTTTGCCTTTAAGGCATGAGACGACATATCCCATACGTTGAGGTTCCGAGTTCCACCAATCTTTATTCATTTCGAGCTTCAACTCGAGGTGCTGGAGGAAATTCGGCAGAAGCGTGGGGTCCTCTCCGGTGAAGGCCTCAGGATCAGGGTGTTCTGGTGTGCGGTGTGAAGCTCCTTTGACTGAATGATCTTTAGGTATGCTTCATTTTCTGCCATAAGACGGGCGATCGTTGCGTCTCCATCACTTTTAGAAATGAGCGTGTTTTCTAGGCGGGTTTGGAGGTCCTCCATGTCCCTTATTGTCGTCGTGGTCGAGGCACGTAGTGAATCGATTACCGCTTGCATACTGTATGCGGCATTGCATACGAGGAAGACTTCTTTCATGAGACCGGCTGGGTTAGCAACAAAGGCATTTCGGAACGTTTCATTGGTATTGCTGGCGTTGAGGAGGACAGGGGCACTCGATCGACGGGTGTGGGGCAGCGGTAGCCATTGGGTTGTTGACGGTGTGGTGGTTTAGGTGAGAATTTGGTTGCAGGGTGTTTTGGTGAGGTTTGAAAGCGACAAGTGCGGTTTAGAACTATCGAAATCAATAGTCACGTCGCGGACGGTGATCTATTGAGGAGGGTAGTTGGTAGACAATATGTGACGGTACAAGTGCACGAACAAGGTCAGGTGCGACTTGGGTAAAGTGATTGTCTACGAAGAGAGAAGGAGGTTCCTAAGGAAGACTCTGACTTTCGCTATTTACATGAATCAAAGTGAGACATTTCATAAAGTATGAAAGTCACATGATCGTTCCCTCACACCTGGTGCTCTCGTCCATGGATCACGGCTCCGACCGTGATCCCTTCCGTGAGAACTACCGCCAAGTGTTAACCAAAACCCAGACAAAGGGAGTAAAGGTCGAAGCTTGGCTAGTGGCTTGACATAATGCTAAGGTCGGAGGCGAAAGACACAAGATTCCAGAGCTTGAAGGGGATTCCACTATCAACTATTTCCTTACAGCAGTCTCCGCCTTCGACTCGGCCTAGTCCAGACTCGCAAGCAAATAAATCGAATGAATGTCTATTCAGTTTGATTTAATTTGACTAGGAATCATCCACGATGTAACAGTCTCAACAGTGTGTATTGACAACTAGCTGAGCGACTGCAACGAGTATCCTAAAGCTAAGGAGAAAAGAAGAAGAAAGAAAAGAAAGGCTCTCAAAGATGACGCGAGATTATAAGGGGAACTCCGGTTGGGTCTTGTCGAGAACTGAGCCGAGACCCCGCGCGAGCTCAGCCCTGTACAGACGCCGGGGCCGATCTCGTCGTTTAACTACTACGACTCGGTCATGCTCGACGAATTTCAACGCCGGCCCCGTCTGTTACCTCTGCGGCGTCGTGACAAAGTCCAGTGCTTCATCCAAAGACGGGTTTGTTTAGTGCAGGTAGCTGAAGGCCAATGAGAGACGGAGTAAAAAGCAAACTCCAAGGTTCACCCCATCCTGGCTTCTCACTGCGTGTGACGTAGGCAAGTTGACGCATCATTGGCAGGACGCAAAGCAAATAATGGTTGAGCCAACATACTCCTAGAGTTCTTTGCCGTCCAACTAAACCTTCGTTCCAGAGTCGTGATCTTTCGTAGTTGCCGTTTGATCGGATCCATTCACCAAGTTCAGGCGCGCTCAAGAGAATCGCGCCACTTCTTCGTTGTCTAGTAGTAGATCTTTTCCTTCCAAATAGGCGGGCGAGCGCTGTCGGTTTCCCAGTTGATCTTGTTCTTTTCATCAATAGTGGCACCCTCGTCGGTAGTGGGGGCAACCTTGCTCGTGAGCGCAACCTCTTGCTTGGATACGCCCGCCGAGTCAGCTGGAATCCAGAGCATCGGGGTCTTGCTAGTGACGGATGGTGGCAGATACGCCGTGGCCTCGATCTCGTTCGTATGAACCTGTTCGAAGCCCATGTCTTCCTCTGCCGGAACCATCGTGCGCAGTGTGGCAAGGTCGGCACAGACCCAAGGCTTGAAGAACTTCATGAGAAAGTTGCCCTTCTTCTCGACGCCGCTACCACTGCACTGAGCTTTGTTTAAAGTCGCTGGTTTGCCATTGGCACCATGTGAGCCGTCACCGACAGCTGCCTCGAGGTTGTTGACCTCGATGGTCTGCTCCTCGGTCAAAACACTGCAGGGCAATCCGTACAGTAGAGGGTCGATTTTTTTAAACATTGTGGTCTGGAAGAGAATAGTAAAAATCAATAATACGGCCATCAGGGCAGCCGGGCCAGCCGCCTTGGAGATGGAGAATAGGCCAATCATGCAAGTCTCCGCCACGTAGATGCCGGCAAACAGCTGCTTGAGAGCCCGGGGATAGATTAAACCCTGAGTATCCACGGTCGCTTCCGATACAAAGATGATATTGTAGCGGAATGCGAAATAGAATAGTGCTAGGGCAATCGTCGACCATCCAAGCACGAGGGGAGCAATGGCAGAGAAGACAAGACCTGCATGAAGCGATTAGCCATTATGGCCTAGACGCCGTCGGGAATGCAGGAGACGGCGAGATATCAAAGGTCAAACTCACTGATGCAAACGACGTTGGTGTATATTGGAAGAAGACTTCCCCACCGGACTGTGCTGAGGGCTGTCCACTTCTGATACATGGTACGGGGTGTGCCAGCAAGAAATCTGTAACTCAGATGGAAGATTAATAGGCCGAAAACTCGGGTCAGTTCGCTGACAGCCATTAATAAACCCTCTAGGATAAAGTAGGAGATATAGAAGTTGGAGGCCGACGGAAGAATCTCTCCCAGCGTCGGAAAGACGGCTGACGGATTTTGGACAACTTGAATAGTGGCCGCCACCGCCGAGCTAGAAACAGTCTGGACTATCAAGACTTGAGTCAACTCGAAGACAAAGTGGGCGTTTTGAGTGAAGAGCTCGGCCTGAGACAGTGTCGGTGCACCAGCGAGCTTGGCGCACATCCGCATGACTTCGGCCGCAGGCGACATGACAACAGTCATGAGAATGGGGGGCAGTAGACCAATGACAAAACCAAAGAGTACCTGACGATTGTCAGTTTCCATTTCAGCCGGGGCAAGTTATCGGCTCCTAAAAGGGCATGTGGGGATTTCCTTACGTCTGGGATGCTGTTAATCCATGTTAGACCAGAGAGCGACTTGAGTGTATCGGCTTGTTCAAGGATGCCAATAATAGCTACAGGAAAGGCCCAGACGATGTTAAGAGTGGCGATAAGCCCATAGACGGCATATCTACGCATGATAAGTTGCCACCAAGGAATAGACATATTCTTCCAAATAACCTCGCTAGGCTTAACACCGATGAACTTAGGGCACATGTGGAGAGCCTTGTGGTGGGTGATAGTCTGGTAGGCTGCCTCGGCGTCTGCCTGGGTGTTGAACTCGATAAAGACGGCGCCAATCTTGTCAAACTGACCCTGAGACCACTCGTTCTGGGCCTTTTCTATTTCGGGTACGAGCCTTTGAAGCTCAGCACGACCCCATTCGATGGTGTCGACCTTTTTGCCTACGAGTCCGAGAGGGCCGAGGCGGTGCGAAGGTCGCTTCTTGGCGGGCACGAATCGCGAGACAACGTTGCCCGTCTCGGCGTCGTGGTCGTGTCTGCCGGTGGTATTATCACACTTGCCGGAAGAGGCCTTTGAGTGAGCCTTATGGACCATCTTGATGAGCTTGACCTCTGCTCTCTCAAGCTTTATTGCCACCTTATCACGCTCCTCGACCATTTTATCGAGCTTATCCGTCTTACCCGTAAACCAGATATAACGAAACGACTCGTTGAATATATGACGGAGCTTAGATTCATTGAGGAAGTCGGCAGGAACAGACGTAAAGAGGACGGTGCGAGACGAGATGCGGCGGGCGTAGTGTGGAGTGAGTAGGTAGACCTGGCGTAAGTTGATATAGAAGATGCACTCGCGCATAACCATATATATAACGAAACTATAGACGGCCCAGCCGACAAAGCAATGGGCGTAGAAGCGGTTCGGGGATTTCTCAATATCGACGTTACTATACGATAAGATTTCGAGCTGCTGCGCTGTGCCCATGCCCGTGATATTAATAGGGAAGAGGATGGGCCAGCTGATGCAGATGCTGACCAAGCCGATGATCATGGCGACGCGAAGAAAGCGCAGGAAGAGGTAGGCGTCGAGGCCCTGATGGGTGAGAGCGTATGCGTCGGGGAGCTTCGAAAATGTGCCGAGCCAGCTGAACCAGCCGGCACCCAGGTCGGGACTACGTTCACTACAACGACAGGTCAGCAACAAGTTCAACCTAGTTTCGCGTTCCGTCTCGGCTTCCTTTACATGGCCCATCTTCCTGTTGACAATGCCTGTGGGAGCCAGTATCGCGACCATGGAAGTACGGGAAGAGCATGGCGACCTACTTGTGCTGAAGTGAGCCCAGGTGCGTTCTCGGGGCATAGAATCTTCGCTTGGATTTTCTAAAGATAAGGAAGAAGATCAAGTATATAGATGATACAGCCAACACGATGACGAGGCTGCTGATCATTTCTAGACAAGGCAAATTAGCAGTGGGTTCATGAAAAGAGGTGCCAATAGGCAGTGGAAGCTGACCTCGGAGAGACTGAGGCTCTGTCTTCGGATCTTGGGTCGTGGTCGAGTTTCCCACGTTCGAGTTGATCTGACTGGAAAGGGCGCCCATTGTCGCGGTCGGTCGAAACGTCGACGGCGATGGGAGGATGGAGTTGAGAGCAAAATGAGCAGTGCGCACCATCTGCTGGCCAGGGCAGGCGCAAAGATCCGGGTACCTCTGGGGCAAGACACATAGAAGAGATGGAAATTCAAGAGGATGGAATGAGCGGGTAGGAACGTGGTGAAACGAACAGGCGGCCTTTGGATATATCAAGGGCTAGCGGTAGGTGTTAGGGCGCCAGTCAATAGGAACTACGATGGGAAGTATGGGGCGGGCAGTTCAATGCTGGCCGCAAAGCTGGACGGTAAGTCTATCGTAATGGTGGGCGCTTCAGCCGCTAAGGGGCAGGGGAAAGGGCGCCTCTCCATGACGGCATAGAGCAGAGTGGCTGAGTGGGAGGGAGGGTCAAGGGCCTTGGGTTCTAGAGCCCGGGAGAAAGCCTGACTATAGAACGGCCCGAGGCAAACAGATGGGATAGTGGCTTTGTCCGTCTGTGGTGGCCCTAATAATAGTAGTGCATCACTCACTCGGACGTCTGCTGCATGTCTCTGAATCCCTGCGTGGTAGATGACCTCGCTGGACATTCCTGCCGAATCATTGATCACAAGCTCATCCAGACGCGGCAGGACTGACTGGATTTGGGGCTGCTCGACCAATCAGTAGCCGCCGAGACCGACCTTGCCGGCTAGATTGCATCCCCTACTCGATCGCCCCGTTCAGCTGGGCGAGGACACTGAGGCAGTGCGAGATTTGGGTGGCTGATTTGCCGTGCTGCTTTTTGCTGCGTGCCGTGCTAAGTGTCCTTGCAGACTTCCAAATTTGTATCCGTACCGTGACTTGAGTTACAGATATCATTGGCTAATGTCATGGCAATGAGCCTCAGCCTTGACTGGCAAGCTTTCCTCTTCTTCCTCTTCCAAAACCGGAGCGTGTTGTCTCAGCATCTTTGCCAGGAGATGCCATTGGCGTAATAGACGATGTTCAAGCTCATAATGCATATTGAACTTCAACTCACGCATGCTTAGCGCGAGGTCTGCGCGAGCCGAGCAACAACGGCATTGTCCATGAACTGTACTTGAATACAAAACAACACTCATCAATACTTCCTCTACCTGTCGGCATCTGCACGCCTATACGTTACATATATGGTAGACATCGATTTACACAGGCTTGATGTGGCCTGACGCCATGGCCAAGGGCACGTCCACAAAGGTGGTTGAAGAGTGCTACGCTAGGTAAGCTTGCTCGCTATTAGATCGTCGAGGATGAGGCCACGGGGAGGGCCCGCCAAGCGACAGCGCGCTGAGGAGACGGTCGCAGAGTGCGAGGCCGGGTTCGAGGCCGCGAACATGGAGCGCCTTCTGCGAGGTGGCGAAGAAATATGCTTCTTTTATACGTTAACGCTCTCCGATTTCTCACGGCTTCTTCTCCACAAGTCTTGGGTAGTTGTCTTTCATCCAACACAGCCCCTTGGCTGAGACCTAGTGAGAGGGCGTAGATACCTCTTGCATCATAAAGCCAAGGCCTATCTGGTTGAGCCTAACCCGTGGGAATATCCCACTCGAGCTTGTCCTTCAACATGGTCGTCTCTTCGTCGTGCCTGTGACTCCTTTATCTAGTCTCCAAAGTCTTCTTATGAGGAGCACAAGCCCGACCAAACAGAGGGTGAAGAACAATAGGGCAATACTTTAATCGTTGATCTCTAAAGAACTCCTCCAGCAGGCTGTAGTTATCCCCTCATCGTTATATAACTCCTGCTACGTGTCGCGGTCCCCACTTTGGTTTCGGATGGTGCAATTCAAGTCTGGTGCGGTCCGAGATGTCGTCATTCTTTAGCATCCCTTAAAAACACTACGCCGTTGCCTGGGAAGGGATTTGGTCAAGCGATCTGCACGCATTTGAGCCGCTGGAACCCATCGGACTTCCATCCTCTTTTCCTGGCACTCCTGGCGTAACCAATGCTGATGAATATCAATATGCCGTAGACTTGTTGACAGTTTCGTTGATGTCTCGCTGAGAAGCCAAACCGTCTCTGCGCTATCACACTCGATGAGCAACGGATCTTGAATCTGTCGGTCCAGCGCCCTAAGCAGTCGGCATGCAAAGATAACTTCTTTGGCAGCTTCTGATGGAGCTAAGAGCTCGGCTTCTGTGCTCGAAGCTGCGACGGTAGCTTGCTTTGAAGCTCCCCAGGTAATAGGTCCGCCGAATAAGAGCATGCAGTAGGCCTGTGAACTCTTTCTGTCGAAGGCGTTATCCGCAAATGCGACATCGCTTGTGTATAGTAATGCTTCTGCGGTCCTTGCCCTACCTAGTCTAACTCTGTACGACCGGTTTTTATCGAGGTACAAGATAACCCTATTAGCTGCTTGATGATGCGTTTGATCCGGACTCTGATTGTGCCGGGCCAGCCTAGAAGTTGCAACGGCCACATCCAATCGCGTAGAAACAGCCGCAAATAGAATAGAGCCAATATTCTGCTGATATAGCTTTCTAGATCACCTGTCTGCTTGGACAAAGCTGGAAAGGGATCATGTTCTGGCATGCGCGTCTCTGGAAGCTTGGAATCAGGTCTGATATCGTGGAATTTATCAGACATCCCAGCAAGCAGTACTAATTGATAAGGCATTTACTGATGACCGGTTGATTGAAGCCTATATTACTGATGCTGCTTGACTGCGTTATCAGTAAATGCCAAGACATAACGTAGTTGTACTTTCCGCCTGTATAGATGACTCTTCCTACTCATTCCTGGCCAAAGTAACTATGGTGATTGCCATGCGTGCCCAACCACTTTACTTTAGACGTCGCGTTACTGACGCCGTGTGGCTGATTAATTGCTATTACTATTACCCATTGCAAAGTACACGCATTTCGCGGAGAAGGTCATTCTTGTTCCAACTTCCAGGGCACTCCGTCATCTTGATAAGCTTTGCGCCTAGACGTTCATGTCAAATGTAATAAATGGTACGCCGAGCACCATGGAAGACACGTTCAGCCTTGTCCGACATGGGCGCAATCGGAAGTACATTCATGGCCATTTTATGCAGCCGCGGGTATTTCATTCGTTGCTGCCCTTTGGTCCACCACGCAAGAGGGCTGACCGCACGATATTGCGTGGGTAACTGTTGATGAACTTCTCCAACCCAATCCTCACCTTCGTCAGTCTCTGTGATGCATTGTTGATCAGGTCAACTCAACGCAACTGAGGCGCTTATTAAATTGTGCAGTTGCATCTTTAACGCTAGAATGAGGATAACTTAACATGATGGCTTTAATAAGTTTAAATATAATAGACTCACTATTTAACTATTTCCATTCATATCCACTACTCTACTTTTCAGCAAGATTATTTGATTTCAAAACAACTACAGCTTATATTTCAATATGAAAACTGAGGCATTCACTATTGCATTTGCTTTGACGGCCGGTAGCCTTGCTACGACTGCTAACGACTTTGTACCCCAAGCCGGAAAATGGAAATTCGGCCTGCTACACGGATGATAAGGGTGACAACGGCCGGGTTTTCCCTCAACGATTCCCCTCTGACAAAAGTCTAACCCCGAAGAAATGCGTGGAACAATGCCAGCAGCTTGGCTATACGACCGCCGGCTTGGAAGATAGCAGTGGGTGTTTCCGCGGCCACCCTCTCGCGAACTCGAAGAGCATCAACGCGCGGGCTCGCTGCTAGTCCGCGGTACATTTTCCATGCCGGCCAGAAGTACTTAGATGACTAGGGAGAGGGAGCCTGGACCCCAATGAGATTTTGCGACAGTGTCCCACAAACGCGTTGCTAAGAAAGCAAAGTACAGCTACACTCAACGCCGCAGACTACCGAAAACCAGAGAAACGGCTACAGCAGGATCGCGAATGCTTTTTACGCTCCTTATCTCCCCTAGTCATTGGTATCTAATCAGATTGATCAAAGGTGTCTCAGGGTGGGGAAAGTGATCTGTCGCCTGGGGCTTATTAGGTGTGGTAGACGATGACGAAATTGTTTTCATCTTTCTGTCTATTGTGATTGCTATCGTAGTAGAAAGTCACGGGAACGAAGACCTGTGTAGATGCTGTAGAGAAGACTGACCGCCCTACCAAGTTCGTACAAATTAGTTTATAATTATATAGTATACGGCAAAACTATGGGATGATCGAGGGGACGTAGTTGGACAAGATTCTTGATATATGATTTTAGGATGTAACGACCTCAAGGAGGCTAATGGGGATGGCGATTCGGGTTGGGCATGTAGTTAGGGTAGCTTGAGACTGAAATAATGACGTGAAACTTCAAGCATAGGCGGTCAAACTACCAAAGCTGTTGGTCATTTGCCACGCCTCTACTTTTGTTGATGCTATATCATTAGTGCCTCCCGCCGATACTCTCGTCGGCTCATAATCAGGCGTTCTGCACCCATCATGGTAGATTTGGAGAGAGATACCTGAATGGTTCAACAATCCAACTTCTTCCACTTTCAAGAGACTATCCATGTCGTGGACTTTAGTTATGAGGACTGTCGAGGGACCCTCGTTGTGACGGCCCCCTTATACCGTACGCCCGTCGGCCCCGGCGCCAGAGCGGAGCCCGGCGAGAGCCGCTAGTCGCAGGGCTCTAGTAGCTCTAGCCACGCAGACTTTCCTCCGAGTAGGCGTAGACAGCGGTTTCAGGCCGGAAGAGCTACATGAATCCTTTGCGTGATGGGCAATTCGCGCATCGTACAGACTGAGACCATAGGGCGGCTCTCCGGTGATAAAGAAGCGAGGAAAAGACACTGAGAAACAATCAGGCAACGTCTGCCGATCGGTCCTCTGTCACAGCATCGCCTTGTGCACGAGGTAGCATGAGTCATTGCACACGTTGGGCCGAGTACGGTCATAATATTATAGGCCGAGACGGCAGAAGGCAGCGGGGCTGTTGCCTTGGGTGGCACCACTGTATCCAAACTTTTGGCTAGATGGCTCGTCGATAGTGTAGTGCGGAGAACCCCAGACTACCTAGGTACGAAGAGTATTTGGTAGCTCACGTACGTATCCCCAAGGTAACTTTTGCAATGGACCAAGATGAAAGGCTCAGGCGACTCTTTACGTGTGACGGCGCCAGGCAACCTCACAACGCAGGCAGAAGCAGGTTGCTGGCAGTTAGTTAGTGGCATATACGTCGACGACGACGTATCTAGAGTTGATTCGACAAGGCCGGGCAGTCGCGACAGCAGCTGGATGTATAAAAATTGGTACAGTAAACAGGGAAACCCACACTCGAAACAGAGTTGGCACCGGCTGCACGCTAGCCGGGCGTTTACGGGCGGGCAGAGGAAAACATGCGTCTGCCTTCGGGCTACAAGACATGATTGGAGACGAGTCTGGACGGAGAAATTGTATGTCCTGGGGAGGCGGCTTGTTTCCCGAGGAGAAGTGCGTGTAAACGCGACGTGATCGACGAGGATGGAGGATAAACGATTTCCGATGCTATACCATCGGGGGGAGCAAGCATGAGGAATGTGTACCGCGGGCCCTTAAAGTTTTGGAACACGGACCGAATAGATGGCATGAACCATTTCGCTGCTAGACCCTCGATTGTCCCCGCACTCGGACGAGGTGTCAAACGGGCCTGAAGGACACGAGGGACCGGACATGGAACATGGAGGGACCGAGGCGCGGGAATATTGCTGCTATTTCTGGCGGAACGCGCGGTTCAGAGTCCCGGCGAAAACCTGGCGGCGCATTCCGCCTCAAGTATTGCAAGTGAATCATCTGACCGAGGACGAAAACAGGCGCACAGATACTATCTCTCGGTTCTTTGTTGTTTGCTTGGAGTCCATCGAGGAACGGACAAGATACTTGTTCCTGCTGGTCTCGGTTTGCGCGCGGGAAGTAGCGCCAGGTACCACGCCAAGAGGCTGACGGGCGCAAGCGCATCAATGTCTCGTCCCTGCGTGTAGGAGGGACATGAAAGCCATGTACAGAAGAGACTTGCATTCCCGTCATGCAAACTTGAAGTGCAAGGCGACGTCGTGGCTGCATTGAGGCGCTGGTCCAGGTACCTCCCAGTAGGTCAGGTAGGTAGGTACCTGGGTACTTGACATGAGCCGCTTATCTAAGAGTATACGACGGCTACGAAGCACCTACCAGGTACCTAGTACTGTTCAGCACACTCATGCTCTGGGTGAAACACCACTTGTGTGTACCTACAGTACCTCTGCCTCGAGGCAAAAGAAGGCGTGCGCGTCCCACCCAAAGTTGATTGGCTCACGATAGGCGTCATCGCTTCTCCACCCACACCCCCTTGCAGCTAAGGAGGCGATGCCAGAAGCAATCTCATGCTACGCCACAAGCCTGTAGTGCGCTGTACCTGATGCGTACAGCTGCACAGCACGTGTACTGGGCGGGTACCTTGCCTACCGTATCTACAAGTACAGTGCACGGGTATCCCTGCGTACCCTCCCTGCTAGGCCTCCATCCTCTGGCGCCCATCACACACAGCAGCGCGATCTCGGACTCCCTCCCCCTCTCTCTCCATCCGCCTCCCTTTCGCCCCTTCCGTTGCGTGCAACTCGAATACCTCCACCAAACATCGCCCGTTATCCTCCCGAATTTTTCCCCCTTCCTCCTTTTCCACTCCATTTTCTCACTCGCAGTTCTCATTCTCGCGCATCCTGTTCGCTGCGCGTGCTCGCTCTCTGTCGCCCGACAAGACAAATGATTCGAGGCTTTCGCTAGCACTCGATCCATCATCACCCTTTCCCCCTCTCTCTTGGCTGGCCCCTTGTCGCCAGCAGCTCCCCAGGAGCCACATCATCACGCTCCCGACCCCAGCCTGCCAGTTTACGTCAGCACTCGGGCCTCGACCCACTCATCACAACCTCACCCCTCGGCATCCAACACGCCTCATGTTTGCATTTCTCAGGTCCGACTCCCGGGGAAGCGAGCAATCGTCCTTGACAGCACACACCGTCACCCTCCCTGACGCGGCGCCCCCAGCGTCCATCGACAACTCACCCGCCACCCCGCGCATCGCCTTGGCTTCCAAGAGATGCCGCGACTGCCCGGACGGCCCGGACGGGCTTCTGGACGCCTTCGCCCCCATCAAGCGGGCGAGGCTTGAGCCACAAACTTCGTGTCAAGTCCCCCCACCGGCTGCCGACTTCGATGCATTCTCCACTCACCTGGACGACGCCCGAGACATCATCCGCCATCAGTTCGGCCTCGAGGTACTGCTCAAGCACAGCGAACTGAGGCTGATCAATCAGGAGCTGGCCAAGTGTCAGGTCGCCCTCGAGCAGCTGCGGCGCTGCCACCTGATCCCATATCCCTCGACCTGCCCAACCCCTCATCAGATGCTCGACATCAGCTCCGGCAAAGGCCCTGCACTGGCGAATCCGTCGGGCGAGCCTATTCCGCGTTGGGCACCGCCGTTTGGCGTCGTCGAGGGCCCTTACGCTCGTCATTATGCCAAGTGGCTCATTCCGGACCCTTCCTTCGACCGAGCACAGCCCCAAGAAAACTTCTTGCCCTCACACTCTCGCGCGCGTGGCTCCGTCAGCGAAGGCCGAACGACACGAAACAGCTTTGCAGAGCCGTCCCCAGCTTCGAAGGGCCGCAGGAGCACTGCTGGTCAAAAGCTGCAGGCCCTGTCGAGTGGCTACCCGCAAGCAAAGGATAAGGCTGGCCCGTGTATCCTCAAGCGAGCTGACGGTAAAACCGTCAAGCTCGTCTGCCTCGATTGTAATCGTGAAAACTTCTCAAGCACCCAGGGCTTTATCAACCACTGCCGGATAGCCCACAGGCGCGATTTCAAGAGCCACGAAGAGGCCGCAGTGCAGAGCGGACATGCCATTGACGTCGCCGACGCTGGCCCTGCCGTCGCAGATGAGAAACCGCCGGCTCACTCGGCTAGCTCGGCCAGCTCTGCCCTGGTCCACCCGCTTGCCCGCCACGACATGACGGAACAGCAAGCATACGCTGCTCTTAGCTCTCGAATCAGCGCGTCTCTAAAGCTATATCACGCGGGTAAGCTGCCTGGCGTCGATCGCATACCTTCAGCTCGTGATGCCCAGGGACCCTTGGGCACAGGTCGCTTGTCGGCCGGTGGGATCGATGACGCACCAGAGACTCCCCATTTGTCTCGCTTGATGCAAGCTCGAAACTTCACCGGCAGTCTCCGCGAATTGGTTGTCGATGCCAAGACGAAGGTGTCGCTGGAAGCAATGACGCCAGACGACGAGTCGGACGACGCCGAGTCTCCCACGTGCGCCCTGGGCGTTGCCAGAGGAGCCCCCCAGGCTCGAATGCCTGTTGTCATGCGCGTACCGGCAAGGAGCGGCAAGTCTCCGGCGCCGACGGTCATACCCGGCGGCCGTCCAGCGAGCAGCAAAGGACGTCTTCGAGATATGCCCCTGGTTTCTCCAGCTGGTGGCGTCGTGATGTCCAAGCATGCGCCCAACGCTGTGTCGTCTGATGAGGAAATGGACATGGACGAGGCCAACCTCAGCCCAAACACCTTGATCAGCAACAACGCGCCTTCCCTTGTTAGTGACGACGGAGAGTATGACGACTCGGACGAAGGCTCGTCCGTCTCTGGCGCGAGCGACCACTTAGACGGCACGCCCATGTCCGACGTGGCCGAAATCACCCTAGACGATGACCATGAGCCACGAGCGCTGCGCCGTGGATCCAGCGGTGTTCCCGGCCCCGTGAAACTGCGAAGAGATGACGCCAAGCATGTCACCCTTGTGAGCCCCGTGAAGAACAATACCAAGCAAAGAAGACCTCGTCGGGTCTAAAAGTGCCGCGAGAAAGCTTGTTTTTTGGTGGTTTCTACTTCTCTGCACATATTCGCCTCAGCGACCACTGTCGCAGTCGATAGAATGGCGGGCTGGTTGGATTCACTGTTACTACTTGTTTGAGCACATGATGTGGAGCATTCCATACTCGAGTCCAGTCCTCGCGCTTAACCCCATTTTGTTTCTCCAAGAAAGCGAAGAAGAAGAAAGACTGGGCGCAGCAATGGCGCTGCGTGACAGACGGGTCGACCGGAGTTTTATGTCAGGAAATGGCAGAGACGATAGGCATCCAGGACTCTGGGAGGACTCTGGGAGGCGGGGCTTGCAAGATCTTGTCCCATTGGCGGGGAGGAGTAGAGACGACGCTGGGCTCGGAGGCTGCAATGGGTGGCAGTTCCCGGCCTGGTGGTGCGTCGGTTTTGGGACCATGCTGAGCAATTCAGAAAGGCTAGGTGGTGTACTTGGTACATAGAAAAAGAGATATAAAATGTCGACCTAAATACAAGCGCTTGACCCGTTTACCGTTGCAAGACGAGCCCGTCTCTGAAGAAAATGTTCCGGACTGTGAAGGAGTACCTACACAGCACCCAGCATCCAGGGATTGACGGCACATGCTAGGCCTTGCAGCATTTGACATGAAGTGATTAAATATTAAGTAGCTACCCATGCAAAGACTCCCAAACACGCCGTCCATGTCCGAGTCTGTTGAAATTACAGGAGGGCAGCAACAAGGCCGGCAGCGGCCATGAGCAGACCACCGGCGTTGGCGGACCGGGCCTCGGCGGCGCCGGTGCTAGCGGACCGGGAGGCCGAGGTGGCGGAGGCCGAGGCGGCCTCGGTCAGGGTGGCCGAGTCGGTGGTGGTGACAGCACTGCTGGTGGACCGGGAGGCGCGCGAGGCCGCCGTCTTTGAGGCGAGGGCCCTACTGCCATAGATGGAGGCGTTTTGGCAGAAATTTGTGACTTGGCTATGGGCGTCGGGGGCACGGATGTCGTCGGGGCAATTGTTGTAGCAGCTGGTAATGCCTTGTTAGTCTTTGCTTCTGTCTTTATGCGATGGATATTGAGGCTTGAGTAGATATGGAGGGGAGAAACCCACGTGGCCACAGCTTCATAGGCAGCGCATAAACAATCGTAGTCGGTAGTTTTACATTCTTGGACCTGCCGGAGAAGGGAACATCATGTTAGCCAAGAAACCGGTGGGGGAGAGTGAACAGGAGTTGATGCCTTTGCCGTCTCGCTCCTCAGGCAGCTGGTGACGATATAGTCGGCCTTGCACGCTTGGTCCTTGGCCGAGACGCCGGCAGCAACGAGGAGGGTTAAGGGGACGAGGAATTTCATCGTTCCTTTCTTTCTGGCTCGGACCGGGGGAGGATGATGTGGATATGGATATTTCCTGAGAGAGAGAGAGAGTGTGTGTGTGTGTGAGGGAGGGACAGAGGGAGAGAGATGGATGAATGAGGACGGTAGTCGGAGACGGGGAGAGGAAGGGGGGAAGGCAGCGGTTATATTACACGGCGGGTGTCCATTGACCGGGGCAACGGGGAGGAAGAAGCAAAGATTGGGAGCAGAGGACATGGACATGGCCCAGGCCTGAGGAGTGCACGGCTGGGGGGTGGGGGAACTACAGTAGCAATAGACGGAGAGAGATACGGGTACTCCGTACAGGGGCTCGTATCCTGCACGAAAAGCATGTACTGTAAATACAGTATGTCCTACACGAGGCGGTACATGCAATGCCAAGTCTGAGTGAAAAACGTGACACCTGCTTGCTTCTTCTTTGGGCTGCGGAGAGGTGTCTCGACCATGCCTCTCTTCCTCGCCTCCAGCCCCTGCTTGCACAAGGCTGGTGTCGTGTAACGGGGCAACGGCGACGTCGACTCGGGGCGGCCGGTTTGTTTTCGAGGGCGAGCCCGTGCTGGAAGGCTCGGCACAAGCCTGCATATGCATGTGTCCCGTACAAGTTTTGTAAATTCGTAGACACACAAACACAGTACTCGGTAATGTGCCGCGCAAAGCAGGGGTCCATGGAACCGACGTTGCTACGGCGGCATGCAATGCAGCAACACTACTGTAATAAACAAGAAGCTGGACCGGCATGTTTCGATTGTCTTGTTTTTTCCATGTGCCTAATACTCGGGGAGATTGGCGCCGCCTTGCCAGGGCGAGACAGCGGGAAATGGCCATGTCTTGGAGGGTGCCGTGTGAGTGGTGCCAGCGCAGGGTCGTGGTTTTTTATTATTATTTCGCCTACCCTTGCGAGGCTACCCCGTACTTTTCTTCTCCTTGCTCACGTTGACCGGAGCTTTTTTTCATTTCTTTTCTGGGGGTGGAGTGGAGCGTTGGTTCATCAACTCCAGACAATGATTGATGGCGGACGTCCACGCAAGGATCACGACGTAGATGTGGCTACATGCCCCATTCTGACATCAAAGAGGTGGGTACTTTACTTCTCACCAAGTTTATCGGCAAGAATAAGTAGATCTACTCATTCTCTACTTGGCAGACACATGGCCCTAAGTATCTGCTCTTCCTCTTCAGCATAAGCAGCTCGAAGGCCAATTATTAGCACGACGACCGAGCTGAGTAGGCACAGAACATGTTCTGAACAGAAGTTAGTATATCTACTACGGCTGGTTAATGCGTAGGAGTACCCCTTTTTTCAGATATAGACAATCACTACATATTTACAGCCACCAGGATCACAAAGCGGATGCACTCCCGGATGCTTTACTGTTATTACACAGTCTTCACAGATGTGCATATATATATGGCCAGGCAGTCATATAAGGCCGGGTGCCGTCTCGGGTAAGGCTGTTTCGTCGTGCATATTGCGCGTTCCGCCAGGCAGAAGCAGATGGGCGAGCGTTGGCTTGGACAATTTGAGGGCACGTATGTATAACATGACGAGTAATACTAGGATACTAGGTAGGTACTTGATAACTCATGCGTGAAGCCGGTCCATGTCTTCAAAATAACAGCGCGAAGAATGGCGGCTGCAGCGACGTCACTCTAACCCGCTCCGCCCCGCCCCGCCGCTGCCCCTCCTCGTCGGCCACTCTCCCCTCGCCCTCCAACGTCGTCGTCGGTCCGTCTCAAACAGACAATCCGCAAACGCACCGCCATGGCCACGCCGTCGATCCAAAACTGCCGCATCCTCGCCGCAGCGCCCACCACCGCACGCGGCCAGCCCACCCAGCTCTCGGCTGACTCCAAGGGCCAGCGGATAGCCTACGCGGTGAGCCTGTTGGTTGCGCCCTGCGTCTCTCGGGGCAATTGTTTGCTGACCGGCGCTCCCTCTCTTCCTCCAGTCTGGCAAGTCCATCTTTGTCCGCTCAATCGACAACCCGGCCGACTGCAAAGAGTACACAGGCCACAACGCTCCCACGACCGTCGCCCGATTTGCCCCCAATGGCCTCAAGGTAGCAAGCGGTGATGCCAGCGGCGTCCTCCGCGTCTGGGAGCCCGAGAGCATCGAAAGCACCAGAGGCGAATACGCCATCATCTCGGGGCGCCTCAACGACATTGCCTGGGACGGAGAGTCGCAGCGTGTCATCGCTGTCGGCGACGGCAAGGAGCACTTTGGCCGCTGCATCACCGCCGACAGCGGCAACTCGGTGGGCGAAATCATCGGGCACTCAAAGGCTGTCAATGCCGTGGCCATGAAAGCCCAGCGCCCCTTTCGCGCCGCCACTGTCGGCGACGATGGAAACATGGTCTTTTACCACGGCGCCCCCTACAAATTCAACGACAAGAGCACCCTCCACAGAGGCTTCGTCCTCGGAGCCGCCTACTCGCCCGACGGCAACACCCTCGTCACCGTCGGCGCCGATAAGCGGATAGAGCTTTACGATGGCAAGACGGGCCAGCCGACGGCCCAAGTCGGCGAGGGCGAGCACACGGGCAGCATCTTTTCCGTCTCGTGGTCGCACGACGGTAGGAGCTTCGCCACGGCCAGCGCCGACCAGACTGTCAAGCTGTGGGACGCCGAGGCGCGCACCCTCATCCAGACCTGGAAGTTTGGCGACGGCGTCAGCGTCCGTGACCAGCAGGTCGGCGTCGTCGTCCCTCACGGTCGGAGTGACGGCCTGATCATCAGCGTGAACCTCGACGGCGAGCTTACATATCTGACCCAAGGAAAGCCCGAACCCGTCAGGATCGTCAAAGGACATGATAAAGGCATTACGGCCATGACCGCGTCCTCTGATGGCCAAGGCCGCGTCGTGTGGACCGGAAGCTTCGATGGTCGGGTTTGCTGCTGGGATGTCGACTCTGGACTCGCCACCGTCGTTGACGGCGAGCCCCACAAGAACCAGGTCGCGCAGCTCACGGCGCAATCGGGCAAGGTCTACAGTGCTAGCTGGGACGATACGGTCAAGGTTGCCGACGAGTCCGCCAAGACGTTTCTGGGCCAGGCCGTTAAGCTGTCCTCGCAGCCAAAGGGCGCAAGCGCGTTAGACGGCATCCTCTACGTCACCACCGTCTCCGGCGTCGCAGCCTATGCCGACGGCAAGCTGCTGAAAGAGACCGCCTTTGGCAGCGCCCCGGAAGCCATTGCGACCTCTGGCTCCTTTGTGGCTGTCGGAGCAGACCAGAACTCGGTGCGTATTTACAGGGCTGATTCCAGCGGGAACCTGGACCAAGTCAAGTCCATACCGAACCCCACCGGGGCCATCTCCGCCCTTGCCTTCTCCAAGGATGGCTCGCACCTTGCTGCGGGCAACGGCGCCGGCAAGATTTATGTGTACAATACGGGCACATGGGACCTCGTTGCGGACCGCTGGTCGGCACACACGGCTCGCGTCACCTGCATATCCTGGGACGACAGCGGCGCCTACGCAGCCAGCGGGAGCCTCGACACCAACGTCTTTGTCTGGTGCCTGGAAAAGAAGAACCAAGGAAAGCGGATCAAGGCTGCCAACGCGCACAAGGACGGCGTCAGCGGCATCTGCTGGGTCCAGGGAGGCAGGCTCGCTAGTGCCGGAGTGGACGCGACAGTCAAGATCTGGGAGGCGCGAAACTTGCCGTGAGACTTTCGTTGACTTGGCATCGAGCTTGAACGTCAGTCTGCTCACATTCGGAGGCCTTGGGGAACCTCGAGTTTTGCAATGGCAACGAAGAACGCGCGAAACGACACGTCGAAATCTGCTGGTCGGTATCACGATAGTCTAAAGCACGTCCGTAGATCCTGGTCGAAACAAGTCCTCCGCCTCTCCCAGCAGTCCCAAACCCGAAGTTTGATGGTACAAATTGTGTTCCATTGGAAAGGTGACAAACTGTGTTCCATTGGAAAGGTGACCCAGGGCCAAAGCCTCAGTCGTGTGACATCTGCGCCTTCTGCTCTCTCGTGACTTCGTCTGGCCGTATGTCCCATAGGCGCAGAGCTTCTCCCTGCCGAGGGTCGGTTGCGTTTGCCCGCCAGCTGGCCTCTTTGTTTTCAGCGAGGAGCTCGGCCTTGAGCACTGCTTCCTGAAGACTCTCACGGCTGCGCGGCGCCAGGATTCAGCCGCGCACTTGCTGGGGTTAAATACGGCGACAGGGTGGAGAGACATACCTAGCTTCGGCCATTGTCGCATAGCCCTCGGTGGCCAGAAGGCGGGCCATCTGTGTCTGGTGGTCGTCGAGCAGCTCCGTGTTGGGCACAACGACGAGGGGGACACCGAGCTTCCACGCGTCCAGGATGGTTCCGGTACCTGCAGCAGCGGTGGCACGGGGCTTGGTCAATACCACTACTACTTTTTCTCTGTTCAGGACGACGAGGACAAAGCGGCATGCTTCACGCCAACCCGTCGAGGCCAGACATGCCTGCGTGAGAGATGACGAGTCCCTGGATGCGGAACCGGTCCTGGCCCTTGCAGCGCATCATCTCATCGCTCATCAAATTGGCCTTGACGTCAAAGACATCGACGGAGAAGTCATCCCGGCCCTCATCCTCCCGCAGCAGCTCCGAGAGCCTGGCGCTGGCCCAAGAGACGTCGGGCCCGCACTGGACGTGCAGCGTGGTGAAGGCGCGGGATCGGAGAAAGGCCCAGAAGGCCGGGTCGAGGACTTGCTGGGTGAGGGCGCGGAATCCGACGGTGGCGCCGACGGTTACGAGGCAGTGCCGCTCGGGAGGGTCCGAGGGAGGTGTCATGGTTGGAGGAGGCCTCGAGGTGTATTGATGGAGCTCATTGAGAGTGGGCGATGAAGGTGAGCAGAGGTTCCGATACGTACCTTTTTGCGGAGAGTGGGGAAACTTCGGCAGCGTTTGGAAATTTGCCATTAGCTCGCGACAGCGACGACTTGAATTTTGAACTCCATACCCCTCGCCCGCCCTTCCAGCTCTTCGCGGCCGCTGCCACTCCGATCGACCGGCATGGCCTCGGCAACCAACGCCGCGAGACTATGCCTTTCGGCTTGTCGACGGGCGCCCCAACTACAATCACTGCGCCGGCGCCCTGGACCTCAGGCCGTCGCGGCCAGACAGTTGTCTACGTCTTGGGCACGATGGGCCGACGACGAAAAGCCCAAGAGGAACAAGGATGAAGCCGAAGACGAGACGCACCAGACGCTTGAACTCAAAATGATGAACAAGTCGTTTGCCGAGAGCGTCAGCACCGAAGGTCTTCAGCAGCTCGACGAGCTGGCCAAGAGCAACGGCCACAGCTCGATTGACCAATATTTGGAGTCGTTCTTCCGGGACAACTACCAATTGGCGTCGGAGGACAGGACACTGCTCGAGGATCTGAACAAGGTTGACGCCGGAGAAAGACCCAACCCGTCGTCTTTTTGGTTCGACGACGAGGACCCGGAGACCAACACGAATGAGCACGACGAGTTCAACGAAGACGACATTACCTCCATGGCGCACGGAAAGCTGGACGAGGTGCGGGAGATGAGGCACTACGCAAGGCTGGCCGTCTGGGAGATGCCACTTCTTTCCAGTCAGTTGCTCCACGCCTGGCCTGTCACGCACAGGAAGAGCTAACCAGAGCACGTCACTCTAGAACTCGCCAAGCCCTTTGTACCGCCTACCGACAGCCAGGTTCTGCGATGGCGATACACGACGTACATGGGCGAAGCCCACCCGGCGGAGAAGAAGGTTGTGGTGCAGTTTGCGCCCGACGACCTCAAGCTCACGCCGGTGCAGACGGACAAGCTCAAGAAGCTGGCGGGTCCGCGGTACAACCCCGAGACGGAGTTTGTCAAGATGAGCTGCGAGAGCTTCGAGCACCAGGCACAGAACAAGCGGTACCTGTCCAAGCTGGTCGACGACCTGATTGCGGCGGCCAAGGACCCGGCCGACACGTTCGAGGACGTGCCCCTGGACCTGCGGCACCACCCGATCAAGAAGCAGCCCAAGTTCCCCAAGGAGTGGCGGCTCACGGAGGAGAGACGACTGCAGCTCGAAGAGCACCGGCGCGGGATTGCCGGCGCCGAGTCGGCGAGGGCTGAGCAGGGGCTGCTGGTTAGTGGCCAGCAGGTCATCAACGAGTACTTGGTGCAGAAGATGGTCGAGGAGCAGGAGGAGCGGACAAAGCTACAAGCGGCCGAGATGGCCACTGTACCCAGGTTCCCGAGGTCGTCGGGGCCGGCGAGCAGGGCGCGGAGATGAGACGGGCTGGATGCCTGCCGGCGGCGAGTCTATGTATGATTGTTGTGTGGCGCAAACCGAGTGGAAAGGGTGACTGGGGCTTCTCCTGCATGGCGATGAGCAAGATGGCCCGGTTTGTGTGTACGATTCAGAGCCGGGAGCGCAACTATGAATACTCGCCGATGGTAGTGAGCATTGGGGGGCAACCCATGCGATATCGTGACCGTCACAGCAGCATCTGAGGTGAACTGGAGAGATTATGTTATGGCCTGGGGAGCCTGTGACGGGTCCGACGAGGGTGGAGTGGACGGATTCCGTACATACATGTTACAAGTTGTAGGTGTACCGGTGCAAAGATATCTCCCAACAGTTCCAGTTGCAGGAACCCGCCGTGTGTACCACCACTTGGTATAGGAAAACACGATTAATAAATAGTGTGGCAACTCCGTCGCAGCCGTGAATTTGTCAGTTTTTTTTTCAAGCTAGCTTTTGTGCAATAAAGGGTTAATAATTTTTTTTTATAACCGCTACGAAGCGCGAAGCTTCGCACTTCTGAATTTTTTTTTCTACATATACCGTAAAGATTTTTTTTTACAGTCGTATAAAAGCTGAAAGTAATCTTAATTTGTGAGAAGCTTCTACACGACCTGCCTGCCTGACCAGGCATGGGAAGGACGGCTTTGCGGCGACTGATGCATAGACTTCTCGCCCTTGTTTGGTAAAAAGGGTACAAGCAACCCCCGCAGCACAGGCCAGTAGTCCTCCAGAGCCCATTTCCTCAGACGCTGGAGTGCGTGAATCAACTGGTAAATGCCTTGCACACTCCCCGTCGACCCCAGATTCAGCTCTGTCCAAATCACGGTTTGAGAATTCTCTCGTGTCGTAATCACTAGCTCCCAACTATGTCCTTGAACGAGGATGCAAGGCAGAAATTCAGGCGTCGTCTTCTCGGGTTGTTCTAATCGAGCCGGGGCCAGCCCGCTCAACTCGTCGAGAAAGTTCCAATGGGCTGCCTGCCAGACGCCAAGCTGTAGCGCTGCGCTATCCCAGCCCTGACCGGTCATTTTAGTCTCGATGCTAAGGGCAATGGGACGTTCGCGTAGTGGGTAGTAGCCTGTGTGGTTGATCGAGTCCTCTTGGAGACTTCCTCGTGCAAACTCGACGGCAGGACGTATGTCGGAACATGCGTCGTGAGAAAGGTTGAAGTAGATGCAAAATTCGACTTTTTTAGATGGGGATAATGGCGGTAGATATCTGTGTATAATGGATGCAGATGGACTGGAGCGCAAGTTAACCATGACACATCTGCAAGAGAAGACGGTACGCAGTAACTTGCCATGGGAGACAGTCGACGAACTCGGAGAATGGCTCAGAGGCTGGCGGATGGAGGGCCAAGTACAGTAATCGAGAGTGCACCAATATGTTCCATGATGATTCGGCATGGAGATTCTCGTGACACTCCCTCGCGATCCTCATAAGCTCAAGGACTGACTTTGGGTCAGGCACATGGCCGAGTGCGCGGCGCCTTGGACAAAACATGGCATCGTCCTCGCCCAGTTCCGTCAATCGCGGGTCCTGGCTATCCTCAAAGACGGATTGTAGACTTGGCGGGAGTATGCCTCTACTTCGCGCAACGCTGCGCATATCCTTGAGGAAAGAAGCCAGTCTCGGGGACGGATCCGTCAATCCCCCAAGATCTCGCACTTGAATGCCCCGACCAGTGCGCTCAAGAGCTTTGAGATGTTTCTGTGGCGATATCTGCCCCGACCTTGCCGAGCTCTCGGTGGTTTGGGATTGCGACTGCGAGTGGCTGGAAGCACGTCTGCCAGTCTGCATGCGTTTTCGATTCGGTCTTGGTGTCAAATCTTGCACATTCGGTCGTTTGCATGGGCTTGGCTCGCGACTTGACGACATTGAATTCGATCGGGGAGTCGGCGGTAAGTCCGTGTCGCAATAGCGTCGTTTCCGAGGCGGTGATTGTGATGATGAGTCGACGGGCAGCACATGCGAGACTTCGGATAGCCAGTCTAGAACGAGTTGATCGGACATGGTGCTGGCCAAGCGCGCTGTTGAAAGGACTGGTCATGACAACAAGCATGTCGCAAGGGGTGTGAACTGGAAGACTGTTGGTGGGGTGACGCTTGAGCACGTGACTCCACGTCAGTGGCCGCATGGGACGGCCTTGCAATTCATTTGGAGTAATATCTAAGTTAGGTACTATACAGAAATGACACTTACGCTTTCACAGTTGCAAAGACACTGGGTATTAATTACCTCAGACCCAAGAGATGATGATTGTTCTAGGTTTCTTTTCTGACGAACCTCGCCCACAAAGCCTACTTCCTCCGTCCGAGCCGAACCCTCCCCAAATAGCCTAACCTTTCCTCCCCTTTACAGTAAGAGTATTGCTATTTACACACTAGCATATTGCTGTTTGCACACCTGTCCCATTTTTGGCGCGGGCGCGGGCATTTGGGCGGTACGGGTACTTGCCAGGCGCGCGCGGTATAAATAGGCGGGACGGGCTGGCGCTAGTACATATCCTAAAAATAGGGTAAGTGTGCAAACAGCAATATGCTAGTGTGTAAATAGCAGTACTCATTTATTATACTAAAGTATTATTATAGGTATATACTTAGTTAAAAAATTTATTCTTACTTTAGATATCTTTTTTTCTTTTATTATTATAAGAAAATACTATATAGAGCGCATTATTATATTATCGCGCTTTTAGCCTATTAATTTTATAATTAAAGTACCTATGAGTGTATTTAATACTATTTTAGCTATAAAGGTACTTAATTAGATATAAAGCTTCTCCCGCTATTACGATAGAGATGCAAAAAGATGTCGTTATAGCCCAGGTTGACTGTACCAAGCACACGTCGGAAATTTGTCTCCACTTAGCCCATCGCGCACGCAAGCTCCCTCCCCAATCCGAACCTTTCCTTTTCATTTCCGCCTCCAAACGTGTTGAGACGACAGTCAGCATGGAGGAGATTGAAGTCCTGCGACGTCAGCTTCGAGAGGAACAAAGCCGACGCGAAGAGGCCGAAGAACTCGCCGCCTCGTCGCGGCCCCAAAACCTCTCTCAATATCTCGGTGCCTGCCATTCCCTCCAGCTCGCCATTGACGTTGTCACCAAAAAGTCCCTGACGACCCAAGGCGACACGACCAACCCAGTGGGCCGCATCTATCCCAAGCGCATCACTCCGTGGGACGACTTTGCCGCGCGGCAGCAAGAAATCTGGACCCTGCTCCACGCCAGCGACTCCTTTGTCGACAAGCTCACCCTCCCGTCGCTGCATCAGCTGCAGTACGTCAGATCGTTGCTCAAGCCCATTCGCAGTGAGCTTGGCCTGCGCGACTTTGAACGTGACGTGGTGGAAAACGCCGTCCAGAAGCTCGTCGAAGGAGCGCACAAAGATCCGCTACTTCGGCAGAGTCTTGGGCTAGCGGGCACTATCACGTTTGAAAGCCACACCAACCTCGCCTCCGTGGAGGACGGTCTGTCCGAGCCTCTGCAGGACTTGCCCCCGGGCAGTGCTCTCGTCACGCCAAGGCCATCGCGCGGGCCTCGTCGCTTGGCGAGGGGCAAGGGGGGCCAGGCGGATCAGTTCTGCATATACAGGACCGGTGACGGCGTCGAGGTTCCGGCGCTCGCAATCGAGTATAAGGCGCCGCACAAGCTGACCGTCGACGAGCTCATCACGGGCCTCGAGTTGGAGATTCAGCTCGACCGCGACGTCATCAACCAGGACGACCAGGAGGGCTTTGACCTTTCGGCCAGACGACTTGCCGCCGCCGTCGTCACCCAGCTCTTTTCCTACATGATTGGCAAGGGCATCCAGTACGGCTACGTGTGCACGGGAGAGGCCTTTGTGTTTTTGCACATTGCCGACGACCCCTCGACCGTCTACTGCTCTGTCTGCGTTCCGAATCAAGACGTGGCCGACGACTACGACGACGATGGCACGAGACTCCAGAGCACGGCCGTGGCCCAGGTCCTGGCCTTTGTCCTCCAGGCCCTCCGCACCCAGCAGCCACCCGAGACGTGGCATGACGAGGCTGAGATGCTGGGCACGTGGGCCATTAAGTTTGACGACGTGCTGAGCAAGATACCCCCCTCGGACCGCAAGTGCAAGACGCCCCGGGCCTCGCCCTTCAAGGCCCAACTCTGGAGGGGCTTTGACAGGTCGCCGGTTCACACTCGCTCCCGGACTCGCGCCCGGTGTAAACAACAGGACTCCGACGGCGTCGGACAGCCCAAGGACAAGGATGAGCATTCGCCGTCGTCGTCGACTCTCAAGCCGTCTTCTGGCCATAGGACGGCGGGAGGAGGTGGCTCGGCGAGTGGCCGGAAACAAGGAGGACAGCGAGGCAAGCAGCAGCAGAAACAGCAGCAAGTTCAACAGCAACACCGACAGCTACAAGGTCAGAAACAGCACCAACCGTCGCCCCCAGCGCTTAAGCCCAGCATCAACACCCGCCCATTCTGCACCTCGGCCTGTCTCCTCGGCCTGGCGCACGGCCGGCCCACCGACAGCAAGTGCCCCAACGCCCAAGACCACGGCCCGGCCCACATCAGCCCGCCCGAGTTCCTCCAGCTAGTCCGGCACCAGCTCGCCACGGATCGCGGCCGCGACTCCGACTGTACGCCGCTCCACCTCTCCGGGTCGCGCGGGTCCCTCTTCAAGGTCCGCCTGTCGTCCCACGGCTACACGCTCGTCGCCAAGGGGGTCGAGGGTCTTGACTTCGCCTGTCTGCAGCGCGAGCAGGATATATACGACCGCCTACGGCCCATCCAGGGCAAGCACATACCTGTGTGTCTCGGCACGATAGACTTGGTGTTGCCGTACTACTACAACTGCGGCGTCTACGTGCATTTTATGTTCCTCAGCTGGGCTGGACAGCCGCTACATCGCTCCCCCGAGCAGCTCGCCAAGATGGACGTGGACACAGCCGTCGGCACCATCTTCAAGGCGCTGCACCGGCTTCATGTCCTTCACCGCGACGCCGAGCCGCGAAACATGGTGTATAACGCCGAGACGGGCAGGCTTATGGTCATTGACTTTGAGCGCTCCGAGTACCTTGGGCGCCAGCCTTTGGGGTCTGTCGTAGCCAACGCGCAGGGCTGCAAGAGGACTTGTGCGGGGCTGGAGAAACCGAAGCAGCAGAGGGACGACTTTGCGAGGGAGCTGGCCTCTGTCGTGAGAAGCACCGCGCGCTACGTCGCCGACTTGGCTCGCGAGCAGCAGCGGGCGTTGCTACGACGTTGAGGGATGGAGTTCGACAACCCGGATCCGAGTGACGAGTGACGAGAGAAACCAGCCTGAACTTAGTACACCTAGGACCCAGCAGAGCATCTCTACTAAGATCGTTGGCCAACTACGTTAAAGTATAAGGCGTCGCACAAGTTGGCCGTCGACGAGCTCATCACGGGCCTCGAGTTGGAGATTCGGCCCGACCGCGACGTCATCAACCAGGAGGATGTGGGCCGCCCCCGCTGGGGTGATCGCGCAGCAAGGGTGGCGCGGCTACGGCATCGTCAAATTCGTCAGGCGTTGGAGGACCCGGGTCGTTGAGTGGGAGGCAATTGAGTGGTCACGCCCACGCAGCTGTAGGAGCCAGAGAGCCCGGATCGATTGACGGGCCGGCCGCGCTGTGCGCACATCCCGCGAGAGCTTTGATGATGATTTATAGTCAGCTTGACTACTACGAAAAGTGGGGCGCCGGTCGGGCTACTTGGAGGGGGGGATGGTCGGCTTTTGGTGTCACAGGTCCCGGGGCCGGCCGACCGGTCATCCGGTAATCGGATTACCGCCCCGCCCCATGCAAAACCATGTCGTTTTCGAAGGTTCGTCCCTGCGGGGCTGGCGTTTTCTTAGTCGGATTACCGCCATCGGACGGCAAAAGCGAAGGTCCACGCCCGCGGGGCCCTGCGCGAGACCTTCGATTTCGGTCTCGCTCACGCGCGTTGCGCTCCACCTCCCTCCTCCCACCTCCCTCCTCCACCTCCTCCATTGCCACCGTCGCGACGGCGACCGCCTGCACCATGTCAAACGCGATAGAGGATCCCCGGGTCAGGGCGGCCATTGAGCACTACCTGTTAGATCTGGAGAACACCCAGCCGAAGAATACGAAGCGAAATTATCGTCCCAAGCAGGAAGAATGGAAGGCAAGCCCGCATGCGCGCCCTGCAATCTTCATGTAGATCCATGCATTGACCGCCTCACAGGAGTGGTGTCAAGCCAACTGGCCTGCGATCCCGGACGTTTGGCCGGCCTCGGTACCACAGGGCCAACAGCTACCGGGAGACCTGGTCGATGAAGGAAAGCTCTTGCTCTTCATGAAGGAGGTAGTGGCATCACGTCCTCCAAAGAAAGGAAAGAGGGTCGCCGATGAAAGAAAACGACACCTCGAGGCTCAGGAAGCCAAGAGGGCCGTGAAAAGACGCAGAGCACCATCAGGTAACAGATGTTGATCACGGGATGTGGTCGTCGGACTGAGCCAGCCCATCATACTAACACCCAGCTTCCCCCAGCAGATACCATCGTTGTAGGCGGCGGAGGTAGCGAATACGAGTCAGACTCCGACTTGGAGTTGTATGAGTCCACGCTCAAACTACAGTATAATACTGTACGGGGCTACGTCTCGGCCATACAGAAGCTTTACGACGAGCAGAAGAGCCGGGAGTCAATCCTGCGGCCCGGCCACAGGGAGTGGCACTGAAGGCACTCAAACGCAGCATTCTTGCAACGACTTGGAGCCGGAAGAGGAAGGAATACATGGACAGGGGAGTTGGAACTCTGAGAGATGTGTATGCGCCGGCGCAGATACCCGACCACACCAACGTGGCATGGTCCGAGAGGAGAGAGATCGCCTGCGCCCTGAGGACGCAGGTGGACTTTCTGCTCGGGAACCACATGCTGCTGCGGTCCGGCAACCGCCTGCCGATGGAGTTGGCAGACTGCTTTCCCCTGGACTTACCCAACGAGGGCTGCAAGGCCCAGGGTATACCACGAAGGCGCTGGTTGTCGTGATGAACTGTGGGAAGACCAACCAGCACGGCCGCATGGAGTATGGATCTGCTTTGCGGCATCGAGATCCGCGGTCTTGTCTCATCGGCGCCCTCGCGTTCTGGCTTTTCTGGCGCTGGCAGGTAGAAAAGGCGGAAAGGTTTCCGTCTTCCAAAGAAGCGAAGACTGGTATGAAACGAAGGTGCTCCGCCGATCGGCGAAGGAGCCTCAAGGTAAGCGTGATGGCATTCACCGGAATCCCATAACTCAGAGGGTGCATCGACCCTTTCACTCACCGAATATACAGCTCCGTTGTCGGGCCAGACTGCCCGAGAATGGACGTCCAGGTTCTACAAGAAGGCCGGGATCAAGGTCTCCAAGGTCAGCCATGCGCCTAGAGTGGCCGCGACGCAAAACGCCGACATGGCCGGAGTGGATGAAGGCCAGGCATGTCATCTGCCCTAGGCAAGCCGCCAAACCCCTGGCCTGGGCTGACCTGAACTATACAGATCCGCCGAGCCGGTCGTTGGAATAACGGAGACCAAATGACCGGCTGCTATCTGACTTCCTGCCTTTCGAATTCATGAGGGCCGTGGCCGACTTTGACCCTGAATGGTCGGGGTCTTATTTCGTGCCCTGGCCACCGTAAGGCCGCCTGTGGTGCTACTCGTGCAGGTCTGGCCTCAACTCGACAAATGGAAAGAGGCCCACAGTAGCCCTTTCTCAGATCTCGGGTGGAGCAGAACATGGCCGCCGGCGCCTTCTTGGAACTCCTGGAGTGGCTTCGAGAGGTGCTCCTGCAGGACGCTGTCTTCCTTCGCGAGTCCTACCCCGACCATCCTATCTTCCAGGATCCGGTCTTCTCTTGCCCCGAGTTTGAAGCGTTCGCCAGCAAAGTTCAAGACACATGCACACGGGACCACGAAGACAGCCATACCACGGTCATTCAAAAGCGATGCCGGTGGTTGCGGAGAAGCTGCGCACAGTACTGACTCAACAGGTCGCAGCCGAGCAGTTAGCTGAGCGAAGACATCTAGACCTTTGGGGCTTCTTACGAACTATGCACAAAGTTGGACGAGTTTGCGCAGGCGACCTACACCGTCACCTTCAGCCCCGGCCAAGGTGCTGCAGGTCAACATGCGGAGATCGCGGGAGCTCATCAACAGAGGCGCCGCGCTCCACGAGAGACGGTCCTCAGGTCCGAGATAGGCCCTTCGCAAGCGGGCGGTCCGACATACGCTCCGCTCTCTCTAGAGCAGCAGCAGGGAATGGTGCAAGCGGGCCAGGGACAGGCCCAGGGAAGAGCGCATGGCGAGCCGCCTGGGCCGCGCGAACCTCCGAGCTTCAAGCTCCCCCGTTCTGTCAAATCTGTACAGGAGCTGCTGCGTCTCTGGCGGCAGGGCTGGGGCGAAATACCTTCTGTGGATTCTCTTGAGCGAGACTGGGGTGCTCGATGGCGGCCATCTGCAGAGAAGAATTACTTTTCCACGCGCAAGATCATCATCGATGAGGTTCGGAGGCGGGCCCAGTCGGACGGCTTAACTGAAGATATCGTGGCGAGGCAAATGGACGAAGAACGTGGTGGACCCAGCTCTTTGGATAAGTTGTTCAAGGCCATCCGAAAGGACAGGCAAGGCGAAAAAGGGACACAAACGTGCGTCGGGGCAATTCAACGTCGGTGGTAGCGAAAAGTCGATGGCGCAGTGATTTTGAACACCCGTCTGATAGAATGACCGAGGACCTTGGCGGCGAAAGTGCCCCCAGGCCGTCAGGGGGCCTGTAGACAGGGTATGCATCCGCTAAGCGTCGCTGTAGCTCCAGTGCGTCAAGGCTAGAAAATGCTTCAAATCACCGCAACCTCGCAACCGACAGGATGTAGGACCTTAGACAGGGTGCATTCTGATCGCACAAACGCAGGCTATCCAGTCGAACTGGTTTTCTCGTCGTCGGTCCCGGCTTTCGCGCTTTATGGCGCTCCGAAGATGACATCAACCCGGCAGAGGTGATGTCAAGGGCAAGCGGGTAATCGGCGGTAATCTGCGGGGTAATCCGCTGACCGCCCACCAAAGCCGGACCTGTGACATCCACTTGATGTCACGGACCAGCGCGCGTCACAAGACTAATGTGTAGGAATTATTAATGGGCTCAACACCTCGTCTGGCAGTGTCCCACTCAATGTTCTCTTAGGCACTTTCGTTGTATACCAATTATTATTCATTGTTTTTCTCTTGAACGTTAAGACTATTCCTAGAAAGGATCCCGCTCCAATGGAGGAGGGGTGCAGTACAGTAGGTTACTTGCTCTATGTACATACGCATAGATAGATGCGAGCGGGCCGGCCATATTAACCCGCAACTCCGTCCGTCCGTTCGCCGCTCATCTACGCACAAATACGTAGAGCGGCGCGCGCTAGCAAGTAGCAACAGGGCGGGTGGTGGAATAAGAGGAGAGCCGCGGAGGTTCTGTTGCTCCTCCAGGCACACGGACGGGGTTCGGGGTATCTTGCATGGCATCGACATCGGCCGGAGCAACATGTCTCCCGTTCCTAGTCTCTCTCCACCCCGACAAAAGACTGGAAGGAACCCCATCGTTTCGCACTTTGTCTCTCTCCAGAGCAGCCTCTCGCCTCACCCCGCCTCGCCTCACCTCGCCTCACCTTAACCTCGCCTCACCGCATCTCACCTCACCTCCATCATCGTCTCACCGGACGCCCTTCGTCGCCGCTCCGCCATTGGATGCGCGACCGACGATCCTCCACACAAAATCGCTTCTTCCCCACAGCTACCTTGCCCTCGCTACCGTGGCGTCGGCCATTAGCTTGCGCCACCACGCCGCTTTGTGAGAGCCCTTTGCAGACGCCGACGCCAGACTTGCTGCCAAGGCGCGCGTCACCATCGCCATTCGCCGCCGCCACCATGGACGTTAAGATGCCGCCCTTTGAGCCGACGGCTCGCGACGACATCCGCGCAGCCCACCAGACGATACGCTCCACCTACCGCACCAACCGCACAAAGGACCTGGCCTTTCGCAAGAAGCAGATTCGCCGCCTTTACTGGGGCCTCGTCGACTGCGCGCCCCTCATCGAGGACGCCCTCCGCAAGGACATGGGCAAGTGCCGGTTCGAGGCAAACATCACCGAGATCGACTGGTGCAAGACGGAATGCGTCACCGTCGCCGACAAGCTCGACCAGTGGGCCAAGGACGAGTCCATTGTCAACATGCCCTTGCAGTACGTGCCCATGCGCCCTCGCATCCGCCACGAGCCTCTGGGCGCCATCCTCATCATCGGCGCCTACAACTTCCCCTTTCAGCTCAACCTCACCCCGGTCGTCGGTGCCATCGCCGCCGGCAACACCGTCGTCCTGAAGCCCTCGGAGCACTCCCCCCATTCGGCCATGGTCCTCAAGAAGCTCTTTGACGAATACCTTGACCCCGACTGCTACGTCTGCGTCAACGGCGCCGTCGACGAGGTCAAGTGCCTCCTGGACCTCAAGTTTGACAAGGTCGTCTTCACCGGCGGCAAGAAGACGGGCGCCATCATCGCCACCAAGGCCGCCCAGTCCCTCACTCCCGTCCTCCTCGAGCTCGGCGGCCAGAACCCGGCCTTTGTCACCAAGCACGCCGACCTCAAGCTCGCCGCCCGCCGCCTCCTCTGGCAAAAGTGCCTTCACGCCGGCCAGATCTGCCTCTCCCACAACTATGTCCTCATCGACCGCAGTCTCGTCTCCGCCTTCGTCCAAGAGGTCAAGGCCCAGTACCGCATCTTCATGCCCAACGGCGCCGAAGCCAGCCCCGACTTTTCTCGCATCGTCAACAAGTCCCACTTTGACCGCATCAAGGCCATGCTCGACAACACAAAGGGCAAGGTTGTCATGGGCGGCTCCACCGACGAGACGTCCCTCTTCATCGAGCCCACCGTCGTCCTTGTCGACGACGCCGAAGACAGCATGATGGCCGAGGAGAGCTTCGGCCCCATCTGGTCCATTATGCCCTACGATTCCCTCGACGAGGCTATTGACATTGCCAACAAGGTCGATCCCACCCCGCTCGCCCTCTACACCTTTGGCTCGGACGAGGAGAACAACAAAGGTACTCAGTTCATCTGCCTGATAAGACGAGGCGGGGCATGAATACGATTGCTAACTGGTTCAGTCTTGTCCAACGTTACTTCGGGCGGCGCCACCGTTAACGACGGCTTCTTCCACGCCCAGACCAATGCCTCGCCCCTTGGTGGCGTCGGTTCCTCAGGCATGGGCAGCTACCACGGCTACTATTCCTTCCGCGCATTCAGCCACCAGCGCACCATTGCCCGCGTCCCCGGCTGGATCGAGAAGGCCTTCCGCCCGCGCTACATGCCCTATTCGATGAAGGAGCTGGAGCGCTACCGGCTTCTCGCGCTCCCCAAGCCCAACTTTGACCGCGACGGCAATGTCATCAGGGGCCTCAAATACTGGCTCGCCGTCGTCTTGGGCCTCGGTGGAAAGAGCTCCCCGAGCGTAGCTCTGAGGTGGGGGGTCCTCATTGCCCTCCTTACGGTCCTGGGACTGAAGAGGAGCTCGCTAGGGGTGTAAAGGGCACCGAGCCGCCGCGAGCCAAGCTGTAGATACCAGTAGCATTGCCTTTGATTTATCGTCATCTATTTCTGTAACGCGCTCAGCGGCCCTGCCGACGAGGCTTGGACAATCATCAGACAGCAAGGACCGAATCGCCGCGCGTAACGTGTGCTTTGCACCAGATGTGCATCCGATGCTCGGCATTTTCAACCCTTACTACCGCACGATTGGATAGGCAGACTTGTACAGACATCTTAATGTGTAAATATGGCGCCAGCACAGAGGCTACGCTGCTCCTCGAGTTGTCATCTAACAAGAGGGCAGCTGTCCTCGGTAGAGTCAATATGCGGACAAAATGGCCGCCAGCCTCTGGCCCTTTTCTCCTCCTAGGTACAGGTCGTCGTGGACCGACTCCCTGCCCATCTCGACGGCCTCGTCGTAGGCCCTGGTGACGGTGTGCTCATCGACGCGCAGGCCGTTTTCGACGAGGGCCAGGATGACGCTGCGGAAGCGGGCAATCTCCCGCATGGTGGCGACGTCGATGTGGTCGTTTTGGCTCGAGTATGCCCTGCTACTGACGCTCTCTTCCAAGCGATTGATGCCCGGAGAGGCGTCCGCTGCTGTGGCGGCGGCGGCGTCGGGCTCGACGTGTTTGCTGACCCAGATGTAGCCGTTGACGCCGAGCAGTACATCAATCTTGCCCGCGCCATTCGCCGCATCGGCAGTCCAGACCTGCCTCTTCGATCGCACAACCCCACCGCCACCGCCGGTTCCCGAGACACAGACAAAGAGGCCGTTTCGCAACTTGCCATAGCGGAGCGAGCGCGTGTGCAGACTCGCCGCGCCGTCCTGGTGCAGCTGCTGGACCTCTGCGACGACGAGGTCGCCCTCTGCGAAGAAGGAGCGGATCTGCAGCTCGTCCGTCTCGGTGCGCTTGCGCAGGATGCCACCGGGCAGGTTGACGGCCGAGATCTGCAGCACGGCGAGCTGCGCGGCGGCCACGTCGACGCGCCACCTGCGCGCCTGGACCTCGGCGATGCGCCCGACGACGAGGTCGCCGATCTCGGGGGTGTAGCGCGCGCGAAGGGGGCGCACCGAGAGGAGCTTGTTTGTGCGGGTGAGGATACCGGCGAGGGAGGAGGTGATGGATGACGAGTTGGGGGGGACGTATGTGCCGTGGCCTCTGGTTTACCAAGACATGAATATCGATTATCAAGGAAGGATAGCATTGGGGGGAGATGTTCGCTTACCGCATCCATTGCGGGTTTGAAGTGATGACGCTGCCGGGCGTGAGAATCTCATGGGCCTCATCGTCGTCGTCGTCGAGGCTTGCCCGCCGGGGTTTCTTGGGGGCGGCGCCGCGCATGGACACGTCGCCCTGAATGTCTGCGCCGCCATCCGAGTCCGAGTCTGACGAGTCGGCGAGGGCGACCGGGGGGCGTGGCTGTGGCACCGGCCGGGGCTGGAGTATCGTGATGGGCATTTTGCTAGAGGGAGAGAGGTGTGTGAGGTGAGGTGAGAGGCCTGGGCGTGCCTCTGGATCGGGGGCTGTCGAGCAGCCGCTGATGAATTGACTCGAGCCCTTGTTTATGCAGCTCAGTTGATGTATCTGCGGAGTTGTAGAGGCTCACACGTCGTGGAGAGGGTTGTTGTTCTCTGCTCGGTTGCTGGCTTTTTTTCTGGCGGTGGTGTTTTGAGATGTGAGGTGAGAGAAGGAAAGGGTGGGGCAGTTTTGGACGGCAAGATTTCTGGAGCAAATCAAGCACCTTGCGCCCACTCGAGGCCAGAAAGCAACCCTCATTAATCGCAATATGCGAGCTATTCACTGAAATTTCTGGGCCAACTACGTAGAGCATGCTTCTTATCGCTGTCGTGCTGTTTATGCAGCTGTTTTCTTGGCTGGAATTGTTGATCGCTGTCACTTGGACAACGATTCGGGTGAGAATGGCCTCTCATGTCCGTAGATGGGGCCTTTGCACATTGAATTACACCTGTAAGAGTTGCAAAGACAGCCGCTTTGCCTCCATCTCATGTCATGGTTGCCGATAGCCATCCTCCCCGTCGACGGCTTGTCCACACTGCCGTTCGTTGGTCGTCGGCGCATGTCACCGAAAAGCCCTCCATAGCCCCATCCACGCCAGGCCCAGCGAGATGCCCGCGATGCCGGCCCGGCGGCTCTTGATGCCAAAGACCGACCTGCTCTTCAATATGGCGGCGCGCTGCTTCTCGAGCTGCGACATGCCTGAGAGGTAGCTGTACGCAGCCAGCCCGAAAAAGGCGCCGCTTCCTGCAACCTTGATGTTTAGAAGGGATCTGAATAAGTAAGTGGGCAAAGGGAACTTGCCGACAATCCGGCAGCTGAGGCAGTCGTCGCCTCGGTCCTGGCGCATGAGCACCTTGAGGTCCTCGGGCTTCTCGAGGGCGTGCAGGCTCGGGATCTTGTCGCCTGCCATGGTTGCGAGGCCGGCGGTTCGACGGGGGCTCCGACTGCGCTATGAGGGAGCTCATCCAAATCTTCTACAGGGCTCGAGGCAGTATCGGGAGCCAATAGAGGCGCGGACCCCCGCGCCTTTAAAGTCGGCGCGGACGTCCGCGCCTGTTATGTAAGCCTGGCAGGCCATTTGGGCCGCCGCCAACTGCGCTCGCAGTCGGCCTCACCGATACAGCATGCTTGCTGCATACATATAGCTTCAATTAATTGCAAAGGAGGATATCCCTTAGGGTTCGAACCCATAGCCTTCCCTATTTGGTAGATTGACGTGACGCAAAGGGCGCCGCTGTTGCGTGGCAAGGAGGGTGCGCGGAAGTTCACCGCCTTAAAATTGGCCAGCTACAGTGCTACACGCCGGTGCATGTCGGTGATCTCACGATCTGCCTCACATTTTCGCATCGCCGGCATCATCACCACTTATATATGTGAATAAAATGCCTGCTGTTCCTCTGAGTCTCTCTCGCAGTCAGCCCATATACCTGCAGTACCTCTTTCTCGTGAGAAAGGCTGCACCTGAATTTCCTCGGCCACCCGGGCATCTAATCGCTCTTCTTCTGCCTTATCCCAATCAAGGTATGCCATCATCTCTACCTTGGTCCATTGCCTCGAGCCGCAGCTCCTTGACATTTGCTTCCAGTCGAGGCACCAGTCATATTCAGTCTTGCTGTAGCGCAATGGCAAGCCCATTGCCTTTCGGTATGCCTGGTTGGTCTTGAGACTGCCGCGAGGCTGTGCTCTATACCAAGAGTCTCTTTCCTGACATACCTCTGATAGATGGCTCGTGGGTCATCATATAATAGATTCTCTGTAGTCTCTGTAGTCTCTGCAATTGCTGTAGAGACTGTAGAGACCGTAGTGACTGCAACTGTCATTTTCTCCATGACTGCTGCAGTCTGCGCAGTCTCTGGAACTGCTACCGTCTGTACAGTCTGTGCAGTCTGTGCAGTCCCTGCAATTGCTGCAGTCTCTGCAGTCTGTGCCGCCCGTGCCTCTGCCCGCTGCAGTATGTCGCTATAGCGTAAAGGACAATTGCGAGATGTCATGATGTGCCCTTGCTGGTGGCATTTGCTGCATGTAGGCGGCGCCTTTGGCCGTAGATCTGACTCTATGGCTTCAAATGCACTTGGCTCGCGCTGTGTGGATGACTGTGATATCCTTGATGCGGCGACAAGTTGGTCTAGTCGCCGACGAGGCTCTATGAGGACCTGACCAATCTCTTTGTTATCCCGTCGAAGGCGCCAATGTGTATGAAAATGTTGTAGCCGGAGGGCAGATCTTCCACTATGAGAGACTGTAATGCGTGCGCACAAGGGAGACCGCGAGACTTGGTGAAGCTGCCTGTGCAAGATGGGGTGTTTTTCTCGTTGAGGCGCTTGTGTTGCTTTGCAACCTGTCGCAAGGCTTCGTGTGATACCCAGCCACGTACCGTGCTATATACGGTTCCAGAGAGCTCAATTGGCATCCGTATATGCTGCCTGGCTTGGTTGGCTTGTAGCTCGGCCAGTTGGTTGAGGAGAGCTTGCTTGATTGCCCTCGTTGCCTCGAAGAGGTCTAATGTTGACTTCTTAAGGTGACTCTTCAATAATGCGTGGATGCCTTCCACCCGGGAAGTAGCCACATTGCCGAAGTGAGCATATTGATCGACCCAGGCCTTGACGAGCTTTTCCTTATACGGGTCCAACCAGGTTTCCCGTATGTAGCTAACCTCCTTGACGTATCGTGGCACAAAGCGCTTCTCGAGCTCTTCAACTTGTTGATCAAATGTCTCCTCATCTTTCGAGCCCACGATTGAGTGCCAATACCCAAAGAACTCAGCCCACCTCTCATCACTATTAGAGTCCTCATCGTCACGGTCGAAAGCTGGTTTGCAATAGCTAAGCACCGCCTTATTCGCATGCCAGATGCAAAGCAGAGACTTGGACGCAGGAAAGCACCGGAAATTGCGTTTATGCAGGCGAGGCAGCGATCTGTCAGGATAACCGATGGCTGGCGAATGTCATATAACTCGTATATCGATTGGAGTTGGTCCAGTGCCCAGATATAGTCATTTTCGTCTTCACCACTGAGGAAGGCAAAGGCAATACAGAATGACCGCTGACAGGCATCAACGCCGATCATATCGAGCAGTGGCATCTTATATTTGTTCGTCTTGTATGTGCAGTCTAGCAGTAGTAATTCTGGGTATGCGTTGAGGTATCCTAGAGACGCTGGGTGTGCGAATAAGACTGCTGTGACTCGGCCATCATGATCAAGCTGTATGCGGCTCTGGAACCCCTCGTTGTCAAGCTCATTGGCAAGGGCATGCATTGTGCTCTGGCCAGCAAGGAGCTCTCGTCTGCGCTGTGCGATACAGTTATATATGTCTTGCTGTGTCGCTCCTTGGGCAGTCTGAGAGCTCTGGCGCATATATGTCCGGATATCCTTTGGTGCTATGCCAGCGCTTGAGAGGTTCCCAATAGCTGACTGGTCAGTTGAGGAGAGGCACGATGAGCTGGATGTGCTGTAATATGCAGACTGGGCTCATGGTTGTGGACCGACTTCTCCTCGCCTGGGCGATGCCTGACATACCAGTACGACTTATCAAGGCTCTCTTTCGCATTGATGGAAAACTGGCATCCAGTGATACGGGAGCTTGTAGACCGTTGCCGATCAGCTGGCTTCTGGTCCTTGCTTGTATGAGCCCCAAGTCTACCTCCACGATCGCAGGCAAATATGACTGTGCGTCTTCCGGACCGCGGGTCTCTCGTGGACTTGCCTGTGGTGAAGGCATAGCCTCTTGGAGCCGCCCACGCATTAATTGAGGCAAGAAGAGACTCTCGCGAGTCGAACTGGCCCTCAGGAGGAAGGCAATCGTCAGGGAATTCAGTAAGCCCCATATTGGAATTATCTTGAAGAGCTAGCTGTAGTGCACGACAGTGAGCAGCTCTTTATACACAAAGGAAAGGAAACTCCTGCTTTGTGGACGTGGTGCAGAACCCTTGTAACCGAGGCCGCCTGCGAGGTTTAATGCAGCCTGCGTTTGAGCTTTGGCCTCAATGGGGTCCAAGCACCACGCATGCAGGCGCTCGACCTTAATATGCGGATTATAGCATCGCTTCCGCGGACAACTACTCTGAGCGCAGATGGTATGCTATATGAGGCTGGCTCTCTGTGCGACAGTTTGCCACATGCAATAGAAAAGGAGAGTACAGGTCAGGGGGCGGCCCGACTATCTTCCGCCTGGGCTTACATAACAGGCGCGGACGTCCGCGCCGACTTTAAAGGCGCGGGGGTCCGCGCCTCTAACGTAATCCACCCCCTTCCCGGTCAGACCCCCTACTCGGTCAGAAAAAGTCTCCACGCGGCGACCCACACTTATGGCAAGACAAACCGAGCACTATGACGGCAACGGAGACCAATCGGTTCCACGCGAAGAACGGGTCCTGCTCGCCGTCAGGGCCTATCAGCAGGGCCAATTCAAAAGTACCCGCAAGGCTGCGGCCGCATACGACGTCCTCAATCGACAGTATCTGATCGACTGCGCGGTGTCATTCGCCGACGCGACGCTCAGATGAACAACCTGAAGTTGACGGCGACGGAAGAGACTGCCCTGGTACAATGGATCTTGTCGATGGACGAGCGAGGATGCCGCCGACAGTGGCTTACACTCGTCGGATGGCCAACTTATTGCTTTCCGAGCGAGGCAAAGATCCTGTCGGGAAAACTGGGTGCGGAAGTTTGTTGGCCGCCACGGCGAAATCAAGGCAAAGTACTCTCGCCGATACGACTACCAACGAGCCAAATGCGAAGACCCCCAAAAGATCCAAGGATGGTACGATCGAGTCGCGGCGACGAAACAGAAATGGGGATTCTTGACGAGGATGTCTATAACTTTGATGAGACGGGGTTTCAAATGGGAGTCGCTGCAACGGCGAGAGTCCTTACCCGGTCTGACCGGCGAGGTCGGGCAGTACTCACGCAGCCTGGAAATCGAGAATGGGTTACTGTGATCGAGTCTATCAACTGCCAAGGTTGGGCTTTACCGGCGAAGGTTATCTTCCAGGGCAAGTTACACCAAGCAAGCTGGTACGAATCAGGAGTGCCCGATGACTGGCATATCGCCGTTAGTGAGAATGGCTGGACTTCCGACGACCTTGCTTTGAATTGGTTAAAGGAAGTCTTTGATCCGAATACACGGCGCCGTACGGTTGGTACGCATCGACTTCTTATTCTCGACGGGCACGGCAGTCACGTCACGCCGGAATTTGACAAGTACTGTACGGCCAATTCCATCGTAGTACTCCAAATGCCTGCACATTCCTCACATCTCTTGCAGCCTCTTGATGTCGGGTGCTTTTCGCCGTTGAAAACCATATACGGCCGAAAGGTTCAAGAGAAAATGCTCGCTGGGATCCATCATATCGACAAGCAGGACTTCCTTCCCATGTACTTAGACGCTCGCCGACAAGCACTTTCGCCGTCGAATATCCGAAGCGGATTTATGGCAACAGGCCTTTTTCCGTTTGACCCAAACAGAGTATTATCGCGGTTACAAGTTCAGGTTGACAAAGTCGGTAACGATCACGGCGACAAGAATACTCCAAGTCCCAACAAGAGCCTGGAAGCAGCCAAGACTCCGCATAACGTCAACCAGCTTACCACTCACGCCGAAAGGCTTCTTCAACGCCGGCCACAAAATACAGACTCGCCAGTTTCACAAGCTATCAACCAGCTTATCAAAGGATGTCAAATGGCCATGCACAGCGCCGCCCTCCTTGCCGACGAAAACCGGCAACTTCGGTCAGAAAACCAGCGGCGAAAGCAGAGAAAGAACAGCGCCGTGAATACATTGGCGACGGCGGTACTCTATCGGTTGCAGAGGGCACGGTTAGGATAAAGCAACGGAGAGAAGAAGAAGAAGAGCGGGTTAAGCGACGGAGAGTGGAAGAAGAGGAGAGGACTAAGCGCCGGCGAGAGAAGGACGAGGAGCGGGCCAAGCGACGACAAGAAGGAGAAGAGCGGGCCGAGCGACGGCGACAAGAGAACGAGGAATGGTTCAAGCTACGGCGAGAAAAGGAAGAGGAGCGGGTCAAGAAACAGAGAGCAAAGGAAGATGAGCGGGCCAAGCGACGGCGGGAAGAAGGGGAGCGGGACCAACGACTTATAGAAGAGCTGAGTGTCCCAAGACAGCGTGCACCACCACGGTGTAGTAAGTGCAGGTCTTTTGAACACACTGCCCGTACGTGTAATAGATAGTCCTAATCGAGTTACTTGTCTCTTGGAGTAAATATGTCGTGGTATTGTGCTCCGTTTGTCTCGCGTAAGGTGCGGGTCTAGTCGGTGGGGAATTTTTGACCGAGTAGGGGGTCTGACCGGGAAGGGGGTGGATTACGTTATTGGCTCCCGGCAGTATCGCTGTGTTTAGTCAGCAGCCAGACGTCACTAACATTTTTCTTGTCTTATCAGCCAGCCGTCATTGCGGCTTCACCCCCTCTCCGCCCGTTGAAGATTCCCTCCCTCCCACCGACACCAGGCTTCGGGCGCTGGCTCGTCAGCATGAACGGGGTCATCGAGGCCTTGCACATCTACGACGATAGCAGGTCCTCTCTCTCTCTTCCGCCACGGCCTCCGCCGCCCGCCGACTGACTGCTCCGCAGAAGCACGCTGCTGTCGCACACGTACACGGGGAGACCGCTGTCGGCCGCCCACCTGCTGCCTCTCTATCTCGAGCACCCGGCGCCGCGGCCGAACCTGATATACCTTCCCAACACCAGCCCGCCCACGCTCGTCTTCAGCCTCGCCCACGCCAACTTGCTGCTCATCGCCACCTCGTCGAACGAGATTGAGCCCCTGCTCGTTCTCGAGTTCCTGCACCGCGTTGTCGACGCCCTCGAGGAGTTTGTCGGCGCACCGCTCCTCGCCGTCAAGATTGAGAACAACTACGATGTTGTCGCCCAGCTGCTCACCGAGATGTGCGATGCCGGCACCATATGCACCACGGAGCCCAATGCCCTGAGGGAGGTGGTTGAGATGGAGGGCTGGATGGGCAAGCTGCTCGGAAGCATCAGCCTGCCGGGGTGGGTCCCTCTTCTCAGCAACCGGCTCAGCTCGCGCCCTTAAAGACTGACACTTAATCAGCAAAGCGCCCCTGGGTAACAGCTTTTCCAGCCCGAGCACGCCCTCGCTCGCGGCTTCCAATACACCAGCCCTGCCGTGGAGGCGGGCCAATGTGCGGCATACATCCAACGAGTTATACGCCGACGTCGTCGAGACGCTATCCGTCACCCTGGCACCCTCAGGCAGGCCGCTCGCCGCCTTTGCCAACGGAACCATCGCATTCACGGCCAAGGTGTCCGGGGTGCCTGACATCACCGTCAACCTGACGAGCCCGTCTGGGAAGCACAACATTGGCAGTGTCATGGAGCTGCCCGTCTTCCATCCTTGTGTCCGGCTGAACAGGTGGAAAGAGCGCCCGGGAGAGCTCAGCTTCGTGCCTCCAGACGGCCGCTTCACCTTGGCTGGGTACGAGGTTGACCTGCTGCCCTTTTCTGCGAGCGGGAAAAGCGGCAACATGAGCCACCACAACCTGAAGCTGCCGGTCAACCTGGAAATGAAGACGGGAGTCGGCCCCGTGGGCTCGGACTTTGAGGTTCGGGTGCAGGTGAACAAGATGCTCGGCAACCCGGGCGCCTCGTCTGCGAATCATCTCGGGCGAGGCAGCAGTTCTGGTAGGCTCGGGGGGCCTCACCTAGGGTCTCCGGGAGCCCCTCTGATTGACGACCTGAAAATAACCATCCCGCTTCCCGAGGACGTGAGGAACCTGTCGGATATCCGGCCCAGCAAAGGGGACGCAAGCTTCAACCCAGGGGAGAGGGTACTGGAATGGCACGTGCCGGCCAAGGAGCTGACGGGGCCGGCGTGCCAGGTTGGACTACGGTGCACGGTGGTCGGGCCGCTGACGGACGACGACGAGCAAGAGTTTGACCCAAGCGGCTTCGGCTTCGGCAACGACTATTCATACCACGACGAGCCGTATCAGAGCGAGCCGGCGACCAAGCCGGGGCGGGACAAGGAGGACAAGGGCAGCGAGCAAGACGCCAGGAAGACGGCGCAGAACAAGATCCTGATGCCGAGCTCGGCGTCGGTCAGCTTCGCGGTCAAGGGGTGGCTGGCGAGCGGGCTCAAGGTAGAGAGCATCGTCATGGACGCGAGGCAGAGCCGGGGCCTGGGGGAGGGCGTGAAGCCTTACAAGGGCGTCAAGTACCTGACGGTCAGCAAGGGCGGCGTCGAGATTCGCTGCTAGGCCGGCGGCGACGGCGGCGAGATGGACGGCGCTGGGTTGCATGGGAAGAATACAAGGGACGCTGGCATGATACGGTTCCAGGCGCAAGGAGAAAGAAAGAAAGAAAGAAAAAGGACGGACACGGGAGAGTCTGGCCAATGACGCGCATAAAATATAGTGGCCAGTGATGCGCATAGAATATAGTATGGTTCCATTCAGCTCTCGACAGTTTGCCTGGATAGGTAGTAGTTCCTCAGTGGGGTTCCTCAGTGGGTACCTACCTCGGGCCAGGCAAGCTCCCCACAGCTCGGCCCCTCGTCAGCAGTCCGGGGGAGAGAGGAGAGGGTACGGTACCTTGCACTCGCGCGTCATGACCCGCGCTATCGAGGTACCTCATCGGCCGCTCCCTTCGGTTATCTCTAGTTACTGTCTCGGTACTGCTGCACGCACTCCTGCAGGTCGGAGCCACGTGCTGCAGCTGACATCCATCCATCATCCCAGATTGCCACAGCCCGCTCGTTGGGCCGTCGACCAGTCATGAATACATGGGCCTGATTGCCCGGCCGCTGCACGGCTATGAGACGCTTCCCCGGTCCCGCGCTCCGGCGCGGCTGCTCTTTCGACGTCAGGCCAGCTGGGTGCCTCGCTCCGATAGCCACGCTGCGAGACGGCGGCGTGCGGGCGAGGAGGCGGAGTTCGTCGACCATGGCCCAAGGGCGGAGGCCGCGGACGGCCATCTTCTTCCCAGGTGAGTCGGCTGAGCCTCCCTTGCCAGACTTGGAAGCTCACGACTCCCTCTGCAGGCCAGGGCACGCAGAAGGTCGGCATGCTCACCCCCTGGCTCGAGGCCTTTCCCTCGACCGCGTCGCAGCTCGTCCAAGAGATGGACCACCACGTCGGCTATAGACTCTCCGACGTCATCCAAAACGGCCCCTCAAAGGTGCTCAGCCAGACGACCATTGCCCAGCCCGCCATCATGGCCACGTCCATCTTCATCCTGCGCATTCTCGAGCGCGAATACGACTTTCGCGTCGCCGACCACTTCGACGTGACACTTGGCCACTCACTCGGCGAATTCGCCGCCCTCGTCGCCGGGGGCTACCTGACCTTTGAGGACAGCCTGTATCTCGTGCAGCAGAGGGCCGAGGCCATGTCCGAGGCGACCAAGCGCGCGATACAGGAATACGGCGGCGAGTATGGCATGGTGGCCGTCATCACGGAGCCCGAGTACCTGGCGGCCCTCATCGACGCGATCCGCGACTTTGTCGGGCACTCGAGCGCCGGCAGCAAGGCCGAGAGCAGCGAGGACGTGCCGCCCATCGAGCAGGTGCTCATCTCCAACATCAACAGCAAGAACCAGATTGTGCTGAGCGGCAACATGGAACGCATCAAGACGCTCATCGCCCACGTGCGCCAGTTCCTGGGCCACGACCCGCGCGCGGTGCGCCTCCACAGCGACAGCCCCTTCCACAGCCCCATCATGAAGCCCGCGGTGGCGGTGATGCAGGCGCTCCTCAATTCTCAGAGCCGCGTGCCCGGCCGCGCCGACATGGTGACGTTCCCCGCGGCTCTGCCGTGTATCAGCAACGTCAGCGCGCGGCCCTTTGCCAGCAAGGAGGAGCTCAAGGAGCTGCTGGCCCGGGGCTGCCTGGAGACGGTGCGCTGGTGGGACAGCATCAAGTACCTGGACCAGGAGGAAAAGGTGCGCCGCTGGGTCGGCATCGGGCCCGGCAAGGTCGGGCGCAACCTGGTGGGCAAGGAGGTAGGCGTCAGGGGCCGGGACCTGGTCAAGGGGGGAGGCGTGTGGGCGATTACGGACCCGAGCGAGGTGGAGGAGGTGCTGAGGGGGCTCGAGGAGACGGCCGGGCTGGTCGATGAAGAGGAGTGACGAGGGAGGACGTGTAGAGCAATGGGCTTTCCTCGATGGATGCATGCCTCTCATGCTCGAGGCTGGCCTCAGCCTCGGTCTTGTGTTGGGAGAGCTCTGACTAATTTCGGCAGGCAGGCTGGTGCCAATGCCCTTGATGCATTATTTTTTAGCTATTCATCTTGTTCTCGGCCCATTGTGGTGCTTTGTCCGGCCTTTTTCGTGCAGTTCTGTAGGTGCGTTGAGGCTGGTAGTAGTTGCGGTGCTCTCACCCGGGCAGTGAGACCTACAGCTCTAGTGGGGTGTCCGTCTTCAACCTCGCGTCTTCCCCCAACCAACACCATCTCCCTCCTCGTCCACGGCGCAAGCTCTACCATGACGACCGCAATCCCGTCCATCGCCTGCCTAGGCGTCATCGGGCGCAACGTAAGACCTCACCCCTCCCCCCGCAACCAATTGCTCCCGGCTCACCGTCCGCACGTCAGAACAACCCGCTGCACATGTCCATCTTCCCCTCCCACGACGCGGCAACAGACACGCTCGCGCCCCTGCGCTCCCCGCTACAGTTCTCGCTCCTCCTCTCCTCCACCATCGACGTCTTCGACCTGCGCGCCCGGCACAGCAGCAGCAGCAACAACAACGGCGACGGCGGCGGCGCTCAACAACCCCTGGCCGGCGTCGCGGGCCTCGTCACCGGCGACGCGGGCCTCCTGCACGCCATCGACGACCGCCTCGCCGCGTACGGCTTCGAGACCAACACGGGCGTCCGCATGGTCTGCGTCGTCGACATGCGCGGCCGCAGCGCCGCCGTCGCAGATGCCGCTGCCGCCGCCGCCGCCGCAGCCTCCTCTGGCTCGGCGCCGGCGACTAGGCCTTCTGGCGCGGGCCTGCGCGATGCCGAGCTCAAGCCCGTCTTCCGCGCTATGCAGACGGCCTACGTGCGCCTGCTCCAGAATCCCTTCTTCGACCCGGACGAGCATGCTCCCCTGGGGGGGCGGGGCGGCCGGAGCATCTCGAGCAAGCGCTTCGTTGAGGATATGAGGCGTATTGGCGAGGCGTGGACGCCGGGGTGACGAGCCTTTGACTTTGGCCTGCCTACATATAAATGAGCTGATTTGGGGCGCGGCATGGCATGGCGTTTTTCGGGGGTTTATATCCGGGCTTTTACGATGTTCACGCCGAGGGAGAATGCATTTCCTGTACGACTGAGAGGAAAGCCGTCTCTTTATTCTAGCCCTATCCCTGTGTTTGTAATCTATAAAGCTTAGGGTGGTCTACATTAAACTTGCAAAATATCAAGGTCCTTACTACTACAGAGTTCCATCTTCCTCCTTTTCCCTCTATTGCCCATCGTCGTCTTGCTTCCTCAGACGCTCAACGCTCCACTTAGCCAGCCCGACCACCTCCTGCACCTCAACGCTCGGCCCCATGCCCTCACCCGAACCTGTCCCGCGCCCAGCCGCCGCAGCCCCAGCCGCCGGCGTCGACGAGGTCCCGCCCTCCCAGTGCCGCGCCTCGGCCGGCAGCGGCTGCCACCAGTCCCCGGTCCTGGCATGCCACCGCGCGCTGCACAGCTCCCAGAGCCGCGACGCGGCCCTCTTGTACGCGAAGCGCTCGTCCTCGCCCGTAAACGCAGCCGTGTTGCCAAAGTCGACGACGGCGCCGTGCCGCTGGAGGCCAAAGTCCGAGTCCTGGTCGGGGTTGTACCGCGCCGTGGCCGACTCGGTATCATAGTAGGACACGTTTGGCCGGAAGGGCGACGTCTGGTCCTGGTACACCTCCGCCACGGTTTCCGAGTACGTCGCGTCGTCTGAGCCCTGGGGTGTCCCCGGCTTGCTCTCCGGGCCTCGTCGCGCCTCGGGGAAGAAGAGGTCGTCGGGCGGGCTGTCGGCTCTGATGACGAGCTTGCAGCGTGCTTCGTACATGGCGTCGAGAAAGGTGATGAATCGGCGCGCCTCGTTCTTCTGCAGCATGGTCAAGACGGGCACTTGGTCGACGATGAAGGTGTGATAGGATGAAGCCATGGTGATGTAGTCGGCGGGTCCAAAGGCTTCGACCAGTCTGCCGAAGCTCCAGTAGGCAATGCCGTTGCGATGCAGCGGAGTGCACACATTGCGCCCATACACGACGACGGTTGAAGGGTCCCATGAGATCTCGCCTGCACCAGTCCACGAGAGCGTGTTGCGCACCCTTCGTTCCCATGCTTCTTCGTCCTCTCCGCAAAGGTGGTAGTATTGAGGCTTCTTGCCGGGCTCGTCATCTTGCTCTAGGCTGCCATCGCCAACTTCGAGTCCTCCCTTTCCCGCAGCCACGGTTCTCGCAGTGTCCCGCGCGTCCACCTCCTCTCTGCGCCTCCAGTCTTTCGCGCCTTCCATCTGACAGAAATCGCACCTGGCTTTCAGAACCTCGAGGAAGATGGCAAAGTCGCTGCTTTGACCGTACAGCTCGCCCGCTGGCTTGGCCTGGGCGCCCCATAGCCTCCGTATCAAGCCCTGCGCGGGTTCCGGCGTGTAGTCCGTCCCAACGGCCTTCTGTAGCTCCTCGGGCATGCGGTTCGACGATGCTACGAGAACGCCACCGAGCTGGAAGAAGGCGACGAAGAGATGGCTGAGGATCTTGCTGGCTGCTCGATCAGGAAGCTGAAACTCGTCTAGGAACAGGATGGGCGAGTCGTCGATGAGCTTCTTAGCCATCCAGACGAGCGAGTAGTCGGGATCTGGATCGGAGGAATCCGCGGTTCCTTTGCGCTTCTCGAGCTGGGAAAAGGTGTAGAGCATAAACGTATTGAAATGCCATCGTCGCTTGCGCTCCGTCGGCAAGCCGTGGGCCAGCAAGTCCAGCAGCATCGACTTGCCTGTTCCCACCTCTCCAGAGAGAAAGAGGCCCTTTGGCGAGTCAATTTCCATGGCCGTTTCGTGCCTATTGAGAATCCTTGTCAAGGCCATGCTGTCGCGAAGGTCGGCAGCCGGTAGAAGGTGCCGAAAGAGCGGGTTGCGCCAGATGGCATGATGCCGCAGGGCGAGGATGCCGTGCGCCGCCTCATTATCCGGCAGCTTTGGATCGGTGAGGCGGGCCACCTGGCTCAGCCTCTGCCGATACTCAATCTGCGGCGAGTAGTCCTTGATGCGATGATAGACATCGCGGAGATGCCTTGCCAGTCGATGCTGGGCCGGGTCCGGCGCATATGTGCCAGACCTGACCAGCGTCTGATACTTGACCAAGGGGTCGGTGATGGCAACCGCCGTAGAAAATCGCTTCATTGTTTCTCGGGTCTGGAGTTGGTCATGGCCACGAGATGGAGCAAGCCCGGCACCTTCTTGTCGAGGCTACAAATGGCCGGCTCGAAGCCTAGCATGTTGACATGGGCAGTCCTGGAGCTTGGCTATGACGGACTTGCCGGACAGCCACAGTATGTTGTTTCTCAAAAGCCTGATTCCAACGAGCTGGTACAGTTTCTGGGAGCCTTTGGAGACGTCGGCAATCGAGAAGTCGCCGATGAAGCCGCGACAGGGCCAAGAGCTGCGGACAATGGGCCGTCAGGTCAAGAGGGCTAATTGGGTGAGGCGGCCAATGAATCGCGAGCTGTGCTGTGTGCATGTGGTTGGTGGTTGCACGGCGATCGATCGGTGGGCAAATGATTCAGTGACGACAGAGGTACCTCGTGGTCAGCACGGTGAGTATCGAGTATATTAGATGGCACCGACGTGGCCAGTACGGGTGTAAGCTCCTTTCATAGTCTCTTGCCACCCATTAGTCCAGGGCGATACCTCTCTATTGGTAAGGTGAGGTACCTCTCTCACCCCACTAGCAGTGAGACCCACAGCAGCAAAAGGCCGTTGCGCGCCAGGGCGGTCACCTGGACTTTGGTAGGCCTAGCTTTTCTGCCAGGGATCGATTTGTTTTTCGACCAAGGCAGCTGCGCAACGCTCACTGCCCGCCCACCTCCAACCCCCATCCTCACCATCGCCATCTCGCCGCCGCGTTGGTCCAGGTACGACTGCCGTTCATCTCTCGTCTCGCCCGCTGCCTCCAAGACTGGGCTGGGCGGCCCGAGATGCGCCAGTGAAGCCGCGACACCGTCCCGCGCGCGCTCGTTCCCAACACCTACCCCCGTTCTCGAAACCAGCATCCCTCATCACCAAAATCTACTGCAAACATCCCTTGCAACATGTTTTCTCCATCCGCTGCCGACGGAGGCCCGGCCACGGCCACTCGATCGCGCCGCCGCCAGCGTCCCAAGAGCTCGGAAAGCCTCGTCCAGCAGCCAAAGGCCAAGCGACAGCGCCTCCCGCTGACGGAGCAAACTTTTGCCAATCCAGAGCCCCAATCCGACATGACGGAGCTCAAGACGGACAAGGTTGCAACCCTCGATTCCAAGCACGCTGCGACCATCGACACTCCTCGCAGGGAACTTGTCGTGCGCGCCAAAAAGTCCAAGCACGGTGACCGAGCTGCAAACAAAGGCGACGGCAGTCTTGTCCTGGTTCGTGCGCCTTAACCTTTTCAGAAGACTGTTTTTTTCTCTCTAACTTTGTTCGTCCAGACAAGCACAAACGCCTTCACCGTCTCCAAGCTGCCTGCTTTGCCAGATAGAATCAGGTCGGATTGGTCGGGTATGTTTCGTCGCGCCGTGTTTCGGGGCCAAAGCTAACAGCAATCTCAACAAGGAAATCAACACGCCGAAATCTTCTCGTCGACCGGTTACGCCTTGACTCTGACACCGGCGCATGCCATCGTCTGGCCGTACAACGCGACTTCACAATCGCCCGAAACATTCACCTTCACGTTGCCTTCGGCATCCAAACCGAGCGACCCTCTCCCGGTGGGATGCCTCGTCTCCCCTCCTGCATCCTCGACCGAGCCTGGTCTCGTCGTCGTCATGTCCGGCAGCGGCAAAGTTGTCTACTGGGAGTCGATATCCAGCGCGGCCACTTTTGCCTTCATCAAGAAGGATCGATCCGGCGTCGAGCACCTGATATCCGGCATGTCTTCGGGGGAAAAGGTCATTGCCATCACCAATGCAGAGTCGGCAGGCTTTATCTTGACTTTCAGCACCGGACGATTGGCATACATGAGTGCGAGGGATGGCCATGGCCGGCCCGCCGTTTCGGTTCAGTTCTTGCGGACTGGTCTCGTCTCCTCGGGAAGTGGCATATTTGGGAGCATTCGCCATGCCTTTTCGCACTTGTCCCTGCGAGGCGACGTTGCAGCCGTCCGCGCCGATCGATCAGCCCGCGTCGGCGAGCGGAGCATTGTTGCGCTCACGAGTAGAGGCAAGCTGCAATCTTGGGTAGTGCACCGTGGCGGCCATCATGAGCCCACTGGCGAGGCCGATATTCGAGAGCGCCTGGTCGCAGCTCTTCAGGAAACGGACCGCGCGAGCCAGGGGTTCCCGGGCGACTCTTTTGAAGCCCTCGACTTCACCTTCGTCCCCAAAGGCCTGGAACGCAAGTATCTGGCCCTGAGTAGGCTAAGCGACGCCATGGCATCCGACAGCCCCAACGTGCAGCATCTACTGCTGCTCGTTAGCCTGTCCCGGAGGAGTGTTTCCCGGTATGCGTTGGTTGAGGTGATCCTGACCCCCGACGATTGTCAAATCGGCATGATTCGACCCATCACTTCCTACTCGACACCCTCGGCACAGGCGGAACCTACGCAAAGCTTGAGACCACGCATCTACCTGCCGCGCCCGGCCCTCGTGGCCTTTGTCGTCCTCGATCATGCCGCGATAATCGCATCTGTGGCAACTCCGCCAGAGTCTCCCGAGTCGCAGCTTCAGTCGGACAGCCACATCCTGCCGGCCTCCTTTGAGGACGTGGTTGATTTCCGAGAAGACAATGTCCACGAAATCGTCGGCTCTGGCTTTGAGGAGACCCCAGCGATACCCTACGGACACGAAGAAAACCGAGCGGTTCGGCACAAGACCAAGAACCCGGCTGTGGTGCTCGTGGTTCGCGGCGCGGGCGTCGTGCGGATTGTGACGACCGACGTGGACAAATTTGCCAGCGATCAGCCTCCTCAAGTGTCTGCTAAGAGCAAACTGGAGCAGGCCGTCTTCTTTGGCACCAAAAAAGACAACCCGCTTGTGTTCGACGGCCGACAAGACTTCGAATTCACCAGCGATGAGATAGCCAAGGCGGCGCTTGAAGTCAGTCACGAAATTCTATGTTCGTCTTCGTCCTACATATCCACACTGCCGGCGTCCCTGGAAGAGAATCTCCGTGCTCGATCGAGCGCACTGGAGAGACTCATGTTGCACCTCAAGGCCATTGGGGCGGATCTGGATCGAAACACCCGCTGGAAGCTCCTGTTCAACGCGGAGAAGATGCACGTTGCCATTCTGCTGTGGAGACGGCACGAAGCCTTCACGGCGACCCGACCTGCGGATGACAAAAAGAGTCTGGTTGGCTCTATCATCGAATTCATCCAGGAGGGCCATCACCGCCATCCCAACACAAGCATTGGCGAGGTGGACGCAGTGCGACATTGGTTTACCAACGACGTATATCGCCTCGAGCTCTTTGTAGCCTGGGCGTACGAGGTTATCAAGGTCTCGTATAAAGACAAGCTTCTGGACGATGCTCGCATGACGATTGCGCTGCACGAGGCAATGCACGTCAACATCATCACCCACACGGGAGCACACGAATTCCGAAAGAATAACCTGGCCCTGTACGGCCTCGGCCAAGAGCAGCTGCGGATGGGCATCCTGCGCGACGGATATGAAGGCCTTCCAGAGCCTTGGACCGGCTGTCTCTACATCGCCAACAACGCCAAGCGTCTCGCCGATCTCTGCGATCAGTGGTTTAACAAATACGAGCAGCTACGAAAATCAGACCCCGGCCTCATGACGAGGATCTACGACGACCTGCCGGCGCTGATTGATAGCATGCTCATGGCAGTGTTGGAGTACGCTCGCTGGGGAACGGCAAACTCGGAGCGCAAGGCGCTGGCGCAGGAGTACGTCAAGACGTACGACGCGGAGCGACATGCCAGGCCCGTGGCCTTGGCCCACCTTGGCAGGTGGGAGCAGGGCGCCAAGATTGCCGAGAAGCACGGCTGTCTCAGCGCTCTAGCGGTCATCCTGCTCGAACATGTCGATATGCTGGAGCAGCGAATGGACGAGCCGGACGTGTCCGAAGCGGAGCTGACGAGCTTGAAAAATCTGCGCCAGACAAAGAAGACGCAACTGGAGGATTCTTTTGGGAAATACGGCGAGCCGTTTGCATTCCCCGTCTACGACTGCCTTCTCACGAAACACGGCGTGGCGGCTGTGTTGGATTTTGAGCTGGACACGCTGGGGTTCAAAACTCGATTTCTTCGAAGCCGGCCAAGCCTTGCTCGCATATCATGGATCAACGACATACAGCAGGAGAAGGACTTTAGTCACGCGTCCAGCACCCTTGTGACTTTGGCACTGTCAAGCGAAAATCAAGTCTGGAAGAAGAAGATTGAACTGAGTCTGGGCAAGCTCGCGATCTTGGCCGACGCTGAGGGTCAGCCTCAACCGCAACACTCCTTCACGGTGAGATCCGACGAGGTTCACAGTGACAGGAGGCTCGAGCAGGTCGACAAGGAGTTGATCGTTGTCCGAATCCAAGACCACCTGTACAGCCAGGTGTTCCCGAGCACGTATGATGCCGTCGACAGCGCCGCTGCTCTCAACTTCGCCCTCGAAGCTCACAGCACCAATATTCCTCGGCGGCAGAAGGCACTGCTCCAGCTCTTCACCGATGGCATGACGAAGCTGCTGGACCATCAGGCTCTCGACCCAATGTACCTCATTGATCTGCTGACCCTGGTTGCCCTGGGCCCTGAGTCGAGGGAGGAGATTGCACATCCATTCTGGATGGCGTTGAAGGTCGCGGAGACTGCCTGCCACGCTGACGAAGCCAAAAACGCCAAGAAGCTGATTTGGAGACGACTGTTCATCCGGGATGACTGGGCCAAGATCAACGACACGCAGCTCAAAGATGATGTCGAGGTTGTGAATCGCGTCGCGGACACTGAACTGTTTGCCATGTTTACGGACTGCATTCGGTTTCGTAAGCTCCCTTTGCTCTAAGCTTATTGCGTGACTTGCTAACACCGAGACAGAGAACCCACAGATGCCATTCCAATATATGGTGCCCCAGGAGAGCCTGGGTGTCTTTACCGAGACTCTCGACCGCCGATTCCAGAACTTTTCCGAGAGCGAGCAGGCCAAGCTGGTCGAGGCAATGCGGTGGGAGGATAAGGTCCTCACCCAGTACATTGAGAAGAACCGGCTGGGCAACTGGGTGCGGTCGGCCTACGAAACGGCCCAGACAGAGCTTGAGGGCATCGCGGAAGACGCTGTCCGCGCCGGCGGCTCTGCGGTCGACGCGCGCGAGCGTATCCCGCTGTTTGGCCGCAGACGCAGTTCTGCGGCGGGCCATGCCGCCCCCCAGTTGGGCTCGGCGTAAGGGGAAATGGCCCGTTTTCATTGACCGGCGTTGAACTCTTGTCATTTGACGCGTGTTTTTTTTGCATCACGGCTGCCTGGTGCCACCACAAGCACAGAATGTATACTAATTGAAAACTGGGAACGAGTGAGAGGGTGGGAAGAGGAGAAGCGTCCTCACAGGAACGAAGGAGCCGTGGACGAGACTCCGCGGCTGTGGCCCTGGGTCTCCCGCGGCTGCGGATGATACCTCGGGGGGGCCGCATGACGATCGTTCAGGGCGGGCTTGCTTACTGCATGGATGACTGAGGGTACGTGAGGGAGAAGATGAAGATGAAGGGACAAAATCGGACGGTTTGCCGTGGACTGGATCACGGCGGGTACCACCAAAACGCTCTGTGTTTCCTTTCCTCTTTTGCTAGGCGGGGAGAATGAATCATGTCCTCGGCGGGTGGGGGCTCGCCTTGACGGCCAATCAAGGCCTCTCACACTGCGTCTGCCCTGCGCCCGTGCCTATGAGAGTGATGAGGCGGGGTTATCCGTTACGCCGATGACCATGTACTGAATGTATGTTTCGGCAATAGCTTTCTCGAGGCGGCCACCAAGATGCGTGATGTCACGAAGGGGATTCACTGCAGCACATACGGGCGTCAAAGGCATATTCATTCCGGCGTTAATTACATGCCAGCCACGCCCCGGGCGCCAGTCTCAATCTCCTCGGCGCATCTTCCTCGATTAAAAAAAAAAGGAGCGCAACCTTTTCCCAGTCCCGTTGTACCATGCATGCGCAAACCGTCGAGCTCCAGAGAGCCAATGTGCTGCAGGGCAGCCTAGACCTTCATCTTTCTTCTCTTGCCAACCTGGGCGGAGAAACCCGTCTTGATGGCCGTGACACTGCGTCGGGATCCGCAGTTGTTGCAAGTGATGAAGTATAGTCGGTTCTCGCCCTTGCTGAGCTCGGTATCGGGCGACTTGCACGTCTTGCACGTCACGTATTCGACTGCACGTATTCGTGTCAGTGATCATGTCTCCGGGGAAGCGCTGGTGTGGAGACTTACTGATGTATTTCCTGACGACATTTTCAATCTGTTTTTGCTGGAACCGACCCTTGATGACTAGTCTCCTACTTCCGTCAACGGAGCCGTTTGTTCCCAGCTCGGCAAACAGGTAAGCCGTAACGTGCTCGTCTGTACGCTTCATGCGCTTGCAAATGTCGGCAATGTTGGCAAATACGGTCTTCCGGTTGCCTTCGCGCATGCACTGCGGCGGCGGGATCTTGTAGCTCCTTGTACCACTGAGGGCATGGTCGGGGTTCTTCTGCGACAGCTGGCTGAAGAAGCGCTGGAGCAGGAGGCTGTAGCCGATGGCCTTTGTCTCGTCGTGAGCCCAGATGCCGGTGCCAGAGTCCATGTCGCCCTGCTCCTCGACCTCGGGATCTGCGCCATCGTCGGCATCCTTGACCTCGAGCTGCTTGAGCTTCGCCGTGAAGTCGTCATCCTCGCCGGCGTCCTTGGCCTTCTTCTTCTTTTTCTTCTTCATGGTCAGGTCGAGGCCGCCGTCATCGACGGGAGCGGCGCCGTCCTCGGCGCCCTCGGCACCCTCAGCCGCCTTCTTCTTCTTCTTTTTCTTCAGGAGAGAGAGGTCGAGGCCGCCATCCTCGGGAGGGGGGGCGTCGTCAGTGGCGGCTTGAGGGGAGGCATCAGTAAAGGCTCCGAGGGCAGCAGACAACGGCGGCGTACGAGCAGAGTGGGACTGGGCCGTGTCCTTGGGCTCTTCGGTGGCGTTGACCATGGTGACGGAGCCGTCGGAGGCGACGATTACTTGTGCCTTTTTGAAGGTGACTGATTTTCGAGGCTTTCGCTGAACGTGTTCCTGCGGGGAAAAGAAAAAGAGAAGCGTTAGCAAGACCGTGGATGCAGGAGGAGGTATCAAGGAAGGACGGCAAGTGGGAAAACGGTTCGTACCGACGGAAAGGGGGGGGAAGGGGATAGAGGGACAGAGGATGGGGAGCTGGGGTGAGTCAAGAAGGCGACTGAGGCGAAAAAGATTGGTTGCCTTCGCGCGAGGGAGCTCTGGGATGGTGGTGGTTGGACGGAACAATGGACGGGCCAGGGCGGGGCAAGGTACAAAGTACAGTGAGGCGGCTTACCTCATCCTGCCGGCAACCCGAGCCGGATTGTGTAGAAGGGCTGTCTGTTGTACAGTGGGCGATGGAAAGGTGCAACAGAGTGCAAGGGGAAAAGGGAGATGAGGAAAAGAAGAGATTCAAGACTCACTTGGTTGTCCATGGCTGTATGCAGTCCGAAGTTAAAAGTAGGTGTGCTTGTGTACCTGTTGTCTCCTTTGGATGGGTTGAGAGAGCGGAGGGTGCGGGCGTGCGTCTGTAGCGACAAGGTGGTGGCAGTCAACAGGGTAACCAAGCGGCCTCTCCTTACCAGCCCGCGTCGCTGCTAGCCCGGAACGGTCTGCGTCGACGTCGGTTGCTCGAGCAAGGAAAAGAGGGGATGCCTGCGGCCTTTTGGAATTTCTTTGTTGGTGAGGAAAGGGTTGTGCACAGTAGTCGCACACAGTCCAGAGCGAGTGACGAGGTGGACAACACGTCATGACACAGCGCTTGCACGTGATGCAATGACTCGTTTCCGGGTCAAGCACGTGATGATAAGCCTCTGGGCCCTCCGAATCGGTCATCAGCTCTCCGGCCGTTGAGACGACGGACGACGAGCTCCAGCCATCACCCGTCCGCGACTCCATGAGCACCCCTACGCCGCCCCGCCAGGCGTACTCGTGCAGGCGACTCCCTTGACGCAGCCCTCGCTCCGCTGGAACTCAAACCGCCCGACGCTTGAAGCTCCTCCTCAAACCACGCTCTTCACCCGTCTTCTCGGTCCTTCCAGTTTCCGATAGCGCCGACGACCCTTCGAACCCTCGCCTCCCTTACGCGGGACTGGTATCAAGCCGTCAACATCACAATGGCGGCCGCCGAATCCCTCATCGACCTCCACGACACGTCACTGTCCGACGACAAGGACGACGTCGACTCCCTGCCTTCCCTGTCAACAAGCGACATCTACTCCGATGCCGACTCCGAGGCCCAGGCCGAGTGGGAACGGAGCTTGGAGCAGCTCCAGCTCGTCCTCACCATGATGGTTGTGCCGTGGGTGGGCAAGTACTTTGGGCGCAAGTTTGCCTTTTGGAGTAAGACGGCCCTCTGTCCCCTTTCTTTGTGTCGTTAGCATGCGTCATGGTTGGCTGACGGCCTCGTTAACGCTGCTGCCAGGCTGGGCTCGGTATCTGGAATGGATGCACAACGTCGAGGTGCAGTGGACAAACAAGAAGACGTTCAAGGCCGCGGGTGTCGTAGAGACGGCCGCAACGCTGTAGGCGCACACCTCGACTCATACGTGCTCTGTTTGGCATGGGAATGCAACACCCACGACGAATTGAGGCAAGGAAACCAAGATAATTTGCGGGCTCTTGTCGTGCGTGCGAACACACAGTTCCCCGACGACCATGGCCCTGAAATAGAGGACAAGTGCAACGTTGAGAAGGGGGTTGTGGGGTCTCACAGCTGCCACAAGCTTCAGGGGACTCTTATGCTACCGACACGTACGTCGCCGAATTTACAATGGGCGGCGAGCGATAGACCTTTCTCTGTAGACCGCGTCATGGGCGGACAACATATGCAGTGCACGTTATTGGACAAGTAATAATATATACGGAGTTTGCCTACATGCATTTAGTTTGTCTGAATCATGCTCGGGAGCATCACTGTAGTGTAATCATAGACTCTTGCGTATGCACAAATGACGGAATTACCCAATATTTCCACCAACACGACCCAGCCGTGACTATCCACGCTCCAAAGACAACTCCTGCATTACATCTTCTTTCAGTTCGCCCTTGTGGCGTAGGGGCAACCTCTCGTCTAGGCGCTGACTTGAGACATGTTGGGCCTCGAGGAGCGCACGGAGCCGGTGAGGCCGCCGCCGCGGGAGTCCTTGAAGGTGAAGAAGAGGCCGGCGGCGAGGGAGATGAAGAGAAACCACATGAAGACAGTGCTGGCCTGGATCTCGCGGCAGCGCTTTTCGTCGTCGGCGGAGCCAAAGGCGATCCAGCTCGAGGCAAAGTGCCTGGCGCCAATGTTTGCGCAGTTGACGGCGCGCAGCTTGGCGGAGAGGACAATGGCGTCGATAAGGGTGAAGAGGACGGCGAAGGCGTCGAGGGGCAGCATGACGATGGGGCTGCCGAGAGCGGAGACGAAGGAGGCGGCGATGGCGTAGATGCAGACGATCCACGAGACAACGGCGACGAACATTGTGAAATTTACGGCGGCCATGGCGGAGCCGGCGGCGTCGATGTTTGAGGCGATGACGTTGCCGATGAGGGCGGTGATGAGCAGGGTCCAGAGGAGGGCGGTGGCCCGGATGATGAGGTTGATCATGTTGGGCATGGCGAGGGCGTGGTGTTGCGCCAGGGAGAGGGCTTAATTGCGATTGCCAATGCGATTGCAAGTCGCGTGACGCTGGAGTCGGTGTCGCCGAAAGCGCAGTCGGCCGATGTGGTTTGGGGTGATGCTGGCCTCTTGTTCTGTGATGTACTACTGTATGTGTTGTTGTTGATTTTGGCGCTGCGTTGCGCGGCAGCGATACCCTGTGGTGGGATGGATGGATGGCGGCGGTGCGACGCAGTCGAAACAGAAGCTGCTGCTCGGGTGACGAGTCTCCTTCTTTGTGCAAGGCGCGCGCGCAGAATGATTGAAGAGCAGAAGAATGATGGTGAAGCTGGTGGTAATGGAGGAGGAAGAGGAGAAGAAGGAAGAGGAGAAGAAGGAAGAGGAGAAGAAGGAAGAGGGGGAGGAGGAGGAGGAGCACAGGAAGGACAAGAATGAGAGACGACGGCGCGTGTTAGTGGTCGGCAACGAGTATTTTAACGGAAGGGTCGATGATGCTGCTGAGCGCCGGAGCGATCGGCAACGCTGGAGCTACCGTGCTTTTTAGCTGCTACTGGTTCTCAAATACTACTAACTTATCCACTGTACTGTAGCTTGTATAGGCGGCCTGCTATGACCTCACAGCAGCCCGTCAAAGCCCAGTCTCGAGGTCGTTACATCTCCTTTTCTTCTTTGCGCACAAGATATGCACGTCTTTCCCAAGCGATATCCTCCAGTCGCTGCTACCGCCGCACCTTGCCGGCGTCGGGTTTCAATAGTCGCTGTTTCGCCTGCCGCCCAGGCCGGCGCCTAATAGCTGCCTTGCATCATTGCTTCGTGCACCGTCATCTCTGCAAGAACACGCCCTGTCCAGTCCATTGCTGCGACGCATACGGCGTTCAAACACGCTCCAGCTGCGGCGAAACGCCCGCGAGCGACCCAATCGTCAACGGTCGGACGTGAACCACCCAAGTCCCGGGGCTTTCCATTCCTCCGGCGCAGTGTGCACGAGACGGTGGTATGGGCACATGCTCGTGCGCACACAAAGCACACGGCGTGGGAGGGATGGCGTCACTGGGGGCTGCGGCCGTACAGAGAGGGACGACGAATGGGTGTGGTGGGTGCCCGGCACCTCCGGAACCGCCCGGTTGGCCTCGTCGTCATCACCATCATCGGCGTTGGTGCGAGGCCCACGCATGCGCCACAGGGAGCTTGTAAGCGAGGGAAAAAGGGAAGTGCTTGCCATGTTGCTGCTGCATGGGCATGGGCGAGCCAACCAGCCCACGCCGACTTGGCCGACGCCGAACTTGTTGGTGGCCATGCCGGCGCGCGCTTGTTGGGTCTTGTGTGCATTTCTTACTTTTAATTCTCTATTCTCCGTGGCTTTGGCATGGAATGGAGAATACAAGCGCCCTTCATGTGCCGCCCGCAACCATGGTCGAAAGAAGAGCTGGTTCCTGTGAGATATCCGGAGCAGGCGCACGTCGCCGGCCCGTCCATGCCGATGGACCCACCAAACCCTCCGTCCCCGCGCCCGGTTCGAACTGCTTCTCGGCCGGATCAGCGCCCACCATAGACGGCCTCCGGGCCGCTCCCCCACGCCGCTCTGCCTCCCCGTACCGCCCACTATGACGACAAGGCTCTCATGAACACCCACACTTGGCCTGGAGTCATGAGTTCCCAACGGATACCGCCAGCCGGGAACCCGGCCGTTTCAGCCCTGGCGAAAATATACTTTTCTCGCATCCTTCCCTTTACCACTTTGCGCGCCGGGGACCTGTACCTGCCAGTCTGTACGGCCGGCGAGTGGGAGCAACAGACTTTGTCATTCAAGTTCGCAAGCCTCGCACCATTTTCGGCAGTTGGCCATCCCCCATTCCTGCGGTGAAGCTTAACCCTCTGTCACGCGCGGCCGCTCTCATACGCACCGTCTCTCCCACTTCCCGTTTTACTGCTTCCCCTTCTCCGTGTGTCTGTCGCTTGATCGGGCAATTTGTCGGCGGCCACGGCGTCCCACAGACACAGACATTGCCAAAAGTTATCGTGAACCGGCTGGGCCAACCGGCATCATTCTACTGTGGTGCAGTGCCTGCTTCAACCTTACCACAGGCTCACTCCCCGTGTTGTTTCAGCAGCGGCAGGGAGTGTAGGCCGTGCCTATCCGACCAAACTCTCTCGCAAGCACCTGTAAACTACCACCATGGCTCTTCCGCCGTGTGCTCAGCTCACATGCTCTTGTCTGGTCGGGTCAGCGCGGCTAATGCAGGCCCTCGTTCGTCCAGCACGTGGGCGGCTCCCTCTGTCTCTCCCAGATCTGGGGAATCCCGGGAACACGTATGGAGGGCCAGCTCTAAAAAATTTGGGTCATCTCGTCATCCTTTCCCTCTTCCCCTTTTCATCGTCTTGGCGTCTTTAGTCTCTCCCAGCTGACTCGTGCTCGGTGCTGCGAGTTTTGCAGTCCGGAATCCGATGTAAGAAGCGAGGCAGATTTCGCCATCTCCTTGGCTGGAAACGCCGGCGCCAGCTGTTGACGCGAATGCCGCCGGACTTTTACGCCGTTTGTAATCCTCCATGTCTCACGGTGAAGCGGACGAGGCTAGGGGAGGAGATCGGGCGGGAGAGCGAGAATCCAGTCATCCTCCACTATGGTAAGGACCAGCGATTTTGGACTGGTTGGAGCCTCCCGCAAAGCCTTCCCGAAAATGGTGATACCAGCACTCCGTCGCCAGGCTCGACTCAAACCTTGAACGCATCGAGATTCGGCCATGGCGCCCAGAGCAGCCTGTCGCATAAACTCTTCAAACTCTGATTCCCAAGACAGCTCGACTGGGTTCCCTAGTGCCTCGCTGCCGCTCACAATACCATGGATCATCCTGTCCTCGTCGGGCTCGATCGCCTCACGCCCCCTCCCTCAGAGCCCTGTTCATATTCTTGTTTTTGGATAGGTCTGCCCCCCTTCCTCCCTTATAGGCGGAACCTTCCCGCGATGATGTCCTCTTCCAAACAAGGGCTATCCCGACCCTCCGGCTTCGCACCCTGCGCTAACTCGTTTCTCTCTCCCTCTTGCCACCCCCACATAACCTTATTCTTCAATGGAAAGGGGGTGTGGGAGGCGGCTATCTATCTTGTTCCGTCGCAACACTTTCTAGAAGGCTGCCTTGTTCGCTTCCCCGTGGCCGCTTGTACGAAAGAAGCAATGACAAGCACGTCCACGTTGATCAATGCCGTGTCGCGTACGAAGTATCCGTGTGGGCGTACACGTACGAAACGGGCAGACTGCGAGACGCATGAACTGGAGACACGCAGCCGAGCCTGGGCTTCTTACAAGGACTACTTATCACGGCACTTGTTTCCGAGCTGAAAAGCGCAACCAGAAGGCGCAGCCAAACTCAAACAGGCAGCGTTCTAACCACCGTAAGGGCGTGGATCCGAAGCTCTGGATCAGGGGGCCGGCCTCGTGGCCCCTTCTGCCGACGATGGCCTGGCTTACAAACCATAAAAGCATCCTTGGCATTTCCCTTTCGAGACAAGCGAGGAATAACAAAACACACGAGACCCAACATCACACCACATTGATCCAGCATGAAAAGTAAAACCCGATATTGAAAAAGACAGGCAAAGTTTAAAAAGTCTCTCCCAGGGACTGCACCCAGGACGTCCATGGCCCCATGGCCCCTGCAGCAAAACAGTCCGGGGAGCTCCCTGTCCGTGCCGGGCCCGCGACTGCTCTGTGCCGTTAACGACACTATTGTCCCTACACGAACACAGCGCGGCAGGGGCGCATAGACACAACCGGAGAGTTCGAGCCAATGAGTTGTTATGTTGTTATCGTCGTGAGCTATGCAGCTAGGTTGTCGCAAAACGAGATAGGCTCGTATTGCACGCCGTCCTGAACTCCGTTCAAGTCCGAACCTCCCCGACTCACCTCCTCGTCGACGGGGCCACCCGGCGCCATCCCCGGTCCGTTACTTACCGACCGAACAATACCTCGATGCATTAAACACTACCCCACAAAACCCCTTCACCATCGTTGATACCCTGTTTCATGACTTCGAGGTCTGGTATGACTTGCGTGTCCTCGATAATCTGACTCATCACCTGATGCGCTGCTTCGTCGGGATCGTTACTTTATCTTCTGATTCTGCGGCTATTTCTGTCTTGTCACCGGGATCGTCGTCTGAATCGTCGTATGCTCGTCGCCTGGCTTGTCCCCTGGAGGTTTTCCTTCGGGCTGTATCTTTGGCTTCATCCTCTTCCACGTAGGCTCGGCCTTTGACTTTGAACCACTCCATCCTCTAGTTTTTCCTCTCGGGCTTCTGCATGGGCGACTCATCCTCTGGTTCATCGTCGAACATCGGCTTGGGCTTCTTCTTCTTGGGCTTCTTCCAGTTCCCTGAAGACTTGACCTCTTTGATCGGGGGCCATGCAGGGGCCGGTTCGAGGCCGAAGTGCTTTGCCGAGAAGCTGGCCGATCCGCCCCGGAGCCCATCGGCCATGACGGGCGCGTACTGGTCGCTGTAGTCCTCGACGACGAAGCGCGAGCTGCCGCTGCCACGTTCGGGCAGGTCCACGTCGGGCTTGTAGACGAATTGTTTGTCCTGCACGACCGTCTCGTTGACAACGCTCACGTTGTGCTTGTACAGCACCGGGTTCCCGTGGAACTCAAGCCCCTCGCCATCTGTGAAGCCACGGCCGCCCAAGGCGTACTCCTGGTCCAGGTTGGCGAAGCCGCCGCTGCTATCGCCGTCGTTGCGCTGGTAGTAAAAGGCCCGGCCGTGGCGCGTCGTCAGCAGCTCGACCCCACGCTTCTGTTCGTGCATCTTGTACATGAAGGGCTCAAGCCCAGTGGGGAAGGCCGACTCGCCGAGGATTGTGTGCGCCACCCCCTGGGTGAGGTTCGCGTCGAGCGTCATGCTATATGGGCCGCTGCGGGGCCTTCTGGTCAGATAGGACGTCAACACCGGGTAACGGTAGTTGCGCTGGTAGAGAGGGATGCGATCGACGTCGGTGCTGTCTGTACCGCCGTACGAGGCATTGATCCTCTGGTAGTCGCCGCCACCGCCGACGTAGCCTGCGTTGTCCATGAAGAAGAGCTGGCGCCATTCGGACAAGACCCTGACGTTGTCGATGCGAACGTTTCCCCTGGCGTAGAAGCTGCGGTTGGCGGACTGGCGGTATCTGATGCGCTTGTCGGGCTCGGTGCTGAGATAGAGATTGTATGAGGGCGTCGAGACATTGACGCGAGGCAGCTCGCCGCCCGACACGGAGCCGGGTCTGCTGAGCCAGACAAAGACCTTGGCGGAGAGGACCCAGTTCGAGGGCGCACGGGTGTTGTGCTCGGCGACAACCTCGAGGCTGATGTTGTGAGGCTTGCCGTCGCAGATGAGGCCCAGCCAGGGGGTGATATCGACTTCATGCTCGCCAAGGTCGAAGGCTTGGAGGCCGACGAGCGGGCGGTGCAGGGGCGGCGCAATGCCGCCGGTGAAGATGACGGGGAAAGGCCAGGTTAGGCCGACCAGCTTGTCGTCGATGCGGACGCGGACTTCGCGGAAGCTGCCAAGGCCCGGAAGGCTGACGTCTGCCAAGTCGTCGGCGACCTGCTGGGGCACGTTGGACCACCAAAACTCCTCGGCGGCCTGGCCGGTGGCGGCGACGGACAAGACGGCGCGGCGGATGTTGCGCGGCATCTCGACCTGGTCCTCGGCCCGTTCTTCCGGGTAGACCCAGGCGCTGCCGAGATCATGCTGGCTCTTGCGAGCCGAGACGGGGATGACGCGGTCGGCGGGGGGGCCGCCGGGCCCGGGGAGGTCGATCTCGTTGAAGAAGGTGGCGGTGATGGTGACGTTGTAGGAGCCCGTGTAGCGCTCGTTGACGAGGTTGCCGAGGTCGAAGATGATGCTCTGAGGCTCCTTCCACAGCGAGACGTAGGCGGTCATGTCCTTGATATGGGTCCAGACGATGCCCGGGTGCTGCTTCGGCTCGGCCGTCGAGGTGCGCCAGACCTCGACGTCGCCAGCCCATAGGGTGGCCAGGCGGTCATATTGCCGGCCCTCGGAGACGACGGTCAAGTTGAAGATGACTCGGCCAAACTTGCAGTCCGGGGGTGTGTATGTTCCTGTCGAGGCCGGCCCACGTCAGATTTTCTCTGTTCCACCGCGGACTTTGATCCAGGACGAGTCCATGATGATGGCTCGACTTATACGCATTGCGAGTCATGAGAGGCAGCGCTCACCGACATAGGGTTTGCCGTAGCTGTTGGCAAAGACGTGCTCGACGAGGCGCACCAGACAAGAGCGGTATTGCTTGGGCGGGCGGCCCACCGTCTGGTCGCCAACGAGGAGACCGTCGGGTCCCAGGACCGGGCTCGTCACCTGGAAACACCGGAGCGGCTCGGCGCCGGAGCCCGCCGCGCGCAGCTCCAGTGGAGCCTGGACGCTCCGCACCAGCTCCCGCATCCTGGCCGGGCCCGACATGGCCGCCGTGGCCAGCGGGAAGGCGAGCCACCACCACAGGCGCGTCATTGCTGGGTCCCGACGTCGTTGGGGGCGCGGAAATGAAGGTTGTTCCACTAGGAAGAGGTTGGGGAGGAGGCTGTCTCGAAGAGGGGAGCGTGGTCCGTCTGCCTCGAGAGCCCAAGGCTCAACTTTCGCGTATCTGGGACTGTGGGGGAGAGGGGAGGGGAGGACCAGGGTTTTAAAAGAAGCAAAGACGGTGCACGACGGCGGTGGAAGAGACACAAGGGAGGACTCTTGACGCCGGCTGGGAATATGCCAGCACGCGACGCAGGCGGGATATGTGGCGCCACGCGTGAGTTTGCTTGCCCAAAAGCCACAAATGAAGGGGTAATTAATTGCAGAAACACTTTTTTCCCGGCTCGCGATGAGTCGGTTGCTCCTCGGAGCTTGTCATGGCCGCTCGACGCTTCCTTGGCCTGGACCAGAAGGATGCATAAAGAAGCGTAGGCCGATGCATGACGGACCTCCTGCACTGTCGATGCGACGACGGGAGGGATGCAAACCGCAAATGGGTAGCGCATTCGATGGTGGCCGGGCCGGTCCGGTCCAAGCCGCCACTTTACTGTATACACATGGAGCAGAGAGCATGGGAATGGGGACGAGGCCTGACCGGCGCAATCCAAAGGTTCCAAAGAGGGAGCATTTTGCTTATCGCTCAGACATGGTCATGTTGCAGTGCAGAGGTGGATGTGATGGACTGGTGGGCATAGATGGATACCTTGATTGACTGTACAGACAGAATACGAACGAGCCGTCACGAACAAGGAGCATGGAGGATAGAGGGAGCGGATAAAATAGCCATCGTTGGATTGTGGCGACGGAGAATATAGTTTGAGGCATATTGATACACGTGTACAGGACCATGAGCAAGACAGAGAATGCAATAAATGATAAATGCTTTTTAAAAGAAGAAGAAGAAGAAAATATAAAAAAAGGAGACGAGGAGAAGAGGAGAAGAGGAGAAGAGGAGAAAAGGAGAACCCCAAAAACACCCTGGCATGCGTCGTCATGAAAATCCGACCGTCCGATGCTCATTTCTCATCATCGTTCGTGTTCCAGGCTTGGATTAATGCGATTTGATTAAAGGATAGAGTATGAGGCGAATGGACCAGACGCTGACCCATGAACCCGGGCTCAGGCCCTCGAGGGGTGGTGGGAGTCCCACGCGTCGACGAGGTTGTTGGCCAAGCGATGGTGACGCTCCATCTGTTGGCGATTTGGTGGCCGGACAGGTGGCCGGACAGGCGGCCGAAGCCCCTGTGGCCCCCCTGTAAGCCCCTGTAGCGCCCCCTGTAGCGCCCCCTCCACTCCACCGTGCGAGTGTGGTGGGCGGGACGCCATGCGCCAGCCTCCCAAACGCCGACGACGCGAGCCCCCACTTAGACGAGCTCCGCCATGGTGATGGGAAAGGAGAGGAGAATTTTTCCCTTCTTTTTCACGCCCTTTCCTGTTGGCATCCTCGAGGTGGCTCGGGTGAGTGAGCAATGCGTGTCGTGTCGTTGGTCCGGCTTGTTGAGGCCGGTCATGGGCTCCTCGAGCGGCGCCCCTATGCAGGCATCCATGCCATGCATGCCATGCACGGCGCTGCTGCTGCACCCGTGTCAACAGCCGAGCGCTGCGAGATTTCTCTCGAGCCATCGGATGGGGCGCCCCGGTCGAGGTGATGCCAAACCAGCGACGAGAAAACGTTGCTGCTGCCGCCGCATCCACAACGGACATGTCCGGCAAACTCTCTCTCTCTTCCGCTCCAGGCATGAAACCAAGGAACCTGGCCAAATGTCGTGGCGCAGTGTGCAGACGAGGAACCCGTCAGTTCTTGGCATGGAACGTGGCAGTCGTTGCTGGCCCGCCGTGGACACAGGATGCTTGCTCCGCCTCGGCCGGGGTCATCCCTGTCTTTGCTGTCCGTCGTGTTTCTCCGAAGGAGTGTGTGTAGTTGGGTTGGTTCCCCAGATGCGCACATGTCCTCCGGGTGTGAGGCGTGCGCATCTTCGACTTCCGTGTTTCGTGTATATGCGAGTCTGAGATGTTGAGAGGCGACCGTGTGCCGCTCCAACCCGTCTCCTCGTCGGCCCGATATGTCCTCGAGTCCCCGCCGTCGACGACGGGAGCATTACGCATGAGCGTTGTCCCAGTATCGCTTCCGCGCGGCAACGGCCACCATGTCTCCCGTGAACCGGTGCTGGAAGAAGTTGAAGACGGCAAACTCATCCCTCGTCATGACGTACGACTCGGGCTGGGCCTGGACCTTGCCCCACGCGTGGGCGAGCGCACGCTCGAGGATCTTGCTGACCGTCGGGTCCGAGGCGCCGTCGGGGCCCTCCCGTGCAATCTCGAGAGCCTGCGCCACTGCCGCATCCTGGGGGCTCTTGGACGGCGGCGGACTCGAGCTGCCCAGCACGGGGCGGCTGAGGACGGGAGAGACGGACACCCGGTGAGGCATCGTGTGCGTGGGTGTGTTACTGTGGATGAAAGGGGAAGCAGCAGAGAAGGGGGACGGTATGGCCTGGCGGCGGTGGTGGTGGTGGTGGTGCTGGATCTCCTGAGGGTGAATAGACAACATGCTCGGAGGAGAGGCGGCGAGACGCTGGGTGTATATATGTGTTCTAGATGTCCAGGGCAGACGACGGCCCTTGTGGGACGGACGGATAACCGGTGTGTCGGGGAGGGGAGGTTGGCCGGGGGGGGTGGGTGGGACGGGGGTTAGTTTGGGAATAGTACAAAGCGTTCTCTCCGTTACAATGCAAGGTGATGTCGTCTGTCTATGTGTAAATGTGTGTATGGACAGACAGATGGACCAAGGAGGGGGGTGGTTGATGGGATGTCCCCGGGCGTGGGCAAGGGGGGCGGATAGCGGCGGGTGACAATGCAGGAGACTTTTGACGTAGCAACGCAGAATGTACTCCGTAGGGAGGGTCAGTTGCAGATCAACGTCTCTGACAAGCCGTCTCGCTTTTTCTTCTTCCTGCCTTGATCGACTTTGCAGGGCAGCCTTGACCGTTTGGCCGGACGGATGGGTTGGACCAGAGCGCGGGCCGGCGGGAGTGTGTACCGTCGTGAGACCGACCGGGGGGTGCAGCAGAGGAGGGTCGCAGTGGGGAGACGTGGGAGATATGCAGCGCGACTGGTCGACAAGAGGCGAACTGTGGCCGTCGAGGAAGAAGCGGTATGAAAGCTGAGCTGCAAGGCGTGAGACGGCGTCTGTACGCTATGGGTGTTTTGTGCGAGCGCGCGGGTGGTGTGAGTGCGTGTATGAAGAAGCGACCAGTAAGATATAGATGTAGATATGTTTCGTGACACCCTATGTACGTCGTTCAAGAGGCCGCGTCGTGGACAAGACGCCAGGCTGGCTGGACAAGGGGGTGTGCAGCTTTGACCGACGCGGGATATGTATGTAAGTACGGCAGGATGTATGAATGCACGAATAAGTATGGATGCTCTCTGTACGAATGATACACAGGCGACAAGCGTAGTGTGAGAGGGATTCAGGCGGCGAGGGTCGGATATCGATGATGGAGATGGGGGAACAGGAGCGCAAAGGGATGCGAGCACTCTACATTTATAAAATTACATCGCATCATGACACAAGCGCGCCGCAGCCGACCAAGTCTATTGTCCAAGGGCGGCAAGTCCAAGAAGCCTCGGCGATCCTCTGACAGAGTTCGAGCAGCAATGATTAGGCGAGGGAGAAGAAGGGGGGGGGGTGGCTCACGCATACTTCGTCAGTCGCATCCGCACTGCGCTCACGCCTCTCCCTCTCTCCACCTTTCTCAAGATCTCTCACTTTCTTCCTTATGAGCGCCACGATCAGGCGAGCTGCGTACACTTGTACATACGAAAATAGGCTCTGCCAAGGCTCTCCCCCCCCCCCCCCCTGTCCTGCCTTTGCTCCTTCGGGGAACCATCGTGGCTTTCTCTGGAGGTGGCGCCGGGGAGCAAGCTCGTTTCTACTAAGTTGAACCTTGACTCGAGAAAACAGTTGGTTGGCCCGTCTGACAATGCCCGGGCCATCTCGCAGCCACGTACTGACTGTATTGTATGCATGCTCACACTCGGTAAGCATCTTTCCACAACCTGCCTGCCGTCCTTCATACACGTGTAAGCGCCCATTCACAAGCAAAAGGACTTCTCTCGCTATCCCGGATCCGCATCGTGGGGCAGAGAGAGGATGCTGGCTCTGGGGGAATGGATGGAGCCGGGCGTGGACACAGCCCAGGGGTGTGTGCCCTTTGTCTCTCTTCCCCACCTGGACTTATTTTCTTCTTATTCCCATGCTTTTCCCTTCCTCTTTTCGCCCGTGCTATTTTCTCGGGCCCACCCCCCATCGCGGACCGGCATGGTAACGTGATTCCGGGCGCCCGGCGGCGGCGGCGGCAACGGCAAGGTGGGAGGAAACAACGGGGGCGAGCAGGCGAGGAGAAAGGTGGGTGCGTGCGAGGGACTTTGGCGGTGGAGAGGAGGGCGAGCAAGGTAGAGGAGAGACGACGAGAAAGTCAAAAGAGGCCTTTGATTACTCGACGATACTTTATACTAAGAAGGAAGCCACAAAGTAATCGCACCCACGGTAGCATCTCTGCGACTGACGGCGTTCACTGCACCGCACGCTTGCGACGCTGCGCTGTGCTGCATCATACCATCATATGCCTATGCCTACGAGAGAGTCTGACGCTTGATGCCAAGAAAGAAGCCTTCCGCGGCGCCGCCTCAGTCTCAGCTGCCTGCCTGCTTGCCGGGTCTCTCTTCTGGTTAGATGCGCGTCGCAGATGCCCTCCCTGCTCGACATGGCGGCAGCTTTTCCTTTTGCCTAGTGTCAAGGAACACGTAATATCCGTGAAGTCTGTTTGCCGCTGAACAGAGGAGACAGAGGGCGGAGGGAGCGCTTACCTCGGCCGGGGTCTCGGATGGTTGATAGGAAAAGCCAAAACAAAAGTGAACCTCCGGGGGGAAAAGGTTAACGATATTAATAATGGTAGAGCAGGGCAAAAGTCCGGCGCCAACACGGCGAAATCAAGGTTTGGGGTCGCCCGTTTGGTCGCGATTCGCAAAATGTCTGTCCGCCGGCACGGGTTTGGGTGGCGTCACGCGCCGGTTTTCCGCCCACCTGCCCGTACGGTACCCTAACGACTGATGATGGGCGTCTAGCCAACCGTGGGCAAGGTAGCAAGCCGGTCTGGCAGGATGCTCCGGGCTGGGTGGGATACCTTGGGCTAGAGGGTCCTCAGTTGCTAGCCCCAGGCAGGGCTCGTGGATGGCCATGCCCAGGTGCGTTAGGTCCTCCGTCGATTATCAAAGGAACCTTCCAAGTGGTAACGTAGCCAGTCCAGTCACTGTCACAGGCGGCCGGAGCCCTCTGGAGCCGGCAACGCATATCTAGGCTATCGACAGCTCGCCGGTGCGATTGGCGTGCCCGCTACGCACCGGACGAGCCCGCGTAAACTCTCTTTTCTTGCTCTTTTTTTACTCCTCCTCCATCGTGTTTCGGTGCTCACCAGCTCGCCCGGTAGCCGCGTGCGCATCCGGGGGCACGTTGGATGCTACCTTGGTTGCACCATGAATGTATAAGTGAACAAATAGCCTGCTCCGGCCGACGCCCGCCCCCGCGTGGTCGTCCATAGCCCCGGCCGGAGCCTCGCGAGATCGTTTCTGACCGCATGTGTAATCCACCTGCAGGCCGCCGAGAGGCCGTATCGCCGAGCGGGCGGATAGGCGAGCACGTCTCAGCTGTGCCCGACGGACGGATGCAGCGTGCATGGCATGCGCGCAAAGGACCAACGTCTACCCACCGGCCTGCTCCCTCGAAAGAAGGAAACAAAAAGACACTGTCGTCATCCGCATCGTGGCTTACGGCTTATTGACACAACTAACAGCTCTAAGAAGGCCCCCCGTCGCATGGAAAGGGGAGGGGGTGGAGGGGTGCAAGGGGGTGTCAGAAGTTAGAGACGGCCAAGCAAGTCGGAACCGAGAAAGGAAACAAGAAAAATTAAAGTTGTTGGAGAGAGAGAGGGGGGGGGAGAAGAGAGGGGGGGGATACTGTAGACAGAGACGACGAGGCCCAGAAAAAGCATGGCAGCAATCACCAATCGTATCGCATTGCCTTGTCGTTCCCCCCCGTTCCTCCTATTCGGGAGGTGGCCCGGCGGTGCGCGAGCCCGGTGCGGCTCTCTCGCGGTTCAACGCCCCACGCCAGAGTTTGGGACCACCTTGGGCAGGGAAGAGAGCATGATGCGCGGGAGATTGGCACCTGGTTGGGTGCGAGTGGCTGGGTGGCTGTTGGCGATGCATCGGTTATCCAGCTAACATTGAACCTTCGAGCGACTACTTCGTACATATTGCGTTGCACTCTGTCGTTCGTGATGAGACGTCCTAGCTGCTGTCCGGCCGGGGATTCCGTCACCAGTCGTCGTTTATGGTCGACGGCTTCCTTCGCCCACCGGTCCAAGTGAGTCGTAGACCAAAGTGCCCCCGAGACCACAAACAACCGTCTGAGCTTGTCTGCTGCAAAAGAAGGACAAGAGGCGAGAGTGGATGGCGCTTTCCTAAGCCGGTATCCTGAATGGCATGAATGAACAGTGTTTGCTTCAAAAGTATACTCGGGGAAAGCGTAAAAGACGAGACAAGCTCAGCGGCGGCAAACTCTGCTAGCGATTAAGCAAGCAACAAACGGCGACGCCCATGAATCAATCAATGGGAACCGTGCGTGCACCGGACGTCGGACTTGTCACCTTCAGCCTCGCCCGTTTGTCCGCAGCGTCAGTGCGATTCATGTCAGTCAAAGCGAGGAGCAGTCGTCTGGACTCCCGGCTGTTACCATTGGCGTGCACTGTCCTGCCAACGTGTGAATACCTCCATGTCTTAAGTCAAGCTACCCTCCATCATCTTGCACATCTCCCGAGAAGCAATCTCACGATGGTCAGCCCGCGACTCGCATGTTCACCGCAGCCTCGGCCTTGCCCATTTGCGTCGTCAGCCTTCTCGTTTCCCTCCCCTCCCCTCATCCTTCAACCCCTCGACGCTGCACCTCCAAGGCCACGGCACGTTGCCCTGCCGCCACTCCCCCTCACCCATCGGCACGATACACCCCTACCAAGCAGCCAGTCTACGAATCCAATGCTCGTGCGAGCCTGCGACCCGTGATTGGCCTCCCCCGCGCCATCCCCCCCCTTTCCACGTCCCCGCGCTTCCAACGTAGCCTCCCACGTGGATATCGAACCTTTCATCAACCAGGACAACTGACAAAGGTACACTACACCACCCCCGTCCTTTCCGTAACCCTCGTGCTTGTCCTTTTGGACATGCCTGTACGGTAGCGTTCATGCCGAAAGACAAACGACCTTTTCGGGGAACCAATACCGAATGGGGGGCCGGTTGCTGCACCACCCGTAAAGTCTAAATGCTATTTCCGCGCGCCATTGCGCTGCGAATGCTCCAGGCCCTGGAGTACCAGGTTGGGCAAAGATAAGAGAGTCGAAGAGGGAGAATGGTTGGCAAATATGTACACAAAGTCTGGTTGGGCGCCGAGACACACAAGGTTCAACTGTGGTTTGCCCAACGATCTGTTGCCATCTTGTTTGTTATCTGGCGGGCAGTCTTTGAGATTTTCTCGGACCGATAACTAAACTTACAGCTTACCTTCCTGCCATTCTGCTACCGAGTCAAAAGGGTTGAACCTGGCAGTACATACAATTGAAGGTTGAGCTACGAGTCAACTCAGTTCTTGGCCGAGACCTTTGGACGCGAAAATCAAGTTCGCAAACAAGCCTTGCGCCTCAAGGCGATGTTGCCTATCCGGGAACGTGTTGTCGTGTTATTATTAGAACGGGCCCATGAGATCCACATGCCTTCTAGCGCAAGACGTGTTCACTTCCATGGCTCTGCCTCGAGAAATGACACGGGAAGATCATTGTCCAATCGCAGAGTCCGCACGGCACAAGACGTTTGCTCAGCTCACGTCTCGAATAATAGGTCTGTGTGAGATCCAAGAGAGGAGAGAGCCCAGCCGTTATCGATCCCTCCAACTACCCCTCGCTTTGCCACTCGCCGCCCCCAGGAGACAGACGTTTCCGCTAGCTACTTGTAGCTTGCCAGTCACCCGGCAACTCTTGCTTACCCGAAACCCAAATGTGAAAATCCCACTCTCACCCCCTCCCCTCAGTCCCCTCGGCATTGGCAAGGCTTAAAAAGTCCGTTTCTCCAGCGAGTTTTGGATGTCGCGAGGACGGAGACTTTTAAAACGTGGACATGCCGTAACTGTACGCCGGCCGACGCCCTGAAGCCGGGGGGGGTGCGCCCTTTCTTTCCCCGTTGCTGCTCCGTTGCCGCGAATTCTTTTTCTCTGTCTCCAACATGCATGAATGTGATGATGCTTTAACATGCGTCAAGAAAAGAGGGTTCAAGGGTTGTCGGCCAGAACATCGAGGGGAGCAGACCAAGTCCGATCCTGAGACCCCGAGCTCCTGGCTTGTCCGTTGCCCGACACGTTGCCGCCGTTGGCCGTCGGACGCAGCCGCCCCCTGCGGCTGTTGCCACGAACAAGGCCTCCCCGGTTGGTTACGCATGCAACTTTCTGTGTTGGCCGTATGGCCTTTGCGTATGTTTCAAGGCCCTTGAGATAACACCATCTTCGCGACCTTGCCGTTGACGGGAATCCCGGGGACGAGCCCCGAGCAACTGGCCCCTCATTGCAGCACGCCTCCAGACGTAGATGGCCTGGGGTGAGGCGAGAGTGCGAGGACGAGGGCTTCGGCGTGTTCCATATGGCCTTCCATGTGTGATCGACCTCGATTCTGTAGATGGAAGGCGGGGCGGAAGGGGTAGTGCAAGGTCGATGAAGCGTGCATGGCTTCTCCGGCTTACACGTGGTTTTCCTCGCTTCCTGTTCCCTGCCCTTTTTCTTGGACAAGGACTGCCCATCCACCCCACCGATACAGTACACATCATAATGAGTCAGGTCTCTGCTTCGGCTCGGCAAAGACCTGAGCGGCAGGACGACCGACCAAGTCCGGAAGCCTTGGACAGTCCAGGGTAGCCTAGTTTACGTCCCATGGGCGGTTCCCGGCGGCATCGGAGCCGGGGTTCAAGGACCAGAAGACCCTTCCGTCTCCTCCGGGTACGCGGCAACATTTGGCTCTGGCCGAAGGATCACTCGGCGAAAGCCTCGAGAAGTCATCGGGCAGCTCCGCGTGGGAACGCGGCGGTCCGCCTTCCCCCCTGACGTTGCTGCGCATTTTGCCAAGTCGATAGGCACGGTACGTTGTCTTCCCCGTGCCCTGTTGCTTACAGGGAGCCCGCTTCTTAAGGTTATATGTACGGTGAGAGGAGGAGGAATGCGCATGGGCAAGTAAGTACCTCGGCTAACATATGAAGCTGGCTCGATACCATCTTTCGCAGGCCACGTACACGGAACAGACTTTCAGGGCCTCTGCAGCTCGAGAGTATTTTGGGGAATTTATTTTATTTCTATTTCACTCCTCCGCCGCCCTTCCTCCCCTTTCCGGAACGGATCGGAATCTCAGCGGAACGGGTCAGAAAACCCCCATTGCTCATCTTGTCAAGACCACTGAGAGCATAGTTCATTCCGCCGAGGGACGTGCCTGGCAGCGGGTGCCCACCCCGACGGGCAGGTCAACGGCTACACAGAGTTTCTCTCCGAGGCGGCCGGCCAGCTAAGGAGCTCCCCGGGCGCGGCTCCCAGCTCCGATTCTCGGCACCGGAGCGCCCTGCCTTCGGCGCTTGCCATTGTCCTTGCGGCCCCGGCGGCTGCCAGATCGGACGCGCGTCAGGCAAATTGAGACGGAAGTGGACACCGAACGACGGCGAACACTCTCATGTCGAACCGCCAGACCCTCAGAGTCGCCGTCGCGCCGCCGCCCCGAGCACGATGCTGAAGCTCGAAAAAGCCTGTGTCCGAGCCTCGGCCAACCGGCATCGTGGCTGATGACAATCTGCTGTCCCCTGCACATGCTGTACGAAGTATCTTGGCAATCGTTCGATCCAGCCTGTGCGACCTCGTCTCGCCGGACCGACGCGGAGTATCGGAGTTGCGTGTCCAATAAAACGACTTCCATTACATCTCAGAGTATGTACACATATATACAATATGTATATAGGCATTTCCAGATCGACCATCCCACGCAGGCCTTTGGAAATAGCACGCAGACCATGTACTTGGCGGCTTTGGTTTCGACACTTAATTAGCTACACGCCCATCACACGGCACCTATCCGTGCCTCTCAATGCGTGTATGTAAGTGCATGAAGCACCTCGCCGGCCCACAGCAGTCCCGTGATGCTTCCCCCGTGAGCCCTGGACTGCCTCTTTCGGACACAGGCACTTGTCCGCATAATATGTTCTTCAGCGGCGCTCCTGACCCCCGTTCAGGTCAGCCAGCCATCACGGTTCCGCGGAGGCCGGGAACCGCATGTCCGGGCAATCCGGCATGACCTGACCCACGAGGCAGATTCGAGTGCCCAGAAAGCTCCGAGTAGGTTCAAGCTTAAAATACATACATGTGAAGCGTCACCTTTGCAGATGCGCCGGGACAAAAGACCCTGCCCTCCAATGAAACCCAAGGAACCCTATGCAATGGAGCAATGAGGTCTCCATCCGCGCTCCTTCACGTGCTGTGCCCCGGTTTGTCTCGGGCCGCCTTTCCGGCTGCGAGGCCTGCCTTGGAGAGAGAGTGAAGAGGGCAGCTGAGAGAGTAGGACAAGAAAGCAAGTTTCGGCGCCGACCAAACGGAAGCGCGGGACCCGAAACTCTACAGCCAGCGTGCTCTGCCAACCTTGTCGTCGTCATTCTCCGCCTTCAGCAGACGCAGCACAAACGCCCAGCAACAAAAAGGCAAAAAGGGAAGCCAAGGGGAAAGAAGAAGAAAACTAAACTGCCCCTGTAAGAGTCCGTCAGCAGCGCCGAAGCCTCGGCGCACCCCCCCTCCCTCATCTCCGCCAATTTTCCTTCTGCCCAGAGCCGCCGTCTCCGCCTTATCAAACGCCTCGTCTTGCTGGTGCGCAGATGCGTTGTCTTGTCTTGCATGTGCTTTGCCGCGTGCGCGCGTGGGCGGGTGTCTATGTTTGGTCGAGAGGGCAAGTAAGAAAAGCAAGCACGCGTATCGGGGCTGATAATCTATACGCAAGTTGGGATAACCCTGTCGATAGATAGACGTGAGGGCCTATATCCGTGCCATGCACCTTTGTCTCCGGCAAGGCACTTTGACGATGGCAAGCGAGCAGCTGCATGCTTGGCGATGAAGCAGTCACCTTGCCCCCCTATCCGTTTCCATTTCTGTGGCCGATTCGCACCCACCCAGTTGCCACAGCTCCGTCGCATCGCTAGACTCTGCTGCACCAGTAAACTTACACGGGGATCTTTTGCTCGCGGCCCTTATACCATGGTTTACCCGTTGGCGGTATCTCTATAGTGGCATATTATACACAGACTGACTGACTGATCGTCTCTTCCGCCGGCCCAGGCTGCCGCCGCGGCTGACTCTGTCTCTTCCCGGCGTCGTCCTACTGTACAGCCGATCCGATAGCACTCCCCACGTCGTCATCGTCATCGCGGGCTGCGTTTGCCAATATTCCAGCCCCAAGACCTGAGCACCTTGACCACCTTGGGCGTGACCGCCGCCGTCAGCGGCACTCGCACAAAGATAAAGCTCTTGTGGATTGCGTAGGCGAGCGCCAATTGCGTCGCCAGGCCTGTCGGGGTCCGTGTTAGCCGCCTGCCTTGGCCAATCGTCTGGCAACATGTCGACGGGCAGGCCTGCGCATGAGGTGAAAAGAAGGTCGAGACAACTTACTGGCTTCCTCTTCGTTCCGTTCCTGAGCTTCCTTGACTCCCCAGCCAGCCATCTCTACCTTGTCGCTGATGTTGTCGTTGCCCAGCTGCTGGTTTTCAGCCTCTTTGACGGCGTGACAGTACCCATGCCATTTCTGCCGTGCCGATTCGGGAACGATGGCCTTGACGTTGGAAATGACAAAGTGCTCAATCTTGCCTGTGGCCAAGGCGTCAGCTCTCTGCCGATTGAGCGGTTTTCAACGCCACTGGACTGCCGCTTCCTGCCCACTGTTCATTTGTTCGGAGATGGCAGAGGAGAAAGAGAAAGACTGACCGATGGTCTCAGTCCCAACCACCCTCACGAGGAGAAAGCAAAAGGGAAAGTCGAGCACGCTGAGTCCGAGGTAGACGCCGACCGCGGACCAGCCGTATTCCTTGGACAACTTTCTCAGCCGTGCACCTAGCGACAGCCTCTCCGGGACCTTATCTCCGGTGCCGTTCGTGCTTCTTCTCCAGGGTGAAAACCTGAACCCTCGTTGCTGCATCCTCCCCACCGTTGACCCCCAGGTTCCGTTGTTCGGTCGCTTTGCGCAGTGGCGCGTGAAGCTCCGGAGGAGCTGCAGAGGACCTGGTGGGCTTTGCCACTGCCTAGCACCTGCTGTCGTGTGGCTCGTCTCGGAGCTTAGAAACCTCGTCCAGACATCTCTCCATGCAGCCCTGGTCGGTGATGCTCTTGCTCGGGGGAGAGCCCGCAGTCCGAGGACCGTTCGAAGCATGGCGTTTGGCCTTGTGGAGGACAAAATGAAGCCAGCAGAAACGTGTAGCCTCCTCTTGGTTTGTACAGGTGACGGTAGGGTATGGCAAGTCGCCGTTGGCGACGGAGTCGAGTTGCTTCGTCGGGGTTCGGAGGACGCGAAATGTCCGGTGATGGAGTTAAGGATGGCTGTGGCCGCAAGAGGCGCCCTCGTTATCACGTGGCGATGTGCGGAGACATAAACGAGACAGTAGCTCCTAGTAGCTCCATCAGCAGCTTGACTGCTCCTTTCCGGTGATGCGGCTCGTGCGACAAGTCTCGTTGTCGGGCAAGATGTGTCGCGAGGAGCCGAGATGGCCTGGGATCGCAGGTTTTTTTTCTGGGCCGATAAGCAAGGACAAGACTATGATGCAGCATGACATGCTCCCAGCGAGTGGATTACAGGGGCCCAGGCCCATGCTTGGCACAAGTCACGTGCAGCCCTAGACCAACTTCCAGGACTGACTTGCTGTGGACAAGACGAGGCGCCTCATTCATCCCTTACGTGCAGGCTGAAGTGCCAGATCGACTTACTGTTGTATTGCAGGCCAGATAATAATTACTGATGTGAAACTGTCCGTTTGCAAGGCTTGAATGTTCAAGTCCAACCCCAGCAACGCATGCAGCGGCACATGTCCACTCTTTCCGAGTAACTCAGCTCGCTCCGTTGCGCCTTTATTGAGAGAATAAGGGCTCTAATGATTATTGTCCTTGCCTTTATCAAAGGAGTGAGAGGCAAAGACGCTTCATGTGAGTGGCCACACGGGTAACAGGGCGTTTGCCGCGGAAGTCCAAGCACATCACTCGTGGCCTTCTCGATGATGTCCCTCCTTTGCAGCTGCCATTCCATTAAAGGGAGGAAGTTACGCACGGTAGGCAATATGAAGGGTATGGATGAGTCACGGGTGCTCATCGTGAGCTCGACCAAGGCGCTCCTGCCTCGCGGCCAGTTCCCTCTGAACGTTCCAGCGGAAGGGGAACAACGATAAGCCACATGGCCACGTGCATTCATCTCATCATGTGTACAATTTACGGTTCTCTCAAGCAACTTCAATTAACATCTGCCTTCAGGTTTCGGCAAAAAAGGCATGATCAAAACGACACCTCGCAACTGCAGCCTCGCCTGGCCAAACCAGCACACGACCATGTGAATACCTCGTGCCCCTTACCGAAGCCGCGCATACAACTCAAAGGGCCGCAGGCGGGATGCCACTCATCGTCGCCTCTCTCAGTTTGCGCTCGCTGATTCTGATTTGGCTGCCTTCGTTTCTTCGACCATAGCAACAACGGCCCATCGAGGGCTAGTCTGCCAGTGTCCCTCATTCGTTTTTTCTCGCATGACTCTTGGCCAGCGGCAGTTTACGACCTTCTGTCTCGTATGCGACTTCCATCTTCTTTTACTCCCATCTTCTGCCCTCTCTTCGACTCCCAACGTTTCAAATGGCGCCGGCCATCACCACACCAAGCAAGAGGAGCTTGCTCAAGGGCTGGGGGTCACGGCGGCGACGGATGCCTCTTGCTCCCCATCCAGGTAACCCGAGCAATGGTAAGGCGAGCCGCTCCGCAAGTGCTCTTGAGTCGCGCTAATGCACTACAGATCTGTGTGCTGGCCATTTGAACGAAGAGTTTGCGACAGAAACTCCCCGGACCGATTGTGTCGACGAACCCGACAGTATTGATCGGATAGCAAGCGCCCTGCTCGACGACGACTCTTGCCTTCCGGCGGCTAAAGATGAAACTGGTGACGATTTGAAAGATGAAATGGATGCATCGCCGTCATGCACGTCGAGGCCCATGCTCAAAGACGGCCAGCCTCCAAAAGCTGCAGATGGAGCCTTGACATCGCCGTTTTCGATGCATCCGGTTTTTATCAACGCCGAAAGACCGCAATCGAGAAAGGAGGCGTTGTCCGTCAACCACCTGGCGGCAAGGGATACAAGAATGCCCTTGGTCCAAAGTTCAAGCGCCCAATTGCCAGCAGGCTCTCGCAAGCGGTCAAGAGCTTCTGAGTTGACGAGACCGAGACCAAATCCACAATGGTTGACATTTGGTTCTCCGGAAAATGGCAGGGACATCGGTGGGCGATGCGTCAACCAACTCCCGCGGCCTGTCCTCGAGGCGACACCAGAAGCCTTGGATCCGAGCTTGGGGGACGCTGCGGCGCCTCTATGCATGGCCAACGCCGACGAAATAAATGAGAAAGTCAAGGCCATGTTGGCCGCCACGGAAGCCCTGAAGCCGAGCCCGCCCCAGCCTCGAGCATCCAGTTCGCCCAAGATATCCCAAACGGTCCACTCGAGGGTTTTCAGTAAAGTCTCGAATGTGTGGGAGCGTATCAACTCGAAGCCGTCAACGCCGGTGGAAAGAGTCCGTAGCAAGCTTCGCAAGCAACCATGGCAGAAGCAGGTCACTCGCCCCGTGTTGACAGGGACAAAGCCACCAGGGTTTGCATTTGCGGATGAGGCGCGGGCGCCGACTCGATCTTCAGAGACTTGCGTCAATCAAGGCAACAAGCTCGTCAAAGGTAAAGCACAAGCAACCCTGGGCGGCACAGCAGCTTGTGAGTCCGGTGCAGTGCCCGTATCATCACTACAGACTGATCAGTTAGCGGATGTGTTCTCTGATGAGCGGTATTGTCTCCCAAGCCTCGGCTGTTCCAAGAGCCAGCAAGCCCCAGAGTCTGGAACGACGGGCGACGATGCAGCGGAGGCGCATTCCCGCGACCTCCAAGATCCCTTCCAGACGGAGGTAGGATTTGAGCTCAATCTCGAGGATAGGATCTTGAGTACTACGCCAATCGGATCCTCCACGCCTCGAGCCCAGTCCAACGCCGGTTCCCTGGCCAGCTCAGCCGAGGATTCTGCCAACGCGTCATCTGAAGCCCAAGTGAACTTCGCTCGAGTCGTTTTCAAGCTAGGGCAAGATGGCGCAGCGCGAGGCCAAGCGCGTCAAGTCACATTGAGGCCCAGCGAATCGAGGACGACTGTCACCGAGGCTGGGCAGGTGGAACAGCAAGTGATGAGATCAAGGAGTCGGATCAGTCAAATCAGAGGGTGCGAGAGAGTCAAGAAGCATCCTTCCCCGAGCAAAAGGGACTTGGAGGAACTTGAGCTGGCTCTTCAGCGGTATGGACCATTTGCGGAGTCCAAGCCCGAAGATGATGCTGACGAGCCGCCAGGAATGAATCAGTGGCTCTGAGACCACTACTGCTCGTCAAAGACGGAAACCGCCTCGTGAGAAACCGCACATCGAGTATCCGCGACCGCGACCGCGACACCGATCCGCTCGCACAGTGGAGTCCTCGATCGACACGCAAGACCCGAATGTCAAGACCGTCTCGTGAAACTCTCAAGGTTCGCCAAGGAGTACGCTTGGCAGCGTCGTTCCGCCCTGCGATGACTCGGCCTGAAGACTGTGACGAGCTACTTTGAAATCGTGTTTTGTGATATGGGAAACGGTAGGGGAGTTAGGGACGGTGATGGGCCCCAAGGGTCCAGCCGGCGAAAAGGCGTTTCCCGGTTTACCTTGGGTGGTGTGACAGATGATATGCTCAGTCGCGTCTGATGTTCCCATGGACGTTGGGGATGCTTCTGCTTGGAGCAGTCATCACACGGACCGAGTGGGAGGGAAACCATGGGCATCAATTACACCCGAGAACGTTGGCCCAATTGGCCATACAGACGGGGTACATGTAGTAGAATGAAAATGCAAGCCTCAACCTTGATAAGATAAATGAAATCATTTATAACCTGCTATGGGCTCTGTTCGAGTCGAACGCCAGAGTGTGCACTATACATTGAGAGACTGATGCTCCTAGATGCATGCTGTACAGTTATTGTGAAGAGAGACTGTGCTTTCGCAAGGGTACTCTTCTGGACATGCCCTACGAACAGGGTGGCAAACCACTCAATCCCAGCAACGGTTGCTCAATATAGTTGAGCAACCGTCAACTCAATCAACTCAATCGAGTGTCTGCTGAATAAGCTTGTCAATTCAATTCATGCTCCCGTTGATTGATGGATTGATGAGATTGCCGTTGACGGTCAGGGATCCTGTAGGGTAGGTGGCCAAGGCGAAATGTAGGTACGGATTGGGTATATAGCTACCACTAACCTTACAGGTTACTCAGGCCCGTTGTAGGTAAGCCTCCTCTCCTCTTCGGGAACAGGGCCCCTGTTCCGTTGGAAGAGTCGACGCGCTGCGCGCATCGACGCGCTTCACAACAAAGTTCAATCTCTCGCCTCAGTTCCACTTCCACTTCTCGATTCTTCCACAACGCCTTGGCTGATCTAAACATTCCTATATGCAATGAGCGAATCTCCTGAGCCTTCTTCTACTCCTTGCCGCCATCAGGCGATTCGGGCGACTCAGGCCCCGTTCCCCATCTCGAGTGGGATGCCTTCCCTGGCATCACTTCCGCGGCTATACCAAGTCTCAACGCGCCGGCAAGCTCAAATCGTGGATCTGGAGCTTTGGGTTCGACATTGAACATCAAGCTAACGTAGATAATCGCCTCTGGGTCTGTGAGCGGTGTTTACCGAAGAAATCGCCGAAGGGACCCGTGAGCTTCGCGGCAAGGGACCCTAAACATTGAGCGCCATCTACATGATGCTCACAATGTTATTGACCCATCAGGTAGACGGTTACCGAAGGGTTCTACAACCAACAAGCGTTCTATTGCCCAATTCTTCAACCTCGATGCCAATGACCAGAAGGAGCAAGCATTCATTAACAAGCTAAAAACCAATTCGATAAAGATGTCTTCAATCTCTCTTGCTTGCTTGGATCACCGAGTCGAATGTTGCCTTCCGCGCAGTTGAAGCCCCTCGATTCCGGCGTCTTCTCGAATACCTCAATCCCTCGATCGCCCTGACTCAAGCCCACATGACACACTCGACTATTCGAACGAAGCTTTTCCAAGCCCTGAACTCCGAGAGTCTCATACTGGCGAGAATATAGCGTCGCAGGTGGCGGAAGTGATCG